AACAAACCAGATTGCAGCGGAGGAAGGAATCAGGAAGAAGTGCTGGAAGTGGATAGGATACATATTGTGGAAAGCTTCCAACTGTGTCACACATCAATTCCTCATATGGAATCTTCAAGCCCAAAGGACGTGAGGAAGACCAAAGAACACAATAATATGAGAAATGGAGACAGACATGAGAAAAATGAACAACAATCGAATGGAAGTAGAAAGGAAGGTGGAGGACAGAGTGTATAATAGAATGCTGGTCGGTGGCCTATGCTTGATTTTCAGTAACAGGTGTAAGTAAGTAAATAATAATAAAATCATACCAACATAAGATCACACTGATTTTGGAACATCATTCAAATGTTCAACTGGAAAATTTTACATCATAATAATGTTCAATAATCAATATATACATTAGGATAAGATTTATCACAATGGAGGATAAACTAAACCGAATTAATGCAGTTTTTTGTGTATAAATAAAAATGGTCTATTGATCAGTCTCTCTTATTGGCATATGTGCATACTGTGCGTATGCCTCGATATTGCCTTAAATTACAAGCATTATAAGCAAAGATGGATAGTGGCTAGCAGTGGAATCCAGGACGCGCGTTTCGTCCTGTTTGGGACTCGTCAGCTGGATGTACCTGCATCTCGGAGTTGATGTTCACTCTGGGACTCGAACTCAGTACCGTTCGCTAAGTGGATAACACGATGGCGTTTAAAGCGAACGGTACTAAGTTTGAGCACCAGAGTGAACATCAACTCTGAGATGCAGGTACATCCAGCTGACAAGTCCCAAACAAGACTAAACGCGCGTCCTGGATTCCACTGCTAGCCACTATCCATCTTTGCCCTTCTGATATTGTCTATTTCCTTAAATAAGTATTTCACCAAAGTCACAGTATACATATATATCCTCCTTGCTTATAGGTTACCTTCAAATGTGTAATATAGCGTAAACAATCTAATTATTATTACAAAATGTGTTCTAAATAACTTTATGATCGTTCGTTTTCTTTTTTTCTTTTTTCTCTCTATTTTTCTTTTTTTCTCCTTTTTATCCCCCCCCCCCAAAAAAACTAGTTCACTCGGTCAACTTGATTAAATTTTATTTGTTTCCGAAACAAATAGATAAATAAATAATTATTATCACTAATGCTTGAATGAATAATAAGTCGACCTATCAAATAGAAAAAGATTAAATGGAATTGTGGTTTTGATTAATGATTAGTTAGTTAGTTAGTTTGTGAGATAGTTGTATTATCGAATTGTTTTATTCCATAAGTATTTATTGACCTGATAAGTTTGATTACAATTAAGGTTGCGTGAAAGTTTAAGATTTGATATATTGAATATTCAATTACTGAATTTGATTACTTACTTACTTACGTCTGTTACTCCCGATTGAGCATAGTCCATCGACAAGCATTCTCTAACTAACTCTATCGTCGGCCTTCGTTTCTAGTTCTATCCAATTTTTGTTCATTCTAATCATATTTGTCTATATTTCTCGACATAATGTGTTCTTTGGTCTTCCCGTTCTCCTTTGTACTTCAGGATTCCATGTGAGGAATAACCTTGTGACTCGGTTCGGTGCTTTACTCAAAATGTATCCTATCCACTTCTAGTACTTTTTCTTGATTTGTTCCTCCATTGCAATCTGGTTTGTTCTCTTCCACAGTAGGTTGTTGTTGATAGTGTCTGGTCAACGGAACCGAAGTATTTTGCGTAGGAAACTATTAATAAACATTTATATATTCTGGTTGATTGCTTTCGTAGTTATCCCTATTTTCGCACCATATGGTAGAACTGTGTTGACATTTGTATTTAACGATACCCTATTGAAGACGTTTCCTGGTATTGAGAGAAGAGTGATACCTCCGTAGTTCTCACACTTGCTGAGATCGTCTGTCTTTGGTATCTTGGTCAGGTGTCTTTCCTTCCATTCTGTTAGTAGTTGTTCTATATCCCAAATCTTGCTGAAGAAAATGTGGAGTACTTACTGCTAACTGTTATTTTTGCTTTCAACTGAATTTGATTAAACTCATTAAAAAATACATTATTAGAAAGCTGGGATAGTATCAGAATAGAAATTGATCGACTGTGTGAAAATAGCTACGTGTTGATGAGAAACCGGAAATTGTTTAAGAAAGTTCTTTTTTATGTGATGTCAGCTGGATCTACGAATGTGTGAATCATAAATTTGTTGAAATTCATATTTAATAAACCAAGTCTGTTGGATAATCAGAACAACGATAAATAACTAATAGGTCAAACATCATTCTAGTAAAGAGAACAGACTAATCAAGAACAACCAATAAAATTTCAAATCAATAAAATAAGTTCTCATCCAAATATGGAAAACTAGCTCACTTCTTCTTCGAACATATATTGAACATAATCAGACAAGTGTTTTGTGGAGATTGTAGTAATTTAATAGTAGAATTTATGAGTCAATTGAAATTAGATCACCATTAAAAACCTGGAAGCACCGGATGGCCATTTCTCCCTAGTATGGGACTCCTCAGCAGTGCGCATCTATGATCTCGTGCCACAAGATTCGAACCAAGGACCTGTCGGTCTCGCGCGCGAACATTTAACCTCTAGACCACTGAGTCTAACTGCAACCGATCCATGAAATTGCACCACCGTTCACTATTATCTACATTGATCTACCATCTCATAACAGACCCGTACTAGGACTAGTACTTTCAGGTTTTCCATGGTGATATAGCTTCAATTGACTCATGAATTCAACTATTAAATTACTAAAATCTCCACATAACCCTTTCTCTCTGAGTAAATAATCTATCAATTCTTTGAACAACATATTTAACTTACTAACAATGAATTTGTCAGTTACAATTATCATATCCTCTTCATTTTCCTATATCGAATTACTATGTACATCATCCAAAATAACTTACATAATCAGTTATGTAACATTATTACATTATTCTAAATAATATTAGTTAGCGCAAAAGTCATAATGAATAACTAATGGAAAAGTAAGATTTCTCTGCTTCATTTGGCATTTCCTAAATACCTATCTAATCAAATCTATCAATAAGAATGAATATTCCCCTTTCATTATTACTATGATTATTCAATTACATAATGAATGATGGCATATTTTGATTACTGTAGTATTTCTTTGTTTAATATATATATATATATATATATATATATATATATATATATATATATATATATATATATATATATATATATATATATATGTAATCTCTTATGTAACACATTTGCTGAATCATTACATCATACATAGATTACACACATAATCATCATGTAAATAGTTAATTAATAAATATAAACCTCATACTGTGTGTTAATTTTTCTTTTTATAATTTTTTTTTACCTTGCCTCAATATTTGGCAAACAGTACTGACAGATTGAAATCATGAGTCAATTGAAGCTAGAACAACATGGAAAACCTGGAAGCACTGGATGGTCGTTTCGTCCTAGTGTGGTACTCCTCAGCAGTGCGTATTCACAATTCTGCCCCTTCCCCGCGAGATTCGAACGCACGACCCATAAGCCTTGCACCCGAGCGCTTAACCTCTAGACCAGTGAGCTGATCGGCATTCAACGGTGTTAATGTATAACTTCAATCAATCCATGAAAATGCGCCACCGTATACCATTGTCTTTAGTGAGCTGATATCTCACAATAGACCTGGTTGAAATCCACTGGTCACGGCTTCTCACTAGAATTCCAGGAAATGCTTCTTGAAGTCAGTCAGTAATGAGCAGATGATTTGTGGAGATTTTAGAAATTTCACAGAATAAAATCATGAATTGATTATTAGAATGTTTACTAAATGTGTTATGTTGTAAACACTTGTTCAATGATTCAACTGAACGTGTTAAATTCTTCATTCTACTTTTTTGTTCGTTTTGTTTTGGATTTATTAATTAACAATGATTACTATTGTTAAATTCACTTGATGGTGTTTTATTTATATCTTGCCATTATAATTTAGGATCGTGCATATTGTGTGGATTGCTTCGATATAGCCTTAAGTCACGTACTGTTCAACATATGCTTATCATTCATTAGGCAACAATAGTAATCAAAGATGGATAGTGACTAGCAGTAGAATCCAGTTTGACGCGTATTTTGTCCTATTTCGTATATCCAGCTGACGAGTCTTAAATAGGATGAAACACACATCCTGGATTTTACTCTTAGCGACTATCCATCTTTGATTACTATTGTTGCCTAATGCATGATAAGCATATGCTGAACAGTATGTTTCTTTTTTTGTTTTGTTTTTAACAAGAAACAATCAATGTAAACCAGTGTTGCTAATATTAAGGTTGATGTTGATAGTTGAATTTTTATTGATAATGCTTTCTTCTGCGATCTATTTTTTTAAACTGCTATATCTTCTAAGCAAAGATGAATAGTGGCTAACAGTGGGATATAAGACGTGAGTCTACGTCCTATTTGAGACTCATCAGTTGGATGTACTTGCATCTCAGACTTGATTTTCATTCTGGGACTTGAACCAAGTACCGTTCACTTCAAACTCTATCACGCCATCTACTTACCTACTAAGTCCTGATAGCCACTTGCTTATACAATAGGATGAAGATTTAAATTCACTTTATATTGTTTACTTGAATCTTCCCATCGAATTGAGGCAATATAAAGGCAATACGCATAGCGTGAAACGATCGTCCAATTCTTCCAGATTTTGAATAAAAGTCTAACATCAACCGACTCATGATCTTAATCAAAGACTTAACAATCTTCACAACCTCATACTGATAATTGTCTTTCATGCACAATTCCTTCTGTAAATGATATAAACAACATGTGATTGTATTAGTAATATGTTAAATTCAACAGTTGACCAGATGGCATTAAATTATTATCTAGGTCATATATACATATTTATATATAATTTGTCATTATGTACACAAAACAAAGTAGTATACATTCTTAGAAAATTATTTGACATGTGTTATCATCATTTCTGTCATTAGAAATTATTCACACGAATTTCTTGCTTATTCTACTACTACTACTACTACTACTACTACTGCTACTACTACTACTACTACTACTACTACTACTACTACTACTACTACTACTACTACTACTACTACTACTACTACTACTACTACTACTACTACTACTACTACTACTACTACTACTACTACTACTACTTATACAGTCTTTAAAAAAACACAAAAGTTAACATTTCTAATATCGGAGGCAAACAACAAAATGATACTTTAGTCAAACACAAAGTAACGAATTCATTATTCAATTTATTAAAAAAATACAAAATAAATGTAAAATACCTTCATTTTCCAATGAATTTGATTAGATTAATTATTAAATGTTAGCATTTTCAACGATTTCGTTTTAGTTAGAAGAAGCATAATAGAAAATGATTACATTTTAATAGTTGAATTTATGAGTCGATGTATGCTAAACCATCATTGAAATTCTAAAAGCATTGAACGGCCGTTTCATTCTAGTATGAGACTGCTCAGCAGTACACATCCACGATCTCGAACGTAGAATTCGAACTCAAACAAAGACGAAATGGCCATCCAATGCTTTCAGGTTTTCAATGGTAGTTTAGCATAAATAGACTCATAAATTCAACTATTAAAATTGCTACGATCTCCACAAACCCCATCTTGACCATTATCATCATGTACTTACTAGTGAATGGCTCCAAAATGATTTTCTGTAGTTCTAGCGAGAAGCTGTGATCAATGAAATTCAAGCCATGTCGGTTAGATACCGGTATATACCTCAGACAATGGAGAAATGGTTGCGCAGCTATTCATGGACTGATCGAAGTTAGACATCAACACCGTTAAACGCTTCCTCAGTGGTCTAAAGGTTAAGCGCTTGAGCACGAATGCTCTGGGTTCGAATATCGCATGTGGATTAGTGGACGCACATTGCTCAAGAGTCTCATACTAGAATGAAACAGTCGTTCAGTTTTTCCAGGTTTTCAATGTTGATCTAACTTACATTGACTCATGAATTCAACTATTAAAATTACTACAATTTCTATAAACCTCATTCTGATTATATTTTACACTTGTTAAAATAACACACACATACATACACATTGTCTTAATGCATAATTGAAATGAAATTCCTGATAGATAGTTATTTGTAATAGTTTGTTTTTGCTATTTAGATTGATCAACATAAGGAAAGAAGAAGACAAAACGAAGAGAATTCTTCATTCATTGTATTAATTATCAATTAATTCTGTGTATTATTTGTTTATTCAAATGATTAATTATAGTTAACTGACTTGATAATGTTTATTTAATTTTGATAATGACTCATTTACATATACATTAATTAATGGAAATTGTTATGATTTTCTGAATAGAAAATTAGATTTATAGATGGTTGATAGTTAGCAGTGGAATTTAGAACATGCGTTTCATCCTATTTGGGACTAATCAGCTGGATGTACCTACATCGCGAAGTTGACGTTCACTCTGGAACTCGAACCCAGTACTGTTCGCTACTAAATCTTTATAGCCACTTGGTTATGTAATTTTTGTTTATAAAGCTTGTGAATTAAGGCATTATCAAAGCAATGCCAATATTGTTTATTTATTTAATTTATTTAAACATATAAACATTAGCACAAGGAGGCACCAAATAGATATGCACCACATAAATCATTTGATTTGTGTGAGGGCTGTGATACTGCCCGGGTTCCCAGACCGAAGCAGGTGGTATCTTAGGGGCCCACACCCCGAGCCTTTGATCGGGAGGTCTGACCCACAAGGCAGTGGAGCATCGTGAGGAGATGCAATGCCATGGTAGCCGGTGACCAACGATTGGTTCATACGCCACTTGTTCCCGCCGGATATTGGGGCCCATGTGTACTATTGGTTTGAAATCCGGTTAAAGCACCGGACATTCGCTTTTCACCCTCTCAATTTCGTAAACAACACCCCTGACACGAGAGGGCTGTGAGTAGAACTTCCTTGGCAGAGGCTATATACGCGTGGCCGTGTGAGAGCATTTCGAGAGGGAGGGCGGGCTCACCCCACTTTCGGCCATACCAGGGCATTCGGGGGCTGATCAGTGGGAAGATTCAAGTAAATAATACTAAGTGAAAATTAATTTCAATAAAATTTTACGAATAAGAGTATAAGACAATTAATGTATTGAAGCTAATTAACTAGCTGATTGTATTATGAGCCCATTAACTAAGTCATATAAAACATGAATTCATATACTCCATTACCAGATATTGAATCACTTGATCATTGAGTCAACTAAGAATTGTAACCGTAGGATTGACTCAATAATTCAATCCAATGAACACATTTTCATTATACTTACAATCAACCATATAATCATTATTAAAATCAATACACAATTTAACCGATCACAAGTATATAAGTTTCTATAACAACTACAAACTTATCACTTATTCATATTTATACATTACAACACTAAATTTCAACAGAAATTTGCAATTTCACTAATATCATAAACCATATTTAAAGGTTCACTACACTTTACCCAAAGTTCTATAGTAAATGCTTTCCGTTCCCGCTCTTCTTTTCTTGACCTTCCCTATCTTCTACTGCCAGACATTACATTCCTGACTCACGTCATATACTACTTATATCAATATAAGTAGCACGCACCACAAGCATACATATAGAAGTGAAGCAAAAACTAATGATACAATGATGTAAGATATGTTATTCTTGTACAAATGACTCTATCCGTTAAACAAATTAACAAAGGACCTTAATCAAATTAAATGTAAACAAACTCAATTACATATAAGCTGATATACATAGAATTTCAATGGAAATTTACAATTTCACTAATATCATAAACCCCATTTAAAGTTTCATTACATTTTACCCAAAGTTAAATAGAACAAGACCTTTGGATAATTGTAAATAAATAATTTCATATCATTTGATTAAAATATTCATTAAAGTTTAAAGTAGACCATCAACAACACCCACAACAACGACAACCGCAACAACAATGACAAGAACACCCACAACAACGACAACCACAACAACGATAACCGCAACAAGAACAACCATAACAACGATCATATAACTGGCAATGATAAATCAATTAACTAAATTATCCACTTCACCAAAATCCTACATAAAAAAATGTGATTCAATTTTCAATGTTACTCTTAATTATGTTTTGTTTAAATCAATTAAAAGCGCTATAATTAAATTTAAATAATTATTGAAAAACACTTATATTCATTCATGTTATATTCTATTTAGATTTGTATAAATAGTTTAAAATGTATGACGAATTTTTTTTTTTTTTTTTTTTTGGTTTTACATTCGTTTTAAAACATTCACCTGGAAACGTTTTCTATTTTGTTGGTAAAATTAAATTTTGAGTCGTTATTATCTTTTTTTTTATTGTTAAATTTTTGTTTCGATGGAAATTCTTTTTTCTTTTTCGATCAATTTTTAGTGGATTGTTATTTTTGTTTTGTTTTTGCTAGGGTTGAGGCTAACACGAGTTTACTTAATCTGTGAATGAGAAACAAGACTCGATGACAAAAGACCAGTAAGCTAGCTATTTGATGCGTCCCAGCCCCGTTAACTAGAGGGAGAAGTCCAATCTTGGAATGGGGAAGTATATTCTGCAAACAGCCAGAAACGAGCGATAACAACAAACACAATTTAAAGCGTATATATACAGTACAAAATCGTCTTTGGGGAGAGTTACCAAATAGCATACTAAAAGACGCAACGGACCAATAGCATTTAAGATATTTCCCAGTGGGATATATGACATGAAGGTGACAAGAGCGCCTTTGACGCGAAAACAAAGAAATTCAAATTTTCTAAATAAAATTACAAAATTAGGTTATTTCCCAAGTGAGTTCTGGGGATCTAACGTCCCCAACAGTTTTTGTTGTTTTTATTCAGTTTTTCTCAAATAAAAATAGAAGATATTTTGAGAATATAAAATGATTTCTACAAAATTTGTATTTTATTTTTAGTTTAATAGTTGAATTTATGAGTTGTTTTCAGCTAGACTGTCATTGGAAACCTGAAAGTACCAGATGGCTGTTTCATCCTAGTATGGGACTTCTCAGTAGCGCACATCTACGATCCCGCATGTGCGACTTGGATCCAGGATCTATCAATTTCGCGTGTGAACGTTTGTTCTCTAGACCACTGTCCAGGTATCCGATGGTCTTTATGTCCATGATGGTCTAGTTTGAATCAACTGATGAATTCAACTATTATATTACTACAATCTGCACAAAAACCCCTTTCTGATAAGTTCTAGTTTATTCAGAAAATGTTCGAGACTGTATATTCTTACAGTCATTCCGTAAATCTCCTGAATTTTCGTGGTAACAGGCTATATTCAGTCATCTCATATATAAGAGTGTGATTGCTCATTAGTTATGGCATTTGATTTTTAACCATATAGAGCACTTTTACTAAGTTACCTTTAACTACACAATATCTAACAGATAGAAAGTCATCTAGTATAATGTCAACACTATATCTTAATGCTAGTCATTTGTTCAACACCAAAGACTTTAAAAACAAAGTACTCATTAGTCCATGGTCAGTTATTGTAAATAAATCACTACTCAGTAACAGAGAACTTGAACAAAGCATAAAATAACTACGAATATAAATGGTTAAATGGTTGCCAACCGGGAAGTTTATAGTCAATACTGTTAAGGAACTGACTAATCTTTATGTTGACCGATTATTTTATCTGACATCTTAGACTTGAAATGTTATTATTTCTCAAATATAGGGATTAAAATACACCATTCATTTGAGCCTGTTTTTATCAAATATGAATAGCATAGCTATTAATTAGTTCATAAGAACCATGTCAACATTTTAGACAATGCTTCTGCGTTAACCAATAAAGAGTTAAGGGCGGACAAACCAAAACGTGGCATCAGTCCTTGAAATCACTAACTTCTAGTCTTAACCATGTTGGTAGATGTAAACTACTTGGTTGGGGTCCACTTGATTATCGTGACTAATGGTTGGAAACTGTGAGTGACATGGCTCAGAATCGATCACAATGGCGTAGGTGTGTACACTTTATCTTTTCTTAAACCGTGAGATTAAATTTACTTTACATCTTCCTTCCTACGAACTAATTCCTTCTCTCTGTATCAAATCATTGTATGCAATTTTTATTTATATATATTATTGCTATTGAAGTAATTACTTTATGGATTTGGTATTCATCTTATTGTGCCAATAAAGTATGGCAACTTGAACCGACGCATATGTGTACCTGGTCTTGCATTGCAACTGACTGACTGAACCGATAAAGAATTTAATTTTCTACTGTTCAATTATCTTTAAAATTGAAAGTAGGATGGTGGGAACAGACACCCTCAATGTGCTTTACTTTGTTACGGTCTAAGTATATATATCAGTTGAGATTATGAATATATGTAGATGAGTAAGTCAGAGGATTCTAGCAAAATTAACACACTTCATGACAAATTTATGTTTTCTGAAAATGTAACCTTACTTCATAAACTCAGTTGCCAAAGATCCAAAGTTTAACCAATCTAACCATCACATATTATCACAAATTTATTGAAGCTGTAATTTCATCACTGAAGGCCTACCAAGTGGTTCCAATAGCTATAAGTTAGCCTCAGGACAATGAGGTCTTGGGTTTTATCCTTAGAATAGTCATTAGTGTGCACTACTCAAAAACCTTATAATGGGACTAAACAGTAGATTTGCAGTGATATCTGAAATAAGAGAAATCTATAGAGAACAAAATCTACAGATATCAATAAATTTTTAGCAATTGTCAACTTCCACCTAGTCGATTAATACTTTTAAGGATATTCAAGTGAAAATTGAAAACAAGTGACATCTTTACCTGTTCAAGTCGATTACATTTTCAAATTATTATCTATATTGGTATCATTGAAAGGGCTTACAGAATATGTACGTCATTGATATATTTAAACACATACCGCCTGATTTGTGTAAATACTTTACCTGGAGATTGTAGCTATTTCATAACCCCTGTCCATTAACTTCATCCAGATTTCAATTGTGAAATATTACTAGAGTTAGAAAAATTGTCTAAAATATTGATAGTTTAGTAAACCATTATATACTCATGGTACAGAGGTGGAATTCAGGACGGGCATTTATTATTACATGAGTCTCACCAGCCGGGTGTCAGCGGCTACGTGGATAATGCGTCAGCCATTTGAAAAGAAAGGCACTGAGTAAGTAAATAAGTATTATGCACTGTACTCTAAATATTTACTATTTTACAAAGTATAAGAATATAGAGAATAGTCAAGTACACAAAATGCGAATGTATAAATTCTCTATTATTATTATTATTATTATTATTATTATTATTATTATTATTATTATTATTACCAAATTCCAGCAGAGGAAGAAATCAGGGGGCGCTGGAAGTGGATAAGACACACATTGAGCGAAGCACTCAACTGCGTCACAGGGCAAGCCCTCACATGGAATCCTCAAGGTCAAAAGAGAAGTGTAAGATCATAGAACAAACGAAAACAGACATCAGAAGAATGGATAACAGTTGAAAAGAAGTAGAGAGGTAGGTCTCAACATACACAAAGGGAAAAGCGAGATTCCCCGATACAACGCAGCATGCACCAATCGAATCACGCTTGACGGAGAAACTTTGGAAGATGTAAAAACATTTACATATCTGAGCAACATTATTAATGAAAACAGTAGATCTGATGCAGATGTGAAGGCGCGGATTGGCAAAGCAAGAGTAGCATATCTACAACTGAAGAATATCTGGAACTCAAGACAACTTTCAACCAACACAAATGTCAACACAGTTCTACTGTATGGGACGGAAACATGGACAACTACGAAAGCCGTCATCCAGAAAATACAAGTGTTTATTAACAGTTGTCTACGCAAAAACACTATCAGTAACAACCTACTGTGTGAGAGAACAAGCCAGATTCGAGCGGTGGAAGAAATCAGGAAGAAGCGCTGGAAGTGGATAGTACACACATTGAGGAAAGCATTCAACTTCGTCACAAAGAAAAGCCTTACTTGGGATCCTTAATGTTAAACAAAGGAGAAGAGGAAGACCAAAGAACACATTAAGCCGAGGGATGGAGACAGGTATGAGAAGAATGAACAATGATTGGATAGAACTAGAAAAGAAGGTCCTGGACAGAGTTGGTTGGAGAATGCTAGTCGGCCGACCTATGCTCGATTGAGAATAATAGACGTAAGTAAGTAAGAACTAGAAAGGAAGTTCGAGGAAAGAGTTGGTTGGCGGGCTCATGCTCGACTGGAATTAAAAGGCGTAAGTAAGTAAGTACGTATTATGATTATAATTGTTTATTAAAAGATAAACATTACATTAACTCTAATGATTGAAGTAATATAAATGAAATTTTTAATCTTTCTTTTCTTTTCTTTTCAATATATCAATATAAGAAATACAAATGACAAATAAAATTGATTAATGAATTGTTAACAATAAACAGAATAATATTGACATGAGGAATGGAATTGAAAATGATTGTTTTTTTATAAACAATAAGAACAGGAACAAACAAACTACATTCAACTATATTATGCTATAATGTTAAACATGTTTCTGTAATAAATGACTTCCTTTGATGTCAATACGATTAGTTGTATTTGTAACAGTACGATTATTATTATTATTATTATTATTATTATTATGGATGGTAGTATTATTACTATTATTATTAGCAATATAATCATTTGTATATTCATCAATAGTAGCATCATATAGATTATTTACTCTTGATTGATGATATGGACGACGTGAAATTACAGCAGCTACACCTGAACGTCGTTTACTAGCTAATGATGATACAATTCTAGGTTGATTTTTATGTCCTCTTTGTTGTTTCTTTTTAGGACTATTTAGTATTGAAATAATTTCTTCATCCATTACTGTCGTAGAATGAGGAGAAGAAGGAGGAGGAGGAGGAGGAGGAGAAAGAGTAAGAGTAGAAGTATTAGTAGAATTAATAGTATTACTATGGTGAATATTTGATTGTATCCATGCTTGTTTATTTTGATGTTGTTGTTGTCCTTGTAAATTTGGATAAAGTTGACTACGCCACCATTTTTTCACATCATCACATGAATCATTTATATGTTTACTTAAATAAATATTATGATGATATTTATAATTAGGATCCATTAATTTACTCTCATTATTGATCATTTCATTTTGTAATGGTAATATGATAGATGAGCTATCATTTGTTTTTATTTGGATTTTATTATTGTTGCTACTACTACTACTACTACCACTACCACTACTATTAATACTACTACCAGTAAGGTTATGAGTAGTATAATCACTAGATAGTAAATGATTATCAATATTAGAATGATTCATATCTTTTCTTTTCATTGAATCACCTTTCAAATTATACATTTCCATTGTTTGTGATATAGTTCTATTATTATTATCATTATTATGATGATTATTTGTACAACTATAAACTAAACGTTTCTCACCTTGTTCATCTGAATCTTCTACAACATCTGGTAATTTAGATAATTTTTGAATGACACTTTGTCTTGATTTATTATGAGTGGATAAAGATTTAATTGTTGATAATACAGTTGGTTTTGTACGAATCATTTGTGATGTATTTATATTCGATGATAATGGAAGATGTTGTTGTTGTTGATGGTGGTGGTGTTGTTGCTGAGGTGGTGGTTGTTGTTGTAGTTGTTGTTCCATATTTAATCCCATCACGTTTTCAATAATTGTCACTTGATATGGTTCAATTGATTGTATTGATTTTTGTTCATCTATCATTGATTTAGATAATTCTTTATTGATTTTAGTTTGAGATAATTTTGTTCTATTCTCATTATTCATTAAACATGTATCAATAAATGTTGGAGGTGTCATTTGATGATTATCATTAATATAATGAATAAGATTATTATTATTGATTTGATCTATATTGAATTTATTAGAAATTGATTTATGTTGTGATTGATGTAATTGATTATTCCCATTATCAATAGGATTACATAATTTCTTTTCTTGTTTCGAATCTAATAATAATAATGGTTGTTGATAATCTGTATCATATTGTTCAATGATTAAACTTTGACCATCATCCTCATCATCATCATCACCATCAGCAGCATCATCATCATTTTTGCCAATCATATTCGTTTTAAAAGGAGTAGTTGTCAATGTAGTCATATCATCAGAATCATTTTTTATTAAAAGTGTAGTAAATTCATTTGAATGTTGAACAAATGAATTATTTTGTATCGTTGCATTGTTAACTATTGTTGGTGTTGTTATCATATTAGAATGAATAGTTGTTAAAGTAGGTATTGAAGAGAGATTTATTGATTTAGTCATAGGTATAGTATTGATTGTATGATGAATAAAAGTAGTAGTTATAGTGTTTATTGTTAATTTATTAATTTTTAATTGTGGTGCTAATATTTTATTTGCTCTTTCATGACTTGCTTCCATTGGATTTTCCATAGATTTTCCACCATTATCTTTAATGGTTATTATTATCGATGGTGATGATGATGATGATGAGGTTGTTGTTGTGGTTGTTGTTGTTGTTGATGATGATGATGATGATTTACTGGTGTTTGATGATTGATTTTTAATACGTACACTTTTATTAATTAGAAAATCACTTTTTTTATTTAAATCATCATTATCATCTATGCTTGTGCTTATTTGACGTTCAATATTTGAATGCATTTTAAATTTTAATTGACCATGTTTCTAATTTGTTTTTGTTTTTTTCAAACAGAAATGAAAATCATATGCATATATATGAAGATAGTTTACATCAGTAACTTATTTTGGCTTAAAATTCATTGAAAACCATGAAGTATTGAACAGTTATCTTATCCTGTATTGGGGATCTTCAGGAATACCTATATAGCTAACCGGACAAGAGTTAAACCATGGACAATCAGGCCCTACGACAGTTAGGTTATCTCTATAATTTTGAGTCAGCAGATAAGGGAGGGGCACCAAATACATATGCGCCACGCAAATCTCATTTGATTTGTGTGAGGCCTCTGATATTTCTCGGGTGCCCGAACCGAAGTAGGTGGTTTTCCTAGGGGATCACACCCAGAGCTTTCGACCTGAAGGTCTGATCCACAAGACAGTGAAGCAACATCAGAGATGTAGTCCCATGGTAGCCGACCACCAAAGATTGGTTCATACGCTATTTGTTCCTTCAGGATCCTGGAGCCTATATGCACCATTAGTTTGGAATCTCTGTGTCCACCAACTCGGTTAAAGCGCCGGTCATTCGCTTTTCGTCCTTCCAATTCTGTAAACAACACCCTCTTTGCGAGAAAGCAGTGAGTAGGACTTCCCTGGCAGAGGCTATAGACGCGTGGCCATATGAGAGTATTTCCAGGGGGATAGCGAACTCCTCGCACTTTCGGCCGTACCAGAGCAGGGTCAGAAGATGATGTATCTTTTTTCTATTTTTTTATCAGTTCGTGTTGTCGCATAACAACGATCGAGTGTTATTATATATAATTGTCTCACTACCAAATGTATTAATGCATATATTGAAGGAATAGACTAACAGGATTTTTTCATGTTCCGCTTAAGATCTGTGACCTGTGGCGTTGAATGGATCAGTGGTTTAGTATTAACAAGTACCATTTTCAGACTCCATTATAACTATTGCAGTTCGGGTGGGTAGAAAACAATATAGTAAACCGCCATTCAAGAAATTTTCTAGTTTGAATCATGAACTGAGCTTCGTAGGACAACGATTGGAAATCATGAATTAATGGAGAGCTAAATTGTCCTATTAAAAGATTCCTGAACTGTAAGTATCTGTAGTGAGTCAAAAACAGTAATCTACTAACTAAACTGCTAGATGGGTGTGAAGTCCTATATATCCCCAGTGTTTCTTAGTTTTCAAAGGTTGGCATCATAAGGGGAGTTGATATGGTTAGTCATGAAAGAAAATTGTGGTCGACATGGATTTTTATCATCTCAGTCATTCGTTAATGTTCATGAAAAACTGCTTTCTTTGATATTTTGCTAATATATATTTTCTTATATAATTAAGACCTTAAGGGAAGGTTTATGTAGTTTACAGATAATTTCCATCATGCTCTGATACTGGTTGATGATATATTAAGCGTCAAGTTGGACTGGATAAATGTCTAATCATGTATATCTCTGTAATTAGCCTATTAATGGGGAAACTAATTAACAATATATAGGGATATATGCAAGTGCCACTATGGCTTCATCTATAAATTTGTTGATAAATACTGCGGAACATATCAATAACCTAAAGTTAAATCGGAACAAAGCGTTAAAAAATGTTTTTACTTAGCATAGCAGGTACATAAAGTTAGTGGGTATATTTCCTAATTCCTATGATCACAATGATCTCGGGGCAAGATTTATCCACTTTAGTTATAAGTATAAATGTCTCGTTAAAATACAACATAACTAATATTTAATATTGGTACTAACTGAAAAGAATACCTTTAGGAAAATGAACAATTACCTGTCTATTTCTAAAAATACATCGTTCAATCCATGCTGCAATAGTCTGTCGAGCCACTTCTTCTTCAATTGCATATTCTAACTCTTCTCGAGCTATAAGTTCTTCTAATTGTAAAGTCTTAGTAATATCAACAGTTCTATAAGCTAAAACCCTTTTAAAAAATATTGAGAGACAGAGGAAATCAATGTTTCGTTCAATGCTTTATTAAGTAAAAACAAATTACATTTTTACTGTTTATTGTTTAGATAACTCCAGCTGAAACCCTCGTAAAGTTACTGTCGGTTTTAAGCTGGAGTAAAGGAGGGGAGTTGAGCATGGAGTCAGCAACCGAATGCTATAAAAAAAAGGTTGCTTAAAAACACTAACCATAGTAAATTATTTAACCACTCTGCTCTGGAAGTTAAAGGATCTCCATTTAGAAGAATTATAACGTCTCATGGTGAAGGTCGAGATTCTTTGAAAGGCACGAGGCAGATGCTTCTTCTAATAACCAGAGCAACAATCAATAAAGGTACACGGAATTTCTGGAGACTGGGAGGACCAGCTACATAGTACGAAAAATAATGAAATGCAGATTGGGGGTTCTCGGAATCAGAGAAAACCACTGGACCCAAGCTGGACAGAATAGATTAGATTCGAGATATGTTGTTGTACTCTGGTCATGAAGAGGAAAATCCCTCCAGCACGCAAAGAGTTGCACTGGCACTATCCAAGGAAGCACAGAAAGCATTCACAGAATGAGAATCTCATGGATCCAGGACTATTAAAGCATCTTTCAGAACAAAAGAGGAGGGAACCATAATGAATCTTATCCAGTGTAACGCGCCTACTAATGATAGCAACGAAGAAGGTAAAGATCAAATTTATGAGAGGCTGCAATCGATGATGGCGAAGTGCTCATTAAGCGGCTTGACCATCCTTATGGGAGACATAAACACCAAGTTCGGAATGGACAACATTGGGTATGCGGATATCATGGGCCTTACAAAATCTACTCAAGGACGAGGAAACAACTATAGGGAACAACTGTAAAGGAGTCAAAGAAGCACTAATTTCAACATATCAGGAGGTGCTGGGCTGCAAGATGTATCTCTATCGAAATCCTGAACAACAGCCGAACAAGAACAAAGAAAGCAAAGACACAGACTAAATACATAGGATCCAACAAGTAAGTGAAGAGAAGCATTAGAGCTGACAAACAAAAATATGTGGTAGACCTATCAACAACAGCGGGAATTACTGCAAATGAAGGCAATACGATACAACGAAGAAACTGACAGAGAAATATAGCGAACCAGATAGACACTAGTACTAGTGAACTTTTCTAGTTGATGACAATTTTTAATGAAAAATGTATAAAAACAATGACAAAATAACAAAATTAACGGTTGTCCAGTGTTTTCAGGTTTTCCATGATGATTTAGTTTCAATTGACTCATGAACTTAACTATTAAATTAACTTTTGTTAATTTCTTTTTAATTTCATAATTGAATTAACAATTTGTCATTAATTTCAATAGTTGAAATTATGAGTCAATTGAAGCAAGACCATCATGGAAAACCTAGAAGCACTAGACAGCCGTTCCGTCCTAGTATGGGACTCCTCAGCAATGCACATCCACAAACCATCCCTTGTGGGATTCGAACCCAAGACCTACTGGGTAGTAGTAAGTTTAGCAAATCACATATAAATATATACACATACTTAATTACTTAAATGTATTGGATAAACTATGTTTAATTTGAATAGGTCAATAAACATTGTGTATTTTCTTATCATACACAAAAGTTTCTGATTATAATATTAAGTTCAAACTGAAGAGTGATTTTCGTTTTGTTTAGTTCTTACAAAATAAAGAAGAATAAAAGAAAAAAAACAATAAAAAAGGGAAAGTAAACAAACAGACAAACAAACAAACAAACAAACAAAAAGACTGAAATAAGATTAGGAATATTGTTTCTATGTTAACTGAATAAAAACTCTTATAACTATGATCAATATAAACATTATTAACAGTATTATTGATTCATATTATTAGTAGTATTATCGTTTATTTCATTTATCAATTCTTAGCTTATTTCAAAGCTTTCTTATTCAGTTCCCCTTATATATATATATATATATATGTACATACATATTTGACAAACATATTAACAAAGTACTAAGTAAATGAATCTAATTTATATTGTTTTAAAAATAGACGATGTAAGCCTGTGTGATATTAATTTGTTTCATGCCATATATATACTCAGTTGAGTGAAGTCAATTTCAGTTTACTAAATTCAGTCATCTTCAAGACTATTTACTTTATTTATTCTGTATCATTTCTAACTTTCTTTTATGTTTCATTTAAAGTTTTAATAGTTATGATCATGAGTCAATTAATACTAGGTCACTATGGAAAACCTGGAAGTCCTGAACAGCCATTTCGTCCTATTGTAAAACTCTTCAACAGTGCGCATTCATGATTAGCGCTCGCGCGCAAGACTGATAGGTCCTGGGTTAGAATCTTGCGGAGGGGGGGGGCGAGATCATAGATGCACATTGCTCATAATAGGATGAAATGACCATCCAATGCTTCCAGGTTTTCAATAGTGGTCTAATAATCTCAATTATTGAAGTTATTAAAATCTCCACCAAAACCCCTTCTTATTTAAATTTATTTAATTAACTTTGATTATGTTACTTTATGACTTAATTCTTTACTTATTATTTTATGTTCATAATAAATAAAGTATGTGATGAAGTGAATAAATGAAGTAATAAAATTTGATTAAGTAGTTTATTTAAGTAGTAGTTATATGTATAGATTTATGCTTTATATTGTAAATAATAATTAATAGAATATTTTATAAAGATTTACTAAAAAGAGTAGACCAAGAATTATTATAGTTTCGATACTGTCCGATCGATATATACTTTTCTCAATCATTCTATCATTACCTTTTCCTTACTCTAAGATATCAAACAAATAATTGTGTTGATTATCTTTTTAAATTAACTGAGATGTAGAAAATAAAGAAGGGACGAATTCAGCTGAGATTCGATTATTAGATCTGATACATTTATATTAAATCAATTTCATTTGATACAAAACTGCATGTTAAATAATTTATTTTCTTAGTTGAAATCATGAGTCAATTGAAGCTACACCATCATGAAAAACCTGAAAGCACTAGGTGGCCGTTTTGTTCTAGTATGGGACTCCTCAGTGGTGGGCATCCAAGATCCCGCTCTTCGCGAGATTCCAACCCAGGACCTATCAGTCCTGCGCCAGGCGCTTAACCGACTTGACCACCATTTTATATAAAGTCATATATAAGCTTTACTGAATAGTCATTTTATTTATTCACTTTCTGTATCTTATTTATTGGAAAACATGAACACTTTCTTGGAGTTAATGTTTTCAATCAATCAATCAATCAATCAATCAACTACATAATTTATTTTGAATGTTTTATTCAATTCAATTAAAGTTTCCGTGATTAGAAAAAGGAAAACAAAAATAAGTAATAAATATTTTTTTCAGAAAACCATTTTTCGAGAGAAAAGTATAACGAGAGAGAAAGAGAGGGGGGAATAATCGACACTAAAGAAAACAATAACAAATAATTAATTGTCAATGGTTGAAAGTGTGAATTAATTGAGGTTAGACCACCATGAGAAACTTAGAAGCATTGGATGGTCGTTTCGTTCTATTGTGGGACTCCTCGTCAGTGCGCATTAGCTATACCACACTCCCCTCTGCAAGATTCGAACACAGGATCTATCAGTCTCGCGTGCGGACGCTTAACCATTAGACCACTGAGTTGATCGGCATCCAACGTTGTTAATGTCTAACTTCAACCAATCCATGGAAATGCGCCATCGTAAACCATTGTCTTTAGTGAATTCATATCTGACAACAGACCTGGTTGAACTCCATTGGTTCAGTGCTTCCAGGTTTTCTATAATGGTCTAACTTCAATTGACTCATGATTTCAACTATTGAAATTACTAAAATCTCTACAAAATCCCATTCTGCAAAATAGTTAATTGTCAAAAGTTGAAATCATGAATTCATTGAAGTTAGACCACCATGGAAAACTTGTAAGCATTGGATGGCTGTTTCGTTCTATTATGGGACTCTTCATTAATGTCTTCAGGTTTTATCATGGTGGTCTAGCTTAAATTGATTCATAAGCTTAACTATTAAAATTACTATAATATATCCACAAAAACCCCTTTTCAAAAAATTAATCGGTAATAGTTTATATATAAATTTAATTAATCTTAAGTCGTAGAATAGACCACCCTATAAATCTAACTGTAAACGATCATAATATACACTTTATTATACAGCTGAACTATACCATTATATATATATATAAGTTTTCATATTCTCAAGTATGTACTTACATTAAAACATCATGAAAACTAACATCTTTATCACGACCACCACGAAGTGTTTCTACTTCATAACACATTTCTTTAAATAATTGTTGATCTTTCTTTTTAGCTAAATCAAAACCAACACGTTCACGTGGAATAAGACGTAGTAGAAATCGTACATAATAAGCTTTGACAACACCCTAATTAATAAGAACAAAATAAGAACAAAAATTAAACAGTTTCTTTTTTTCTTTTCTTTAAAAAAAAACATAACAAAAGGGACACAGAAAATGAGGTAACAAGAAATGGGAATAAAGGAGAACAAAAAAGTTATATAATTGAAAGCCACTTAATAAATAATTTATACATTCATATTAATATAAAGTATTACTTGATAATTAACGAATAAATGGTTTATAAGTGTTTCAGTAGTATTTATCGAAGTTGAGAATTTTTTTTATTAGTTGAAATCATGATTCAATTAAAGCTAGATACTATGGAAAACTTGGAAGTATTGGATGACCGTTTCGTCCTATTTTAGGACTCCTTATCAGTACGCATCAATGCAGGTGCATCCACTCTTTTTGAATTCTTTATGTCCGTTTGTTTTTTCTCCTTCCAAATTTATTTCACTGGGTTATATTCGTTGGATAACATCTTCAAACCTTAATCTTTCCGATTACTGCTTATACTGTTCTACCTCTACCACTACCAGATTTGAATCGACAATTGTATCTATGTGGTAATGTGGTATGGAAACTTGAACTGATGTACGTTGTTACTAACTGACTGATACTAATCCTTACTTCCACATACTTTGTTTCGTTTTATGAAGTAATTCATTGTACAATTACCAACTTGTGTTATTCTTACGTAAGTCAAATGGAATTAATTGAACTAGTTCACCTAATCGTTTGAAATTTATAATCTTTACGAAGTTAGAAATAATGAGCATTATCACATTGATAACTAATATATAATCATTAAAATGTAGGTCATATTGATTAAGTTTCTTACAAACTTACTAATGATTAATATATTCAGCTATATTAGTGTATCTTATTATTTACCGATATTAATATCCGTTACTGTAACCATGTAACTTTTGTATTCACCATTAAGTAATATAAATCTAACTAGGAATAATCTACACTTAAAAAGTAACACATTTAATTTTGAACTAAAAATTCGTTTGATTAAGTTTTCAATATAAGTTTATCGTGTTATGATAACCATAGATGATAGTAGGTATGACAAAAGCTGTCGTATACATACTTCATTACATGGAAACGACTTTTTCGAAAATGAATTGAATCTTATTATTATTGCATGGGATTTGTAGAGATCATTAAATTTCATACTTTACATTATGAACCGATCCTATTTAGACAAACATTCAAAATCAAGAAGCACTATTGATTTGTTAAGTTTTTGTATGAAGTTCTTGTGCAATAAATACTCAGGAGTAAAGTATGGATCGAATCTAAGACCTTTGAGTCTCGTGACAAACGTTTATACTCTAGATTATTGACCCAATATCTAATACTTTATATTTCTAACTTGAATTAATCTCTACTAATTCCATTGTTATGTAAATAACTCATATAGGACATGACTGAACCACACTAGTCACTTTACAAAGTATGTAATGGCACTTGGCCTTAATCATACAATCCTCAAAGTTGAACACGAGACAACTGGTAAAGTCGATATTCATCGTTTTACACGGAGAAAAAATCAAAGATGAGGAAAGCGAGAACAATGAATTGAATTAGTTCAAATCAATCGGATGGCATGACTTGGCCTAGCATATAACTTTTATTCATATCAAATATATTGTTTTATCTCTAGCCTAAGTGTGTTCTTCATCATATATTGGTAATTGTTATGACATGATGATTTGGTGTAGATAATAATGTGACTTCCATGTAAGATCTTATAGATTAAGCAGTTACATCACGACAAATTTACCATTTTAGGATTAAGTTTATTATTAGAGTGGTACTAATTATTGAGTCAGCTTTCGGAGAACTTCAATGGAGCCTTCAGAGGCCCAAAAGGAGCCGAAGAGTCCTAGCCACTCAGAGTGTAATGGAACGTTCCAGAATTCCAACGTGGCGTGCTACTATTGGTCGGTAGCATAATATGTCGTTATCGGATTGACTGTAAAATGATGTTGATTTAAAAGACGCCAACATCTAAAAAATACCCATGATTTTCTGTACAAAAATGAGCCTTGGGATAAAGTATTTTCTCTCATACTTGTGTCTTCTCTCTGGTGTTCAAGTCGCTGTGTAGTTCTAGACTGCGGGTTACCGGAATAGTTTAGGAACAGGTATAGCGTTCAATTGACAAGACTTATCACTAATATCATAGCTGACCATACTGCTACTCAATATTTAGCATAGTTTTTGAGAAAATATATATACGAATATCATCATTATTACTAATAATAATACTACTTAAATAATCTCACTTTTCTATTGACATCAATAATATTCCAAGCTAATTGAAAATTCCGTATATCACTATAACTCATAATAGCATCTTCATCATTTGAATAAAATAAAGAGAAATTCTCCATAATAATTGCTATAAGAGAATAAAAGTAGGAAAAGAAAAAACACAAGAATGTTCAAAAGAAAATCCATTTCTTGTAAAAGGGAATTTTATTGTGTGGCATTATTGACAAATAACGGATTATTATTATTATTGTTAAACACTAAAACTTTAACAAAAGCCAGAATGGAAAGTTGTGGAGATTGTAATAATTTTGATAGTTAAATTCATAAGTCGATCTAAGCTGGAAAACTATTGAGAACCTGGAAGTATTGGATGGTTGTTTCGTCTTATTATGGAACTTCATAGCAATACTCATCCGCGATCCCACATGAGGGACTCGATTCCCATACTAATGCTAGGACAAAATAACCATCCAATGCTTGCAAGTTTTCAATGGTAGTCTAACTTAGATCGACTCATATGTTCAATATCTGAAACAAAACTATAAATGAAAAAGTATGATGCTGAAAAATAATTCAAATTTTCTGAGTTGATTGATGGTTATTACATACTAGACAGAGAATATGTAAAAGCCATTTAAAATGTTGCATTTATTTTCTTAGTATTATTCATACAATGTACGCAAAACCTCATCTGATACTAATCAACATATACTCACTAGTGACTGGCTTCATGAGGTATATTCTGAAGTACTTGTGAGAAGCCGTGGCCAGTGGAGTTCAACCGGGTCTGTTGTGAGATAGTAGCTTACTGATGACAATGGTGGATGTGTCGCTCAATTCGGTGGATTAGTTGAAGTTATACATTAACACCGTTGGATGCCGTTTCAGTGGTTTAGAGGTTAAGCGCTCGCACGCGAGGCTGATACGTCTCGGATTTGAATCTCGCAAGGGGCGGGATCGTGGATGCGCATTGCTGAGTAGTTCCACAATAGGACGAAACGGCCATCCAGTACTTTCAGGTTTTCCATGGTGGTCTAGCTGCAATTGAATCATGATCTCAACTATTGAAATTACTAAAATCTCCACAAAACCCCTTCTGATACTTATTCATAAAAGACATTTAATCCATAATGAAATAATCAGTTGAAAAATTCGTACTCCGAGTTAAACACTCGATAATTTTGTTTCTGATTTGAGACAGAGCAAACTGTTAACTTGAATAAACTTTGTATAGTTCAATTAAGGATCTAGCTCACAAACGGTTATGAAATAGATTTTTACAAGGCTTATAAATATATCTTCTTTTACAATCGACTTTCAATGCGTAATCAAAGTATGTTCGATACAAAAACTTGTTGTGTGTTTGTGGCTTCCACGTAGATTACGCGTACACCTGTCAGTGAAACGATGATTATATCATACATCTTTATAAATATATGTATACCACTGGATTATGTCAGAATGCTCAAGCACCTAAGTAACATAAAAGGTAACTTGACATTAACTGTTAACAAATAAATGATTGATGTAACCAATTTTTAAAAAAATTAGCTCTTGTTTCCCTGTAAATATATGATGAGCTATTGCAACTAAGATATTTACCTCTTGTTTATTCATAAAGTTTTCGTTCGTAAGAACTTTAACATTCTTTTCTTTTGTTATTAATAAGTAGAATAAATCGATTTATATCTATACAATGTCCACGTGAACACCGCCGATCTTCAACGAACAAGTAAGCTGAAAATCTAGCCGTTCATTCAATTAGCTTGGATTAAGTAAATATTATGATTTAGATTGTGAAATCTATCTGGGCTCTTCTTTTCAACTTGATTTACGATATCAGCATAAAGTTGTGTAGATTGTAGAAATTTTGATTCAGATCGTGAATTAATCAATGTTAGACCATCATTTAAAACCTAAAAGTACTAGACAACTTACTGACAGTATTACAGATGCACACTGCTGAAGAGTCCCATATTAGAACGAAACAACCATCAAGTACTTCTAAGTTTACAATAATGATCTAACATTGATCGATTTATTTACAATAACTTAATTATGTTATATCAAGCAAATTAATAATGATCAATAGATGAACTTACCAACAAGTACATTTAACATAACATATGTAATAATAACATAAAATGAACAAAAATATATTAATGCTGCTCTAAAATTTCCACAATCTGTTTCCCAAAATGTTGCATGCATTCGACAAAATGGTGGTTGTATCATACAATCATGCATAATTTTATTCCAATCTTCACCTAAAAAAATATTAAAATTTTATTCTTATTATTAAACAAAAGTTAATTAATGAATTACAATAAGAAAAAGATAGGTATCTTATATTGAATATTACTATACATTTTCAGTTTAGTTATTCATTAGTATTGTTGTAGAGTAAACGAGAACACAAAATGTACTTCATTTGCATGATGTTCATTAATTTTCTCAGACTTCATTGTTCCTGGATTTCCCGTTCTTTCCTCTTTGATCTTCTTAACTTTCTGCTACCAGACATTCTATTCTCGACTAGCGTTATATACTACTTATGCGAAATAAGTAGCATAACACCATAGTATAATCTAATTAGTTGAATTATATATTTTTTTTATTTTGGATTCATTCTTTTGTTGAAATCATGAGTCGATTGAAGCTAGACTACCATTTAAAACCTGAAGGCACTGGACGGCCGTTTCGTTCTAGTATGGGACTCGCCAACAGTGCGCGTCCACAATACCGCCCCCCCCCCGAGAGATTCGAACACAGGACCTATCAGTCTCGCTCCAGGCGGTTAACCACTAGACCACTGAGCTGGTCGGCATTCAACAGTGTTAATGTCTAACTCCAAGCAATTCGCGGAATTGCGCCACCGTCACCATTGTCTTCAGTGAATTGATATCTCACAACAGACCCGGTTGAAATCCACTGGTCACGGCTTCTCACTAGAACTCAAGGAAATGCCTCTTGAAGTCAGTCACCAGTGACTGGTAGGTCCTGGATTCAAATATCGAAGGAGGGCGGGCTCATGGATGCTCACTGCTGATGAGTCCCATACTAGGATGAAACGGCCGTCCCGTGCCTTCAGGTTTTCCATGGTGGTCTAGCTTCAAATGACTCATGATTTCAACTACTGAAATTTCTAAAATCTCCACAAAACCACTTCTGATTATTTTGTATTGAATTAAATAAAATTGATTCACTGTCCTCCTGACATTGAACTCGTCATTAATAAGACAAAATATTTATAGAATCTATCGTTAAATAGTAATTAAAAGAATTTTAATAATAAAAAAGAACGACAAGTTTACTAACCGGAAAATACAGTTCCATACAAATAAAATCATATTTGTTGCATAGACAAGTGACTAATTAGACTCAGTAGCTCAGTATTATAATCCGTTAGAGTTCATAGCAGTTGATATCGGGTACGAGTTTCAATATCAACATCAACACTAGAATTCAGGTAAATTTAGCTGACAATATCAAATAATTTCATTACTAGTTACAATAAATATGTTCTACGAAGTTCTATAAAGTTTGATATTTTACAACAATACAAACCCAAGAGGTATTATTATATAGTAAATTTGAGTCTTATTAGTCATTTTTGAAAGTAAAATACCATTCAACCAATGATTGTTTAAATTTTCCTGCTGAAATCACTTTACAGTTATCTTATTTCATTGTCGACTACTCGACTTCATTACAGTGAACAGATTTTAGCTTTATATTTAAAATTTAATAACAAAATATTGAGGGACAATTTCAATACAGTTCAATGACTCAGTTTACTGTATCAAGTTTGAACCACTTGATTACTGTTTGATGTGGATAAATACAATAGAGTAAATCAGTATAGTTTCATTGAAAAGATTAAACTTTTATTCAACAATTTCTAGTTTTATATAATTCTCTAGATTACAGCAGTTTAACGAAGAAATTTTCATTGAATGAATGAAATCTTCAGAAAGAAATCAGTTGAGCTTTCTTAGATTCTCTATAACTTGTAAAGATAAATTTTTCATTTTATTAAAATTATTTACTGAAATCATATTTTGACATAATAAATAAACTTAGATTTTAATCAGTGATAGATTTTTTGGAGAGATTCACGTGATTCGAAACCAGGATCTATCAGTCTCGTACGCGAACGCTTAAGCTTTAGACCACTGATCCGGCATCCAAGGGTGTCAATGTTTAACTTCAACCAGTCCATGAAATTTCATCAGCGTCCACCATCATGGATGGGCACTGTAGAGGAATCCCATACTGAGACGAAATGGCCGTTCAGTGCTTCTAGGTTTTCCATGGTAGTCTAGCTTCAATTAACTCAGGAGTTGAATTATTAAATAACTTAGATTTAAGAGAAAAGAAATTAATATTACCTGTCACAATTCTTGTCAATAAAGCAGTTGCTCGAAATGTATTGTGAAAATTTGCATGTCGACCAAGATTATCACCATATTTTACAGATCCAAATAAAATAACACCAGCCAATGCATATACCATCATTAATAAAAACATACTCATAATAATAAATAATGATTTATACATTGACATAACAACAGTTAACATTAACATTTTCAATGTAACCTGCAATAAAGAAATCGAAAAAAAATAGAACAGTGCTACAATTATATATTGAAAACAAATACAAAAAGTGTTATACGATCATTAGATAATGTAACTTCATTATCATTATCACTATTTAAACACATAAACATGGGTACAAGAAGGCACCAAATGGATTAGCGCCACATGAATCATTCGATTTGTGTAAGGGTTGGGATACTTTGAGGATATGCAAACCGAGGCAGGTGATTTCCTTAGGGGACCACACTACGAGCACCTGGCTTCACGATATAATTCACAAGATAGTGGAGCAACTTTAGGAGGCTGGCATTCACCATAGGTGATGTAAGTTGGTAAAAGCCAAACGAACTTTTTGAATCTGTGCTGAGATTTCGACAGACACCAACCCATCAGGGCTGATCAGACTTCCAAGATATGTGAAATTGTCAAGGCGTTCGACCACTTCACTCTCTATACTTAGTTGATATAGGCCAGTCATGAATCGAAAACAGTAGATTGAATATATATAAAATGAAGAACTGTAAAGAAACCGAGAGAAAACAAACTAGTTAACTTTTAATCCTGACATGGTTGAGCGTCACTAAATACAGTTTCTCAACCAGTCAGCTACCAAATATCTATGTAAATAAATTTTAAAAAGAAACAAATTAAAGAAGGCTGTTTTATTTTTCTAAATTTTGTAATTTATACTATTGAATAAACGGAATACACCCATTAAGATATGGAACAAGAAAGATTGATTCAACAATGAGCTCTCTTTTCAGTGAATTCATTTCATTTCAATTGTACAGCTTTGAAAATAAATTCACAGAAAAGAGAACTCTTCACTGAATCAATCTTTATTATTCTATTTTGAGTGTTCATTAATCATATCAAAATCAATCCAATATATCAATCCGATAGAAATAACAAAGATTAGATTATTTCGTTTTCAAATATCTATTGATGATAAGAAACAATTCATTATTCTCTAATCACAAACGCCAATAGTCACCAATACAAAATGAAAAAATTGATTTTTAGAAGGGTTCGTTGTTAGATGGTTGAAGTTAGTCGACTGAAAACCCTGTACCCGGGTTTCGTGCCACTCGGTGGTGATCAATATCATGCGTGTCAAGTCCTTATTTAGTTCAGATCGAATGCTATCGACTATGTTGTAATGTGTCCACCAGTCCAGGGAGCACCAGTTCCCTCAAGATTACAGGTGCATCTTACTGACGAGTGCCAAGTAGCACGAAACCCGGGTTCAGGGTTTCCTGTCGACTACCTCCAACTACCATCTAATCTCAATATAGTGCACGCAGTGTTGAGTCACCTAGACTAGTGGCCACATTGCAACATGATCGATAGCATTCGATCTGCACTAAATAAAAACTTGACACACATGACATTGACCACCATTCAGTGATCAATCAATTGTGAGGGTTAGTTGTTGTTAGTGGTAGTTATAGTCAAATTCATCACGAAAATTTTTCCTTAAAAATGAAAGAAAATAGTTAAATTTTAGAAATCAAAAGAAAAGTTGTCGTTTGAATAGAAATATTGTTAAATCACGCAAGAGGTTGTTGTTTGTTTATTTGTTGTTTCTCTTCTTTTTAATGAATAAATAAAATAAATACTATTGAAATAACATTGCACATTATTATTAACTTACATGCCTTCCAGCAATTGTGAAAAATCTAAGCATTAAAACAAACCAACCGAAATTATTGCTTATCATATGTTTTTCCTTTGAAAAAAGAAAGAAAGAACAACATAGAAAACGTTGTGAATAAATAGATGATTGAAAATAACAATGATAAGTGACTATCGGGACTCAGTAACTAATTGGAGAATGTGATAGCGTTTGAAGCGAACGGTACGTGGTTCGAGTCCTAGAGTAAACATCAACTCTGATGGGTATGCATCCAGCTGATGAGTTTAAATAAGATGAAACGCACGTTCTAGATTCCACGGATAACCAATATCTATCTTTGCATAAAATGATAAGTGTTGTTAGAAAATGTTGTTGTTTATTAAAGGTAAAACTTACAATGCTACATCTTATTATGTTTAAGCGTAGAAACATATTTTTTCTACAATTAGCTTCTAACGAAGTGTCTACATTGATATGTATGAGTTAGTGAGTGAAGTATAAAGTCAATATCAAATAAATGATGGAAGATTAATTTAACGATGTATGCCAATTTCTGAAAACGGGGTATAAGTTTTAAATAAAATATTGGCTGACATTATGAGTTCTGATCCTTGAGATGGTGGAGAAGAACAAGTTATGAAACGCATATGAAGAAATTCGAATACTTCACTTCTATTTGTAGTTTGTGCTGATGATGTCGTTCAGAAGAAAAATGAAAGCTCCACGACCAATTCATAAAGCTCAGAGAACAAAACTCCATCAAAAGTTCTAATCCTTATTAAATGCAAAAACTAGATCTGGTATTAATAAATTTGATATTTCTTTCTCTTAATGTGAAATTCAAATCTTTTTGGGAATTTACATCCATTACGATATAAAAACATAAGACTACTGAATTGTAAATATGAAAACGTAGGCATTTTTGATTCGTTTGTCAGCAACCAGCAATTAAAATCACATTTAAATTAGACTACAATGACTACGATTTGTTAAGTAATAAACAACATAATACTATTAACATACATCTGTATCAGTCATATGAATTGTTCACATCTTCACAGTCTTTCAAGGCTGATACGTACTGCTTGCCTATAGTTAGTGACTCTTCACACTCTTACGACGTCTTTTTTTAACAACCTTATTACTTACTTACTTACGGCTGTTACTCCCAATGGAGTATAGGCCGCCGACCAGCATTCTCCAACCCACTCTGTCCTGGGCCTCCTTTTCTAATTCCATCCAATTCTTGTTCATCTTTTTCATGTCTATCTCCATTTCTTGGCGTAATGTGTTCTCTGGTCTTCCTATTTCCCTTTGGCCTTGAGGATTCCATGTGAGGGCTTGTCTTGTGACGCAGTTGGGTGCTTTCCTCAATGTGTGTCCTATCCACTTCCAGCGATTCTTCCTGATTTCTTCCTCCGCTGGGATCTAGTTTGTTCTCTCCCACAGTACGTTGTTGCTAATAGTGTCCGGCCAACGGATCTGAAGTATTTTGCGTAGACAACAGTTAATAAACACCTGTACCTTCTGGATGATGGCTTTCGTAGTTCTCCAGGTTTCCACCCCATACAGTAGAACTGTCTTGACATTTGTATTGAAATTTCTGACCTTGGTGTTGGTTGACAGTTGCTTTGAGTTCCAGATGTTTCTCAGCTGTAAATATGCTGCTCTTGCTTTGCCGATCCGCGCCTTCACATCTGCATCAGATCCACCCTGTTCATCAATGATGCTGCCCAAATATGTAAAGGTTTTTACATCTTCCAAATCGTCTCCGTCAATTTTGATTGGATTGGTGCATGCTGTGTTGTATCGTGGAATCCTGCTTTTCCCTTTGTGTATATTGAGACCTACTGCTGCTGAGGCTGCTGCTACACTGTTCGTCTTCTCCTGCATTTGTTGTTCACCTAAAAACATTTCGCTTTCTAAAAGTTGTCGTATCCAAGTTTATTTGATGATTTTATACACGAAATGTATTACCGAATAGTTTCAATTATTATAGCTAAGAAGACTCCATGAACATCTCTTTATCGTTCATAAAACGCGTCTTAACTTAAGTTGGTTCAATATAAATCTACGCGCTTTGATATTAAAATTTCCGAATTATGAACTAAGTCTGAATGATTATTCATTCGTAAATGTAAGTCGAGAAAGTTTTTATACCAATTTATAAAGCTTCGAAGAAAGTTTAAAACTGAATGGTATCACTTGCATCTATTCAAGAGAGTGTAATGAAAAAATAAACCAGTAATTTGTTAACGATTTTACACTCTTGATTGCCCCTGAATGTGCTGGTACAACCAAGGGTGGAGAGAGTCATCTCTCTTTCTTCAAATGCTCTCATATGGCCACGCGTATATAGTCTCTGCTAGGGAAGTCATACTCACTGTCTTCTCATGATGTGGGTGTTGTTTACGGAATGGAGAGGACGAAAAGTGAATGTCTGGCGATTTAACTGGGTTGGTGAACACGGGGACTTCAACTAGAGGAGTTCGAAAACCCTGATTCCAAACCAATGATACACATGGGTTCCAGTATCCTGAAGGAAAAAATGGTGTATGAACCAATCGTTGGTCGCTGACTACCATGGGACTGCATCTCCTTACGATGCTCCACTGCCTTGTGGATTAGACTTCTAGGTCAAAGTCTCCGAGTGTGGCCCCCTAATAAAATCATCTGTTTCGATTTAGGAACCTGGATAGTATCCCAGCCCTCACACATATTAATGATAACTATTATTAACCTCATTGTTATTATGTGGCACATATGTATTTGATCCCCTAATATTTATATTATTCAAATAAATAAATAAATCATTATAGAATGAATTAACACTTACAGGAATTGGTCGTAGTATAAAATGTAAAATAATCCATGTTACACCAAGTACAGCAACAAGCATATCAAAACGATTACGTTTCGATTGCCAATAACCTCCAAATTTTAATGCAATAATTTTTAATAAACATTCAATACAAAAGAATAAGGTAAATATAATACCTAAAGAGACTTGAATTTGATATCTTGGTTTAACCCAACTGGATCTTTCAGTACCTAATTCATTAAACTAATAAATGGAATAAAAAGAAAATATAATATTGTCAAGGGGGAAAAAATAAAATTAGATTTTGTTGAATTATCCCAAATATAATTTAAAATAGAATAAAATAAATAAATATGTCACGTTCCTGATAGACTAGACTAGGTTAAATGAATAAATAAGCAATTTTACGCAATTAGTTCCCTTTATGTAGCCGAACAAAAGCAGAAAAACAAAAGGTACAATTTGGATACACAGAAGTAAACAAGCAAATAGAGGAAGAAATCAAGAAGAAGCATTGGAATTGGATAAGCCTTCATTTGGAATCCTCAAGGCCAAAAGAAAAAAGGAAGACCAAAGAACACATTACGCCGTGAAATGGAGATAGACATGAGAAGAATGAACAAGAATTGGATGGAACTAGAAACGAAGGCCCAAGATAGAGTGAGTTGGAGAATGCTGGTCGGTGGCCTATGCTCCATTGGGAGTAACAGGCGTACGTAAGTAAGTTTCTTTTATGAATTTAAAAATAGCCAAAACGAATGTGGATGAAGAATAATATGAATTCATTATAGTTTGTGGTTTCTCATCAGTTGCTTACAACCATATATGTATTAGAATTTTACATTGAGGTAAGAAATAGTATGGAATAATTGACATAAATGAATGTTATAAATGACCTAAATAAACACAGAAATGTTTCATAAAGAATCATCTTCACCTAAAGATTCACATGACATTCACATAATCTGATTTATTTTAATTATGATGGAACTTACTATTCTACCATGTACCTGTTTACGATTTAGTTCGGTTATTTATGTTTTTATTCTAATGAAGTAACTTATGATAAGTCAGGAAATCAAAATTTCAATGAGACTATAATTTATGGACGTAATAATGGAATTAAAGACAGCACATTTTGGATTTAGGCGAGAAATTCATTCATCCATTTGGTTACATAATGTTTTGTTAATTAAGCTGATAAAAACCCTAGATCTAATTCTTACGGTAACCATCAATTGTAAATCACAATTCTAATCCCTTATTAAGTCCTAGTTAATAAGTGAACATTCTCATGGTTACTTCAGTGTCACTCAAAGGTCATTCATAAATTATAGTCTCATCAATCAATCATTTTGATTGTATAAACTTATGTAATAACTAATTTAATATGAAAGCGAAATGTGAATTGCGTACATAAAAGTTTCAGTAGTTGAGATCATGAGTCAATTGAAGCTAGACCACCATGGGAAACTTGGAAGCAATGGACGGCCATTTCTTCCTAGCCTTAGACTCCTCAGTAGTGAGTATCCACGATCCCGCCTAGCGTGATTCGAACCCTGGACCTACTGGTCTCGCATGCAAGCACTTGACCACGACAAAGTCTATAATTAAATTTTATGCATTATCAAAAACTTAATTTGGAGAGGAAATTTTTAATGAATTTTTATTAAAAATTTTTTTCTTTTTCAAATAATTGAAAATCTGTCAAGTCTGAAAAAGCAAAATATCAGCAATCGGTCATAGTCGAAATCATAAAATGAACAACAAGATTATTAATGTACTAGGATTAGTTGTTTTTGTGAGTCGTTTATATTACAAGCCAACTATGGTTAGATAAATACTAAAAATTAGACAATAGTGAGTTGTTTTATTTTAGTATAGTGTACATCAACCACGGGATCAGGATTGGATCTATGAACTTTCGACCTCATAGTAAACAGAACACGGAGCTGGTATTGAATACTACATTTTCCTAACTTCAGTTAATATGAGTGAACTAGATTGTTCATAGATTTTTATTAGATTTTTGGCAACTTTTCTCAATGTTAATCATTAGAACAAAATGAAACACCCACCCAATTCATTCCGGTTTCCAACGTTTTGTCAGCTGAGATCAGCTTCTGATGTAAAGTACTTTAACAAATTCCTGAAATAGTCATTTTAATTGATATGACTAAAACTTATTGATAATGTTTGAGTGATGCTAAACTGATCTTTAGAAGATTTGCCTACTTACTAAGGGTCAAATGAAAAATCATAATTAAAATCTACAGTTGGAAGTTAGGAATAAGAGTTTTCATCACTAACTGACATCAGCTAGAATGCTGAAATTCTATTTAACTGTATAAATGAACGAATTTTGCACCGATATATTCAAGATATAGAAAATTTAATTTCATTGATTCACCTACAAATACTAATCTCAATGTTTAAATAAACTAAAAATAGATCAAAACTGATTGATCACTGGGTGGTGGGTGATCAACGTCATGTGTGTCAAGTCCTTCTTAGTACAGATCGAATACTATCGACCAAGTTACAAAACTAAAAAAATATGTAACAATATTACTTACTGGAAAGAATAACAGAAAACAATTGGCAACAACTAGAGTTGCTGAAGCACGTTTAAATAAAATATGCTGAGTTATATCATAGATGAAACAACGAAATTTTAAACTTTTCTTTTCCAGATTATTCGATTTCGGACTAACGATATTTCTTGTTAGACCAGGTTCTTGATGAAGTTCTATTTTTTTCAACAACAACAAAAATGTAGAAACAAGTGAAGAAAAGATATATGGTACGTGAAAAACATTTCATACTTCATTTTAGTATTCTAAACACTTTATTTTGATTATGAACTGAGATTAACTGAGGGTGTATTAGAAGTAGAAAACCAACGGTTTTATTCCGGTTATGTTCTTCTTGACAGTGTACACCTATGACTTCATAATGAATGAAGTTCATTGTATATTACTCTTACTGATATCATGGAAATCAAAATTTTTTTTTTAAAAGAATGATCTACATTTGGAAGTTTATTCATATCATTAAACACTAGAATCTTAACTGTCTACTGCTGAAACGTTTACTAAATTTTAACGGAAGGATATTATTTGAAGATCAAGAATATAAATCCCTGATGGAACTGAATGATTATGAAACCACATCATAAATTATATAAAATTAGAAATTAGATACTGGTTGACTAATGGTCCATGTAGATCTCATTATTATAGAAAAGATAACTTTTTCGAGTTTACCCAAGTTTTCATAGTACCAGTATGTAATCTAGTGACCACTGGTGAATAAAGAACTTCGCTTGAATGGACTTATTCAAGTAGTCAGTTAATGTATGAAGATAATTGATATGGAGTAGAATATAGAATCCATTCGGATATTTAGGTAGTCAGAGTAAATAAAGTGGTTATATGAACGTTTTTTTGAAAATATGGTAAATTTGAATTCAGGCTTTAAGAGTTTTGCTGTAAGTAATTGAGAATCATAGAAAATTGAGTGTGTTACGATATATAACCCATCATCATATGTAAAAGTACAACGCTCCTTATATTCTCATTCTGTTCTTTGCTCAGTTATGAACAATGATGTTCAGAATTATTTTGACCAGATCGTTCAGTAACATATACAATATAATGTCACGTAATAAATTTAAAATAGGGATTTTCGCCACCAATATGTACAATATAATCAGCATTTGGAAACCACAATATGCTGAATTGCTAGAATTTGTCCATCTGCGGGTATATGTACTCACTTCCGATAACTTGTACACTGTCACAGAAAAGTCATCCAGTTCTCCTTGTATTTAAATGGTTCATTGGTTAATATGAAAAAGACTGCCTTATTGATATAACGATTTCACTCATTTACAAGGTTACAGTTGTAAAACGTTCTCAAAACGTTATGTCCAATTTTTAGCCATTAATTAACAAGTTCGAATCCTATCCTACCTAATTTGATTTCGTTACCCAGGTGATATCAGTACCTTTCACACTTCATTTATAACTCAGAGATAAGTCCATAAATTTTTATCTAGTAATGAGTTAACATGGATTTGAGTAGCTAATGTAGTTACCTTAGATACTAAAACTCATAATATCTCTACATGATTAATTTTGATCTTGTTATGACATAATCACCGATCCTTTGAAACTTAAAATGTACTTGTGATTGTATCTTAGTGAATACATTTCAATTCTTTATTAATGAATAGTTTACTCATAGTAATGAAGTTAATAATTATTTACAAAAATATAATTAGACTACTAGTAAAGACCAAAGATCACATTACGCCGAGAAATGGAAATAGACATGAAAAAGATGAACAAGAATTGGATGGAATTAGAAAAGGAGGCCTAGGACAGAGTGGGTTGGAGAATGCTGATCGGTGGCCTATGCTCCATTGGGAGTAACAGGCGTAAGTAAGTAAGTAAGTAAATATATTTGAAAATATATGAATATATTATAGAAATAGCTTACTTGGACGTGGTGGAATTTGTAAAGGTTGAGTTAATCTTATACGACCTTTTAAATCTAACCATCTACGTTGATCAACAGTAAGTAATGCTGTACCCTATAGAGAAAATTTTCAATATAATTCACAGTAGAATAAATTAAATGTTTAGATTAACTGAATATGTTATTTAAAATATTATGAATTAAATTTTATTTAAATAATTTGAGAATAATCTATTATTTCAATAGTTGAAATCATGAGTCAATTGAAGCTAGACCACCATGGAAAACCATACACCATTGTCCTCAGTGAGCTGATATCTCACAACAGAACTAGTTGAACTCCACTGGTAACGGATTCTCACTAAAACTCCAAAAAATATCTCTTGAAGTGAGCGGATGATTATTATTAGAAGGGGTTTTGTGATTTTTTTTTTAGAAATTTCGGTATTTGAATTCATGAGTCAGTTGAAACCAGATCACCATGGAAAACTTAGAAGCACTGAACAGCCTTTTCGTCTTAGTATGGGACTCCTCAACAGTGCGCACCCACGATCCCGCTCTCCCTGACCGTGAGATTCGAACCCAGGACCTATATTTAAATCAACAGAATCTAAACTGGAATATCATCTATAGTTTGCTATCAATATCAACTATTGAATATACAATTCACTAACGGGTATGGCTACACAACTACAGACACGCACACACACATATATATATTTATATACGTGTAGTATTGACAAGTCCAACTGTCATAACAAGTTTAAATTAAAATAATTTCGAATGAAAAATACAACAACAAAAAAATAGTGAAATAATTTAAAACTATGATGGTACGGTATAAAAAACTAAATAAAAAAAAATAACACAACAACATTCATTGTCTCTTTTCCCATATTCTTTGATTAAGACTCTTTTAGTCTCAATATTATCAACAATGAACAATTCTGTCTGATCATTATCAATTGTGTATTTTTTTTTCATGAGGAAATAGATGAAGAGAGAATAAAAGATTTTTTTTCTTTTTGACAGATTTTTTTGGGGGGAATTTTTATTTTAGAAAATAACTTTTTCTAACAAAACAAACAACATACATTTAAATCATATTTGTAATTGTTGATTGAGAATAATAGGTGAAATTTAAACAAAGATGGATAGTAGCTAGCAGTGGAATCCAGTTTGACGTGTGTTTCGTCCTATTTGAGACTCGTCAACTAGATGTGTCTACATCCCATTGTTGATGTTTACTCCGGGATTCGAACCCAGTAACGTTCGCTTCAAATGCCATCGAGTTTTCCACTTAGCTACTGAGTCCTGATAGCCAAATGATTGTGTAATGAGGTGAAGTTTGAATTCACTTCGTGTTGTTTTACTTCTATCTTCCCATTGTTATTTAGGATTGCAATTGATCAATCTCATGCAGGTACATCCAGATGATGAGTCCCAAATTGGACGAAATGTGCGTCAAACTGGTGTCCACTGCTAGCCACTATCCATTTTCGTTTTTGAAATAGCTTATGACTTAAGGCTATATCGAGGCAATCCGTACAGGATGCAGATATCCCAACAACAGACTGATCAGTCGCAGTTCTTAATAACAATTGGAAGATACAAGTAAAACAATACCAAGTGAATATGTGAAATTATTTGAAATTTTTTTAATGTTTTGATGGTAGTTGAGATAAAAAAAACTTTTTTTTGATCCAAACAAACATTGTAAAACATATTTTTTTAAAATCACTGAGTAATTTTTCTTGGTCTTCTACACTTAATATTGGTTAAAATTTGAAAAGTCTCCAATGTCGGTCATTATATTAAGCCCATATATCTGATTCTCTCTATTCCATTCGCTTTATATACAAAGTATATGCATTCAAAAGTCCGTTCCGTTATTGACTAACGCGATTTAAGTCGATGATTATATACCAGGATAGGCGATAACACACATTCACACGATCTAATAGGAGTCAGATCTCGGGCCACTAAAGTGGAGAGCTTTTTCGACAACATCGTCCGATCTAAATGAGGAGAAAATTACGGGCCTCCACAAAACGTCATCCTGAAGTTTTAACAATGATACTAGTGAAACCATTGGGATTGATGAGTTCAAAACCTTAATGAAATCAACAGTTGCTAACGGATGATAAGTGTCAAACTAAAACATAACAGCTGTTCACTTAATCACTGCTTTTTATTGAGTGTTTGGATAGAGTCAATAAAAGCATATAATTTGTTTGAAAGATTGATATATTTTATTATTTATTGTCTTCTTCTAACATTATTGGTTCATGATTTTAGGTAAAATAAGTTTAAAATGTACAAATTCATATGGGTTAAATAAATAAATAAATAGAATCAAATATCAGTGAAGCAGTTAAATAACTAGAATATCAATTGTTCCATGACTTCTAGGAAACAAATCCTTTAGGTTGTTCCCATATGAACAAACAGAATAATGCAAAAATCAAGTCACACTGTTATCACTTTTAATCAACAATGACAATATTTAAAGATAGATGTGTACATGGTTTGATGGTATTCGGAAATATTACTGGAAGCTGGAAACACTGAACCTCATTACTGCATTGTTTAATGAACCATTCTGAAAGTGAGACATTTACACGCTGTTAACAAGATTACAATATTTTCCATCATAGGGTTGTGAATATTGTTGAATTGGATTAAAATTACACTGAAAATTGTCATGTGCTCTCTAGTGAGTAACTTCAAGAGGAAGTTGTGATTAGTGGAATTCAACGGTGTTGAATGTGAGGTAATTACCAACCGTCGACAATAGAAAATGGTCACGCTATGTCGTGGATAGTTTAAAGTTAGACGCTAACACTGTCGAATGCCAACTCAGTAGTCTAGGGGTTGAGCGTTTGTAAGCGAGACCGACGGTTTTCCGTCCGATATCCCAGTGCTGGATCATGGACGCTAACTGATTTGGAGTTTTGTAATAATACAAAACGCCCGTTCAGTGTCTTTAAGCTATCAATGGTTGTTTAGCTTAGATCGATTCAGGATTTCAACGAGACTGGAATACTGGCTGAAATTATGATTCTTTTGATTCACGGACTAATTCGGTGTTGTGGTTGTGTCTTTCCATCAATAACCTTCTCTCCTAGTTTTTATGATTTCTTGAGCTGACATCATTTAATGCAAGATTTTTCGTGATGATAATTTTTGTTCTTACATCAATACTGATCTAATTTGACCTTTTTCGTACATATGATCTTAAAACTTTACCTGTCATATTACTGTTCAAAACTCATCAACCTACTGTAATACAGCTCTGACGAACTTCCTATTCACATTATACTATCCAAATTCATTAGGAGGACTGTCTTAAAAATATGCTTATTAATATGTTTAGATCACTATATCTAAGGTTAAAATAGTTTCTATAAATAAGTGACTAAGTTTAATAATATTTATTTGCATTAATTGTAGAGATTAGATTGTGATTCTTATTTCAGACTTAGACTGAAGAGAAGAGATAGGTAATTTAATTAACTTTAAAAGTCTTACCAAGGATGCTTATACATGAAGTCATGCTTTCACGCTTTTATTTGGTTATAAAAACAAAGTTTTCTTGAACCACAAATAATATAAAAGGATTAAAAAAATTTTTGATAGAATTTTGTGTAGTTAAATAGATATTTGAAAAACCGTTACAACCTAGCTTTTGTAATTTAACTGCTGAGCAAGACACGAATGTTCAGTTGGTCAGTTTCCATCATGACACAAACTGAGCTTAGCTGATGAATCACTGACAACCAAGTAGCAATGAACTGATCTTTCATTCCTAGTATAAGATTCTTAAGTGATGCGTATCAATATCTGCTTCTTGAATGGATTATATTGCCTTTAGGTAAGAAGTTTAGAGTGGTGAAGTTCAATAATGTCAGGAATGAGATAGATATCACCGATGGAGATTGATGATCGCCGGGCTAAATAACAAATCGAGTGAAATTGGATGCATGACCTATAAGGTAAGAACTCTGCAATAAAAAAATTGAAACGTTTTCTGTAGCACCTGAGAGTTTTGCGTGTGCTTTCCAGTCATTTTGTTGACATACTACTAAAGAGTTTCATACTGATGCGAAACACATGGATCATTTTTGCACACTATGTTGCTGAAGGTCTTCTTCGAAAGGAAAATTATAAATTTATTCGGAAGACGTTTTGAGGTTCTGTGGAATTGTACCTTTTACGGAACCTCTTTATAATATTTCCTCAATCTTGACTGATTTATCAGCTGTAAATTTTCCTTGATAAATATACTATTAGGGAATGAAAAGGATTTTAACGTCATACTATCAATTTTATCCGATTCTCCCGGTGAATAGAATAAAGTCAAGCTTAGTTAGTAAAATAATGACAAATGACTGGATGATGTAAGCTGAATTTACTTCATAAATATCTTATGCGTTATCTGATTGATTATGTTACATAATGGTGTTAACATTAAATGATATTGTTTCCGTTAACGTTGTGTTAACTAGTAATAGTAACCATGCCTTATATTGTTTGTATTTTAGATAACATTAAAAAAGTTACTTTGTCTGGTGTTTCGATTTTGAACATGTTTCCTGTTTGGTCTGGAAACAAATTTTTTTTCTATGATATATGCTGTCAGCTGGTTAAAAAACATTAATCTATGACCTATACGTACGTTCTGTCAATTGTGAAATTAATATTGTACACATATAAACCGGTCACTGAACAAAACCATTTTTGATGTCTAACTGTAGTTTTGATTATGTGATATAAGAGAGGAGGTATATTGGAAATGATTCACATCTTGAAAATAGTTTATTTCCATGGTAAAATACTACACCAAAATAGCACAAATGAACATTTACCTTATTTTCACTATAGTTTGCAATAACCACCCCAACGAATAATGTTAAACCAATAAGACATCCAATAAAAACGAATAAGTGTATATAAATAACATGTCGCTGTCAAATAGGGAAGAGAGAACAAAAGCAGAAATCTTATTCAAATAGGTTAAAATAAATTAAAAGTTCAGTTTGATATTTATATTAAAAGTCATTGAATATTAGAGAATACTGTACAACTATTTGACTGAACTTTAATATTCGTTACCAGTGCAAAACCATGACACTATGCATAGTGACAACTGATGACAATTAAATTATAGTGTGAAATAGTTAAAGATTAGTAACAATTAACCATTAACCTTTTGTTATTCTATAGGCCTTCTTTGTATTACACATAGTTCCACCATTAAATTGTGATTATCTTTCTAGACAATATTATCATCGTTCACTTCAAAGAAAAATGAGCTAATCGAATTTCTCTACAAATGGATGACATTTTGACCTACTGATCAGGTATTCAAATGTCTGTTGTCTAGGTTTATGTAGTTATTGTTTGCATATTTATTTCGACTGTCTTCTACTTTGACCTGATCTCTAACCTTGATAATAGTGTAAACGACTAAAGTCGGAAAATGTAAACTATCACATTCATAAATCATATAATGAAAGTACTTAAGCTTATTATGAGATTTGAAAATTGTGGTTTCGACTGTATGAATGATTGAATACTGCTAATCATTTTCAAACTAGGACAAAATAATAGTCAATACTTTATGAATAGTTGAGATCATGAGTCAACTGAAGCTAAACAACCATAGAAAACCTAGAAGTACTGAACGGCCGTTTCGTCCTATTGTGGAACTCCTCAGCAGTGCGCATCCACGATCCCGCCCCTTGGGAGATTGCAAATTATGTCCTATTAGTCTCGCGGGCGAGAACTTGACCACTGGACCACTGAACCGAAACATGTACATGAGACCCGTAGGTTCTGAGTTCGAGTCCCGCAAGGCAGAGTCGTGGGTGCGCACTGCTGAGGAGCCTCACAATAGGACGAAACGACAGTCCAGTGCTTCCAAGTTTTGCATGTCAATCTAGCTTCGATTGACTTATGATTTCAACTACTGAAATTACTGAAATCTTCACAAACTCCCTTCTGATACTACTACTTTATGATTCTTAATACTTTTTCTTAGCTCTATTCATGTATAATAATAATTATTTTCAAATTGAATTCATCTAAACAAATCATCTAATTAGACAATCACAATGGAATTAATGAATAGAAGAATTCAATTTAATTGAAAGTATGCAAATTCTATTCAATTTAATTATATGTATATAATCAACAGAAAAGAATGAAATTGTCAAAAATAACAAATTAGAAAGTAATGAGGATCAAAATAAAATATACAGTAGATTAATTTTGAATTAAACTGAAATTATATTGTCATATATATAGAACGAACGGAAACGTGATGAAGACAACCAACTTCCCATCTTCATACATATGAAAACCATACGTTAAATACATCATTTTTTATATTTCCCATCAATTGTATTTTATAAACTTCATCATTCTTTCATTTTCTATTGTTAGTAAAAGTAATTTTTGTTAACATTTCTATTCTTTTCAATCGTCTACCGCCGGGCATCGCCGTTTCGATTGGTGTTACATACTACTTATATCTTTCAATATAAGTAGCAAACATCACAATATATCATTAATAAATAAACAAGTTATTTCTTTTTGTAGGCATCAGTTATATTCACGTTAAAATAACTAGTTTTATGTACTACATTAATTTACTTAGCAATGAAAAATATTGAAATGGTTGAGAAGATTTGTAGCTCAGGTGTATGATTTTGATGGAGTTATGTTCTTTGAGCTGGATGGTTTGGTTGTGGAGTTTTCATCGTTCTTCTGAACAACATCTGCCTGAAGTTTGCTCTGAAAAGTATTATTTAATATATATGTAATTTAATTTTATTGAGATCATGAGTTCACCATGGAAAACCTGAAAGCACTGGACAGCCGTTTCGTTCTGCTGTAGGACTCCTCCATAGTGCGCATTTACGACCCCACCTAGCGAGATTCCAATCCAGGACTTATCAGTCTCGTGAGCGAATGTTTAATCTCTAGACCATTGAGCTGGTCGGCACTCAACGGTGTTAATGTCTAACTTCGATTAATCCAAAAAATTGAGCGATACATTCATCATTGTCATCATTGAGTTATTATCTCACAACAGACCCAGTTGAACTCCACTGCTCATTTATTTGCATATTTTACAATTACACTATACATTGTGATTTCTTACTATCGATTGAATATAGAGTTATTTAGCCAGTTATAATCAAATTAATATCTAGTTTGAATACTTCTCAACATAATGGGATGAAATGGACGAGATGAATAGGGAATTGGTCCAAATAATGGTGGAATCAATAACAAGAATAAACACAAGAGCAAAGAACATATGTTTTCAGAAGTCAATCTTTTCTTCATCTAAACAAATTAACTTTGGTATTAACTTAGTTGGAGCAAAATGGGATTTAAAGTCTTCAGTCTACACTGTAAATAGTCACTTAAAGAATTATAATGAGAAAAAAACATTTCAGAAGATGTTGATACATATACCACTTGGATATAAGAACATTGCGTTAAATAAAATTAAACAATGAGAAAGAAAATAGTATTTTTGCTTTGCAAACGAATTATCATTTTGATTGAAGTGAATTATAGGTAAAGAATTCAGGACTTTCTCAGCAACCGATGCATACGAACTTGTAGTTTTATACTGAATAACAATTAAAGCCGTTGAGTACTGGGGCCATGAAACTATTCAATTAATATCCAGTGTTTAGTGACCACGAATATTCCTCTGTATGTTTATTGTGATATGGAATGTAATAATAAACCACAGATAGATGAAATCATCACCTCAATCTGAGTCGTATCACTCACTACCACCAGTCACTAATTATGATAATTGCGCAAACTACAGCCAAGTACTCTACACTTGACAGCACCACTTAGTTCGTCACTCGATAACTTCGTAAACTGATGTCATGACTTTGACCGCCATCTAGTTTTTTTCAACATAGTAGGTCGAGGTGAGAGATGGTTAGGATACATTTACATGTATTCTGACCACCTCAGTCGATGAAGATTCACAACCTAATTAACTGATTTGCCATATTTTTCTAGAACCCTAATTCTAACATGGGTAGTTTCAAAACACTTAAGGAATACTTTAAATGCCTTTCCAATATTTAACGATAAGTTATAACGGTGGGCATTAATGTGTTTAATTGAATTACATCATGAAAAAGTATGCAAAAACTATCGAGGTACGATTACTAAAACTGTAGATCAAATAAAAAAGCCTGTTGTGTTTTTATCCCTTTACAACATCTGCAACATTCAGCAAAGGTTCTATAGTGTAAACATTAATTGTGCATTGTACGATAAGACTAAACAAATTAAATCCGTACGTCTACAGAAGAATTTGAACACATTTATTTTGATTACTTTTGATAGTATTAACAATATACTATTGTGTTCTTTTTATTCATATGAAGCTAAAGAAAACTAGATAATTTTGGCTTATCATTCATTGTTACAAAGCTTGATGTATTAAACAGCATAATTTAAATAGATTGTATAATCTAATTAATAAGTTCTAATGTTTCGAAAACCTTTTTTCTCTTTCCATAATAAATTCAAGTCATGACGTTCACGTTCGCGCGAGACTGAAAGCCCCGTGTTCGAATCCCGCGAGCGGGGTCGTGGATGCTTACTGCTGAAAAGTCCCATAATAGAACGAGACGGCCATCCAGTGCTTTCAGATTTTCAATGATGGTCGAACATCAATCGGTTCATGATCCCAATTAAAAACTTATTAGTCTTCACATACCTTATACTGATAAAGTCATAACCTTGAATGTCCATGAATTAAGACGTTACATACACATTTTTCAAATAGTTTTTCAGAGAATCATTCACTCGAACAAAAATCTATACAGATCTTAAAAAAGAAAGAAGTAAACTATGGTACATAGATACAATTTAATTACTTACTGGACCAATACGTTCTTTAATTACATCTCGTATTTCAACCCAACCTTCAAGGGATAACACTTCAAATAATGCTAATATTGCATTACCAATATTATCAAAATTGAAATTTCTTGGATTAGCCCATACTCTTGGTACAAGTATTTTAATTGATTCACCTTTAACACTTTTCAATTTTGTTGAAGCTAATTCACGCATAAATCGTCCAACACATTTTTCCTAAACATATATGTATATATATGTATATATAAATGAATAAATAATAATACTTTCTCAAATATAAGTGAAGTATATTTCGTTTCTCTGATGTTAAATACATATTTTAAAATTAGATTATCAGTTCATTAGATTGTAGACTATTATTCTAAGACAATAAAGATTTTATAAGCAAAAATGGATAGTGTCTAGTAGTGAAACCCAGTTTGACGCACGTTTCGTCCTATTTGGGACTCTTCAATTGAATGTAGCTGCAGAGTTGATGATCACTCTGGGACTCCATCTTTGATTATAATGCTTGTAAATTAAGACAATATCGAGGCAATACGCACAATATGCACATATTCCAATAAGAGACTGATCAATTTCAGTCCTAAACATCAATGGGATGATTCAAATAAAACAATACCAAATGAATAGAGATTTTGTTCCTTAGGTTATTAAGATTAGAAGAATCACGATATGATATATTATATAAGTAAGTTTTTAATAAAATACTATTATGAGCTTTCTATCTGAAATAAACATGTATCTAATACTTTTAGATTCACTATGATTATTTCAATTCACTCAACTTATCTGACATAGATATTAAAACAAAATCTTTGAATACTGCTTCTGTTTACTTTTTCTGACATAAAGATTTAACTTTTGTATTCAAAAAATTCTTTCAAACTGACTATTTAAACCAATAAAATCACATAAGTATAGATAATTAAGAATGAATTGATACAATTTAAATATATCCCATTCATTTGACTAGTAGATCAAATAACTCATTTTTATCATCATGAGGATGAATCATAAAGTTTACATTGATTTATCGTTTTGTGAAATGTTCACAATTCTGTGATGTCAACAATGAGAGCTCTTGCAAATAATTGGATGTAATGTACGTAACACCCAACTGAGTCACAAGGAAAGCCCTCGTATGGAATACTCAAGATCAAAGGAAAAGTGGAAGATGAAAGAACACATTAGGCCGGAAAATGGAGAGAGACATGCGAAGAATGAACAAAAATTGGATAGAACTACAAAGGAAGGCCTAAAACAGAATGGGTTGGAGAATGCTGGTTGGCGGCCTATGCTCCATTGAGAGTAACAGGCGTAGGTAAGTAAGTAATGTATATAAATTATTTCTTCTATCAGATAAAGCGTCATAAAAGTTTATGTTGATTATGCAGGGAAATGCTAATAATCCAGTCAAAAAATAATCTATTGTAGTACAGAAATTTTATGGATAAAATTGCATTTTCGTATTTTACATTACGGAGTGACTTTGGTTCGATAATCATAGAAAACTGGGATTCACTGGACGATTTTATCTTTCTAGGATTGCACTAGAAAAACTTGAGCCCTTACCATATGAACTAAAGCTCCTAGTTTAATGTACAGAGACCTAATTATGGTAAAGCGATTAACTGTTTCGGTGAATTTGTAAAATATGAAAACAATGCCGTAAATATATTATTTGTTCAGCTTTTTTTGAATGATCTCTTACCAACTCCATCGTTTTTCTATTTCTGTTGCGATTTTGATCGACTTTTCCTCTTCTTTTTTGTCTTTTCATGTCTTTCTTCTATCGGTAAGAATTCTACTCCCAACACTTCGTACATACTAATTATATCTATCCGTATAATTAGCACATACCACACTAAGATTGATTCCCGATGGAATCATGGACTCGTACAGCTGGTGAGTCTTGTACTTCAATGAAGCGACTGTTCAATGCTTTCTACTTTTCAATAATCATCTAACTAAGGCTACTTGATGACGTAGGCTACAATAAGCTTTATTCTGAGAACTAATTTTCTAAAAATAATCATATTATTTAATTTCTTTAAAACATAGTTAATAGATATCGTAACTTTCTTTGCTGGTTAGTTAAAATAATTATAGGTCAGTCTTCAGTAAAGAAAATAAAAGGTGGACACAACCATACTTTGTACCTGTGACTCACTCAACTAGAAAACAGTTAATTACAGAAAATAAGTTTATTATAACAGAGAGAGTGTATATGTGTGTGGAAAAACTAACCCAAACTCTTTGCATAGGTTCAGAACTCGATTTGATTACTATCTATTGACATATGGGGTCCTTCTTGCCCATGAATCGTATTTAAGTCAATACGAGAGTCTAAATTTCTATTAAAATGCTCTATTCAAAATATGAACGCTGTGTCAAATCTCTTTTTTTTTAAACTCGTAAAGTTATTTGCAGTAATCATTATTAATTTTATTGTTAAATCTATATTACTCAAATCTGAAAAGTAAGTGAATGTATTCGAAGATAAATAAATTTATGTTTCTTATTGATTTGAGAATAGGTGGAGTTGCTTAAGTATGTAACATTTTTAGTGTTTTAACTTATAAGAAAAAATTAACTCAAGTGATTTGCTGGGTTTGTTTACTTAGATGCTTTGAGTATGATTGATTAAAACATTTTGGATTCGATATAAACATTATGATAAAGGACAGAAAAACGATTTCCAGTTCATTATAATTAACTTTAATCCGAACAAGACTGATAGAATAGTCAAATCAAGCCAATACCAGGATGTTTGGGATACGTTTCTTCTTCTCTAAATGAACACTGTCTTTTTTCAGGAATGGCTTGCGTTAACACCTGAACTGAGGATATAGAGTGAAACAGTCGAACGCGTCGATAACTTAACTTATCTTGGAAGTCTGGTTAGTCCTAATGGGTTGGTGTCTGACGAAATCTCTGCAAGGACTCATAAAGCTCGTTTGTCTTTTGCCAAATTACGTCACCTTTGGTGAAGGTGAGATATCCGTCTATCAAATAAGGGACGAGTATATCGCATGGGAGTTCGTTCTGTCCTACTTTATGGCTGCGAAACGTGACCATTTATGGTGGAAGATACTAGTAATTTACTAGTATTTGACCACAGATGCCTTAGAAATATTTCTGGCATCTGGTGGGATCACCATATAAGTAATGTTGAGGTTAGATTTAGGGTATTAAGGATCGATGGTAAATCAGTCAATGATGATTTACAAACTCATCGGCTGAGTTGGTTAGGCCACGTGTTACGTATGCCTGAATACAAATTACCACGATGCACAATCTTGACAAGTGTTGGAGACGGTTGGAAGAAAGTTAGGGATGGCCAAACCAAAGCGTGGCATCAATGATTGAAGTCTAGTCTGAACCATGTTGGTAGATGTAGACTACTTGGTTGGGTTCTGTGTGACTGTCGTAACCAGCGGGTCTAAAGTTTATGTTATAACCTGCTTTAGTTGCTTTTTCACCAATCATAGTTTTCGTCACGCCAACCAAAACATATTTTGGGAACGTATTTAGTCGCGTGAAACAAGGCCGTATTGACACAATTGAAAATGAAAATATATGCATATCATAGTCACAAGTAATACAAAGCCAGAATAATAGGGACGAATAAGCTGATGGTAAGAATGGAATAATATGACGTATAACTAAGACTTATAGACCAAAAGAAAGCTTCGAGATGGGGAAATAGAAAAATGGAACAGACAAAGAGTTTACTAATCATAAAATTAATTATAAACAATAATCCTTCATATGATGGTCTCAAAAGTTATACTTCCGTACTATTCTCTCAATTAGATCAGTCTTTTATTTCACGTGTTTATCTAAAAATTCGACACTAACTGATTACTAAACCATTGTTTTTTGAGTCGGTCAAAGTCGCCATACCAAATTCATAGAAGCCGTTATTTCAATGGTGATAATATATATGCACTGGTGAGGAATCCCACAATAGGACGAAACAGCCATCCAGTGCTTACAGGTTTGCCATGGTGGTCTAGATTCAACTGATTCATGATCTCAATAATTGAAATATTAATATTTAATGTATACTAACTAATTTAAAACTTACTTTACTCATGATATTTCTATCATTACATATAGCTAAACGTCCACCGAATAAATGTACACCATATACAGCAAATATAAACATGAATACAACTAACAGGACAGAAACCTACAAAATAGAAATAAAGATAATAATAGTTTCTTTGAAAAAAAGTTTTTTAGATCTTACAATTTAAAACAATTAGTCCATTTGATAAATTTCCATAATACAATGAGAAGATGAAGATTATTAGTTCGATATAAGAACTGTGGACACATCATTCCAAAGGACTCTTCTTTTAAAGATACCAGAATTAAGTGATGATATATATTTGTGCAATACATTTCGAACAATCTGATCACACTCACATATACCTGTTAAGACATTTTTGTAGGAAAATTAAAAGGTCAACAAGACAGATTAAAGGTAGGTCGTAATAAACAAAAATAAAGTACACAAAAACAATGTGATAACCACTCTGGATAATAAATCAGTATTACCAGGGTAGGTTAAGTGTAAGAACAAATTGTTTCTTAGATCACATAGAAGAGAGTTTCAGTTTCCGTGTAGTCAAGGTTTCAATAAACCTTAGTATACATCCTTGAAGGCTCTTATACAACACTACAAATGATGACTTGGTGTCGACCTTATGATCAGTCTCAATCAAATGTTTCACAATGGAGGAGAATATCTAACTATCATATAAAAATGTCTTAAAAAGTACATGTGTGTGATAAGATAGCTCGATAAACTTTGTCTTCACATTGCATTATCGGTCTTAAAATAACAAAGGAGATTGTATACAGAATTTTAACATTAAATTATCAGATAATTTTGTTTGATTTCATTAGTATAGACAAATATTTAATGGGAACATATCTTAATTTCAATGGTTGAGATTATGAGTCAACTGAAGCTAGACCACTATGGAAAACCTGTAAGCACTGGACAGCCAGTTAGTTTTCCGTAGTGCGCACCACGATCCTACCTCGCAAGATTCCAATCCAGGACCTACCAGTCTCGCGTGCAAGCGCTTAACCACTAGACCAATGAGCTGGTCTTCATCCAATGGTGTTAATGTCTAACTTCAACTAATCCACGAAATTGAGCGACACATCCACCAATGTCTTCAGTTAGTTACTATGTCACAACAGATCCGGTTGAACTCCACTGGTCACTGCTTAATATTAAAATATCTGTTGTCAGCTAATATTATTTACACTTATTACAGACATGATAAAATGACGTAAATCGATAAGATATAGTGTGAAACAAATGACATAAATGAATAAAAAGAATAAAAGTTATCAATAATAACCATATATATGCAAGAACAGGTCGGAGGTCATTTGGTGTTGGAATAAAAAAACACTGAGGGGGTGAGTGATATAATAATTGAGTGAATCTCAGAGACAGATAAGATCAAATGTGTGGTAATTATAGAAGTAATAAGGGTTTGCACAAGATTCATGGGATTAAAAAAAACCCTGGTAAGATGGGTTGCATAATGATTGAACAAGATTTGAAGAGTTCACATAGATTAAGAGAATTGAGTGAAAATGTATAAGTGAAGGGGTGATTTAAGTGTATATAAAATGAGTATTCAGGAATGCAAGAGCAATATAACAAGCTAAACATTAACAACATAAAACTAATGACCAAAAAATTGAATTACTAAGGTAGTAATAGGTTTATTACTGTCTTTTTTCGAATACATAACCTATGTCAATTGTATCCTACTATATCTTACCTCAATATACAATTCTAATACACATTTGGTTGTAGGCAGCTGATAAGAAACCATAAAATAGAATAAATTCATATGATCTGCATCTATGTTCGTTCTGGCTTTATTTAAATTAAATACTTTATTCGCACATCTTCCATCAGTCATCCTTTATATGCTTCATGATTCTTTCATTTCTGTTATTATTATAATTAATCTCTGTTTACATGTCTAGTCTCTTCAATTTGATCTTCTCAACTTTTTGCTGACACGCATATCACTTCTGATAGGTGTTACATACTACTTATATCGACAGACATCATGAATTAAACTTATATGGAGACTTAATAAATTCAAGCTAGATATGTACTTCATCAGAAAAATAAATGACCGCTTTTTATTCATTTATCTCGTGAGCTAATAAAACATGTTGTCACGATTTGCAATAAAAACAGATATGAAGATTGGGAATTATATTAGTTCATTAATTTTTAAGAAACTTATCCAATCTAAAGCACTTCAATGCGGAATGTTATTTCAGGATTTTGATTAACTTTTATACGAACATTCAAATTATAAACATCTGTTCTTTTAAATGAACTCAGCGAACACAATAAATTCATAGATACTAACCCAGATAGTATATAATGTCATCTACTCCATACTACTGAGGAATCTCGGATCAGGATGAAACACTTAACTTTCCATAAGCAAGTGAAATAAGGTGATTTTTTGATGATAACTACTGTAACGATCACTCACTAACATTGGCGACGACTGCTACATTTTCGACCTGGTCGGGGAGCCCATGTTGAAGTTAGTCATTAATGGACTTACAAATACATCCTACTTTTCATCAACACTTTAACTGATATTCGTTAGTGATAAAAGCAGCCATCAAACAACCATCATTATATATTTTACACTTGAAAAGTCAGTTTAGTAAATCCCATTAAAAAGACATTTGATCACTATTTAATTTAATTTAATCTCATACATTCAATTGAAACTTACCATAAGAATTTCTCTGAATCCTCGTACAAGTTCATAAACAACTCGACGCATTTGTGGAACTAAACAAAATATTCTTAATGGTCGAAGACATCTTAATACCATAAGTAAATGACCAGCAGATCCTGGACCGATCACATCAACACGTAACATGTAACTGACAAAAATCAAACTGATCTATTTGTCATGATTAAAAACAAAATTGGAAAATAAAAGAATTAGAGAGAAAAGCAAAAACAAACTGTAGTAGGAAACAACTTTCATAAAATATGAAAATTATACATTGAATACATCAGCTACACATCTTTGAATTGTTTTTTAAATATCCTATTATTCATTTAATTCTGTAGATATTTGTTATAACTTGTGACCGCCGATTAGAAGGCAGTGAATTATCGATTGAATCAATGACGCGTAAAACACGTGAGAGCAGTCTAGAGTCTTGATTGACCTTGCTTTCCGCCTAGCCCAGACAGTTAAGTCCAGAACACCGATCTCAGCCTCTGCAATATGGACCATCATATTTCAAACATACTGAGTTTATATATCAATCAAACAGACCACAACGTACCAATAGAATATGAAACAACATTTGTACAAGAATTAGCCAGATGTGACTGTGAATGAGGGAGGTAGTAATTAATATACTGGGTTTAACTCAAGATTGGTAAAACGTATATTAATAGCTTATGAATCAAAATGAAGCTTATAATAAGAGGAATATGAATATGCATAGTTTAGTTACTTAGTAATTATACAATAGAAATGTACGTTTAGTATTGGTTCATCAATAGATCCCAGAAGTTACCATTTATTATTCTTGTCGGGACATAACATTATTTCGATTACTCTCCTATTTCTTTCCTCCTCTTTCTATGTTTTTCTTCTGTTTGTAAAAACTCTACTACTTATACATGATATATACTACTTATATCTGTCCTCATAAATGGTATACATCATACTACTATTGTTGTCATATATACACACACAACTACAACTAGTTGTGAAGAATTGTATTCATCAAGTCAAATAATTAGGTCAAATAATTATTTACTGTACTCATTTGTCATTAAGATGATTATCTTATATTTTCTTTTATTAAAATAAACCCTATTCATTATACGGTTGATTTCTTTATACAGTGATTAAATAGTTAACACTAACAACTAATACAGATAGGAAACAACAACTATGGATACATAAATAAATTGGAAAAAAATAAATTAATTAATGAATGGAGGGAAACTCTTTCTTTTTGTAAACAAAAACTTAGAATTAAAAGAAATCTAACTGAAAAAGTTGTTGTTATGGAATATTGAAGGACACTGGATAACTGTTTGATCCTAGTGTGAGAATTGTTAACAGTATGTATCCAATACATCAAAACAAAATCCAGAATCTTCAAGTCTTAAGGTGAGTAAAAGTAATGCAAAAAATAGACTTAATAACTAAAAGTCGATTTCAAATATTTGTTTTCTTTTGAATGTCACTTTAGATAGAAATTTGACAGCGTAATAAACATTTGTATATGGTATTCATCAAGGTTTGACTTCAATTAGTGCGCCACTGAATACCAGTGATAGCAGACAGTTTCTTTGTCCTACAATGAAAGTTTCAAACGATGCTCAAGCATGATAATCTCAGGATTAAAACTCACAACCACCAAGTTCAAAATACCTCCAATTAATTAATATTATTACCAAACCTATTGATGAGTTCAACAACTAGATTTCGTAACATTGATCTAATTACAATTGCATTTTAATACATTAAACGTTTTCCGTTTCATTATGCACGTTACTTTGTGAGGATTCTCTTTAAGTCGAAAAGTAACCTGAAGTTATTTGAAACAGATTATTCTATAAGCAAAGATGGTTGGTGCCTAGCAATGGAATGAAGGACGCGCGTTTCGTCTTATTTGGCACGCATACAAGAATCGATGTTCACTCCGGAAGTGAATCTCACATCCTGGATTTCACTGCTAGCCACCATCCATTTTCACTTATAATGCTTGTTAATTAAGGTAGTATCGTGGCAATCCGCACAGAATGCACATATACCATTAAAATATTTAATGCTTAAACTTTAACTACTATTATTTACTTAGTAATATGATGACAGTACATTTAAAAATGTTTGAGTAGTTGAATAGAAGGGAAATAATACGTCTTCTTGTGCACAGAATGAGTTATATATATATATATATATATATATATATATATATATATATATATATATATATATATATATATATAATTAATCACTTACTATATAAATAAATAAATCCAAGAATCCACCAAAATCTTTTAAAAGTGCATTAGGGGTAAATATTAGTCCATTAGCAAAAATTTTCAAGGTCATTTCTAATGTCATGACAACGAAAAAAATATATTCACATATCTGTAAAAGAAAATAAATAATACGGAGAAATAACTAAAACTATTGAATAATACATACATGAATTTCATCTTCTATGATAATCTTTTTCAATCTAAACTTCATCTCAGTATAAACTGACATCAGTCGGAGAGAGAGAAAGAAAGAGAGAGAGAGAGAGACACTTTGAAATGAGAGTGAACTGCTTTGAAATATAAATTAAGAACGAATCATTTTTCCAGATTTAACAATTTAACATATTTGCACCAACCGACATTCATTCAGTATGAAACTTGCCAACAAAGTTCATCATGGTTAATACTTTTAGTTATATCATGGTCTTTGATAATATTGATAATTTAAAGGTAATGAATAAACTAATTAGACAAACTAATTAGTAATAACTTTAGACACAAATAATGTATGTTAGCATTGTATCATCAGTTTTGTTACCTAGAATTTTCTGTCAACCAATATATTTATTCTGTTCTATCGAGGGTTGAAAAGCTTATCTGTCAATAACTATTTGAACTTTGGGTATTTATACTAGAGGTTCAACATCGTGGTAGGTCATAAGACCACTTTATCGAGTAAGAAATGCACTGGTTAAGTTAGTAGATATGTCAGTATGGAGTTGTGAAAATTATTAAGTTTTAATAAATGTGTGGACTGACCTAAGTTGGACAACTATTAGAGATGTAAGAGGACTAGACGACGGTTACGTTCTAGTTTGGGCTATTCAGTATAATGGCGCATGTATAACCTCACTACAGGAAATCAAACTTAGGACCTACGTATAAACCACTGAGCCGGGATCCATTTGCATACAAACCTAACTTAAGTTAGTGAACAATAATGCTTGACCATCTTTCATTATCTTCTGCGGGTATCATCCACAAGCCCAACATATTTAGTTTGAGGAGTCTCATACTAGAACGTAACAGCTGTTCAATGCTGACAGGTATTTAATGGTCGTCTAACTTAAGTCAGTTCATGATCTCAGTATTGTCAACTGTCCAGGTAGAAACACAGTGACACTATTGGCAATAATATAAATGATATTACAAATGACTTACTTGAACTTCTGGTGTATTCATTAATCTAAAATGTGGTGTTTCTAAAGACATTGATGCACATGATAAAGTTGTGACAAATATAGCTATCCAATCCAAATATGTAACTAATCCAAGAAATTTACTAGAAGAAATTATATAGAAAAGGAAAATTTGAAGGTAAAGTTGCTTTTAAGTTATATTCTTTGAAAACGATATGCCATCAATATTATCAGTTTGAAAGTTACATAATTTTCAATTCAGGCAATAGATGAAATTCTATGTTCACAGATGGCCCTTAACTAGACAATATTAATTGGATTGTATTGTTATGCTTACCTACTTCACTTACTCTATGAGTGACGTATGTATACGACTCGTAATGCAAGTATGAACAACTAGACAAGTTGCATTGCATCGAGCGATGCACATTTTTTATTTTTGTAAATTATGTATTCTTTGGTAGTAATTGGTAGGAAATCCTTGTCGACCTAGACTTTGCTCTAGGTTCTCATATAAAACCAATAGATCTTGATGCTCCTTATGAGGTTCAAAACCTCTTCACTCATTGTCAACGTGAAATCTGTCAAGCAAAAATAGAGCTCAAAAATGTCACAAATACTTTGTTTTCTTCTTAAAAAAAATCAACTAACGATATAGAAAGTTATTATGCTACCAGTACATCACTTCGATATAACCGACTTCTACAATAAGACAGTGTGAAAATAACATGTATTTTATACGAGTTAGACGATTCATTTTATGGAGATTGTTATATTTGAATACAGTTTACATCACTATTTGACATTTTGCAGATAACCTACGTAAACCTGCTCGCACTATATGACTGTTTCGTTCCACAATGAGACTTCTTAGTTATGTGTTCAAAACGATCTAGTTAATGATCAAATACAAGACCATCAAGTCATGTCACTAGTTAATTAGGATCCATCAATTTACATTTGGAACCAAGTATCTATTCACAAAACTATGAGGGATTTCTTCTAATGATGAAAAGTTCATCAAAAAGAGTTTTTAGAAAAAAAATAAGTCGATTTAATTAAATAACAATAACTTACTGTATAAAGTTTCCATTATCTGTTGATTCCATTGAATCGTGTGCTTTATGTCTTGCTTCAACAAGAACTAAACAAAATCGTCTAAAACGATTTTCACGTCCAAGAACAAATAATGGTCGATCAAAAAATGGATGATTTTCTCTAAGTTCAACTTCTTGTTGTGTTCTATATAAATGATAAATAGAAAATATTTTATTCAGCATTGAAATCATTGTTATAAATAAAGTATGGAATATAATCTTATTTTATAGATTTAATACATTTAAGCAATCATATGATAATATATTCAATTTTCTTATTTTCATCATCCTTTCTCTTTCCTCTTGGTGATTGATTGGATCATGAAGACTTCAGCATCTGAAGTGGGAGCATGGTATACAGTGGACAGCTAGGATGAGGCTAGACGATTTAGACTTCGCAAATGATCTGGATCTTCTATCGAACACCCAACAACAAATGCAGGAGTGTGGAAACAATCTCAGCAGCAGTAGGTCTCAACATACACAAAGAGAAAAGCAAGATTCTCCGATACAACACAGCATGAACTAATCGAATCACACTTGACGGAGGGGTTTTTGAGGATGTAAAAACCTTTCAGTATCTGGGCAGCATCAACGATGAACATGGTGGATCTGATGCACATATGAAAGCACGGATTGGCAAAGCAAAAGCAGCATATCTACAAATGAAGAAAATCTGCAACTAAAACAACTGTCAACCAACACCAAGGTCAAGATTTTCAATACAAATGTCAACACACTTCTACTGTATGGGGCGGAAAGTAGGCAAACTACGAAATCCATCATCCAGAAGATACAAGTGTTTATTAACATTTGCTTACGTAAAATACTTTGGATCATTTGGCCAGACACTATCAACAACGTACTGTGGGAGAGAACAAACCAGATCCCAGCGGATCAAGAAATCAGGAAGTAGCGCTAGAATTGGATGTGACACATACTGAGGGAATCACCCAACTACGTCACCACGCAAGCCCTCAGCTGGAATCCTCAAGGCCAGAGGAGCAGAGGAAGATCAAAGAACACATTAAGCCGATAAATGGAGACAGAAATGAGAAGAATGAACAAGAATTGGATAGAACTAGGAAGGAGAGCCGATGACAAATTGGGTTGGAGAATTCTAGTCGGCGGCCTATGCTCGATTGAAGGTAACAGGCGTTAGTAAGTAAGTAACTACTTTTGATAGTTAAAAGGAATGGATTAATCTTGTAAATGCTTATCGCTATCTATATTTATTAAATAAGAAAGATTAGTTCAGCGAAGAGTTCTCTTTTCGGCAAATTCATTTTCAAAGCTGTACAATCGCAATTATATATACAGGGTGATAATAATACTGATAATAAACTTCTGTTATGCATGGTGACAGTAAGGTTAAATAAACAAATGTATTAAAAAAAATTTAAAACACAGAAAGTTTAATAATCGTTTGATTGGTAATGGCTTTAATATTCATCAAAGGATAGATAAGGAAATTATCATTGAGAAAGGATGGCTCAGCATGATTAGACAAAATGGTGAAATAGAGATGAGATGTAATCGGAATGATCGTGGAAATAACAACAAACCAGTTAGGGGTACAAGATTTAAAGGGAAGATGGAAGGTGAAGCAGATGGCTGTAAAGGAACAAGAGTATGAAAAAGAGAGAAAAAATTTACTACATTAATACTATGGTAGAAGAAGAGGTTGTAACAGTCTCTTTTGCACACACAATCCTGGCTTTTCCAGATATATGGCTATTGCTTCGGCAATGCAAAGAAAATGCAGTCTAATTGTCTTATTTAATGTCTTAATGGGTGTATTCCATTTGTCTTAATACATTTTCAAGGACATATTTCAGTGAGTTGAACAATTCTTCATTGACACTATTTACTATATAAGAATTATGTAAGTAAAAATAACTGATCAGCTATGAGAATGTATGAATAATTCACTTCTTTGAACTAAAACAACTCGAGCTAAACATTGTTAAGTTACATCTCATGAAGAAGAAATGATTATCTTGTATTCAAGTCATTTTTATTTTGACTAAAACCTGGAACTAGTTAGAATAAGAAATTGTCACCCACTTACATCATTACTAAATATAGAAATGAAAGTAAGAACAAAGATTCTGGTAAAATAGCATGAATTCGTCAATTGCTTATAACCTATGATATGTAAAACTCATTTTGTAATTACAACTATTAAATATCACAAGTTGTAAGCAGGTGATGAGAATCAAACTAAATAAAATGTATTCAAGTTATTCTATTAGAAATTTTGTTTATGCTCTCTTCAAAATGCTAGTGGGAATAATGTGTATAAAATATGGAAATGGATGAACAAAAGCTTCAATGATCATAATTCAGTAACTTGGAATCCAAAGAATAAGTAACAGATTTCTAAATTCTATCAATATACGGTATTGTACACAGAAATCAATTTAGAATAACAAAAGTACCATCCTTTAACTGTGAGATTGTTCATAAGATGGCTTACTGAACATATAGCAATCGTCTAAGACCATCAAAAAAAAAATATTGCACAGTCAACAAGTTGTATTTTTACCACTTTCCAAAGAATTTAAAATTGAGAAGTGTAATCAGCTCTAAACAGTACAATGGCTCCATGTTTAATAGATACTAGGAATATAATTGATATTTCTAAAGTCTTCAAAATTCTCAGCAAGCAAAATAATCCAGCTTCTCTTCAGTTTACCAAAGTGATATCATTAAAAAATTTGAAATCAGGTTTATATGCCCAGAAAAAGAGACAACTTCATCATTGCCTTGATAAATTTTGATTAAAATCAATTATTATTATTCTTATTATCAGAAGGGGTTTTATGGCGATTGTAGTAATTTCAATAGTTGAGGTCATGAGTCGATGAAGCTAGTGGAGTTCAACCGGGTCTATTGTGAAATAGTAACTCACTAATGACGATGGTGGATGTGTTGCTCAATTTAGTAGATTAGTTGAAGTTAGACATTAACACCGTTGGATGCCGACTAGCTCAATCGTCTAGTGGTTAAGTGCTCGTGCACGATATTAGTGGGATTTGGGTTCGAATCCCGCGGGACGAGGTCGTGGATGCGCACTACCGAAGAGTCCTGTAATAGAACAAACCGGTCATCCAGTGCTTCTAGGTTTCCCATGGTGGTTTAGCTTCAATCGTCTCATGATCTCAACTATTGAAATTATTATTATCACGGTAATTGTTTTTTAGGCAATCTTTGTTATACTAATTGTTATTTCATATAAGTTAGTATCGTTATTTCATTTATCTGTTTTTCACTTATCTAATTCTTGATAATTAAATAAACTCTTTAAATGTTTTACAATTATTACGTAATTTAAATTATCAGTTTTGGAATCTAGACACTTACCACCTCATCTCTCTATGTCGTTCGTCTTAATCTATTTTCAAGTGATCTAAACCTAAAGTAAACTCTTCAGATGTTCTATTATTATTATTATTATCGACGCAAAATCCATCTTATCAGTTTCCGGACTTCCTGTCCCACCTCCCTGCTTTTGAATTCAGCTTCAAATAACCTATTTGTAATTCTAATTCCCTTAGTCATCATTGTCAATTACTTCATATGAAATCATATCTCAATGTTACACGTTAGTAACAATACAGTTGCAATCAACTGATGAGGAACTAAAAAATAAAGCGAATTTATGCTATTCTGCCTCAATTGTTTTTTCGATAATGCAATGAGAAGACGTAGTTTATCAGAATTATGTGATATATTTGCGCAATACATTTCGAACAATCTGATCACACATCTATACTTGTTAAGCACATTTATATATGAAAAATTAAAAGGTCAACTAGACAGGTTAAGGGTAAGTCATAACAAAGGAAAAATATTAAAGTACACAAAAACAAATGTGATTACCACTCTGGATAGTAAATCAGTACTACCAGGGTAGGTTAAGTGTAAGTACAAATTGTTTTTGAACACATAAAGGGGGTTTCAATTTCCGTATAGCCAAGGCTTCAATAAACCTTAGTATACGTCCTTGAAGGCTTTTGTACAAGACAACAAATGCTGATTTGATATCAACCTTATGACCCGTTTCAATCAAATGTTTCGCAATGGATGATGATGTCTGTCCATCCTGTGATCTTATTTCACCATTGGAATTCATCTGATTCTGCAACCATTTTGGTGTATGTTCACCCACCCTTAATTGCAAATCACGATTGCTCCTCCCTACATACGTGTTTCCACACATACATGTAAATTTATAGACACAATGGGATGTGACACAATCGTTTTCGTGCTGTTTGGGCTTTTGATGAAACATAGACCTTGTCTTTTCGATAATGACAAGTTCGGCTGCATAAAATGTCCGGTTGATAGCTAATTTAAGTCTCTGTTTCAACATGAGACTATTTGTGTCACCTCTAAATGGTAGCGTAATATAAACTCGCTTTTTGGGTGCCAGAAGTGTCATAGGTCTAGGCATATTGCAACCCTTACAGCGGTTTATGAACTTCAAAGGGTAACCATTATTAATTAACGCATCAGTCAAGAGCTGCATCTCTACTTCAATAGTATCACTAGTACAAATACGATTGATTCCATTGAATAAGCTCTTTATTAAACCGCGTTTATAATGAATAGGGCAGTGACTATGAAAATTGAGATATTGTCCTGTCCATGTTGGTTTTCTATATGTAGTACGTTTGATGGAGCCATCATCTCTCCTAGTAATCAGGATGTCAAGAAAAGGAAGTTGGTTGTTCTTCTCTTCTTCACAGGTAAGAGAAATGTGCTTTTGACTACTATTGAATTCTTCTAACAAGCAGCTTATGTCTTCACTTTTATCACCTATGATTATGATGTCATCTACATATCGTTTATACAGACCCATCTTTCGAATTGAGTCTCCAACTAAATTTTCTACATATTGTTTTTATTTTGGTTTTATTCAAATTCTTAAAAGAAAACAATTGTATGAAAACTTTTCACGTTTATCTTAAAGAAATACCAAATATTTGAATTATGTTACTGTTCAGATTATAAGCAAACGATACAAAAAGTGGTTTAAGTTTCTATTTTTAATCACTTCGCAAGATTAAACAACTTTGATCATTTCCACTAATAATGAACACCGAAGATTAATCTGGAGAGAAAACTGAGAGAATTCTAGTATGAAACTATGGTCAGTGGAGTTCAAGGATATTAAGCGTAAAAACAGGTAACATCGAATATTCAACATATGCATAAAATAACTGTTTTGTAGTATTGTGAAATGATAAATGTTACCTGCCAACTATTTTACATTGAAGAAATATCGTAAAACATTAGAAGTATGACTAACATAGTATCAAATGTATTCGATGGAGTTTTGTATTATGAAGTAGGCGAATTAACTGTGAAGATTCCATTGTCCTGTAGGGGATGGCATTGTGCCAAGATCATATAGATTGCTTCAGCTTCTGGACAGACCAATCTTTTCATTCTTCTCAAGTCACATTTTCACCTTATCACTTATTCGCTCAATAATCCTGACTGTTTTTACACGATTCTATGTGTGTTAATTACTTACCCTATTCATTGTGTGCATGTAAATTGTTTTTCTTTGAACATAAATATCGAGTCACCTTGGTTAATCTAGTTAGCTCACTCATTTTCTCCACTAAGCGTCATTTTGTTTCGCATTGCTCCCTCTTTTTCAATTCCTTCGCTTCGTTTCACTGAATGCTTGTCCAAACCAATGAGTGTACGAATTATACATATTCAAAATCCATTTTCGTGTTTAACTTATTTGATTCCGTTATTAAATAACGCGATTTAAGTCGATAATTATGTACGAGGGTTGACACCATGTATATTTCTATAACATTATCATACAATATAACGAGTTAGATATCGGACAATTAAAGTTTATCTGGACAGCATCAACGACACAAGCTTCATATAGAAGAAGACTTTTATCTCAAGTCTTTTGTTGACGATGTTGTCCAAGCAAATAATAGAAGCTTCATGATTAAACCTATTAGTTCAGAATACACAGGATCAACCAAAATCATTCATTTGAACTACAAATCTTCTCTACCATTTGATACTTTAAATTCTTATTTATCATTAAACTAATACCAGGATTTATCCAGTTAATAGCCAATAAAACAGTAAGATGCAAAGTAGTGTTCCGCTTATATGATTATCTTACCTTTTAAGTTCTGCAAGTTGAGCTTTTTGTTGTAATAGTTTGATATCATCATGACTTGTTCTATTGCCAGTTGTTGCTTGTGATTCACCATTACGATCTGGTCTTATTGATGGATTTCCTCCTCTAACTTCTCCATTAGCCCTAAATGATTTATGTGTCCCCATTGAATTTCCAACTCTGTTTCTTGTGCTTCTACAATATATGAGCATGGGATAGTATTACAGTGAACAAAAAGTATTAGTTTATATAATAAATTTGTAAATGGATGATATTGATGGTTTGGTTTAACTGACATTTTGAAATATCTTTTTGTCATAATCTTGTGTCTACTTTATAAATAATAAGTAGTTTCAAGACATTTTACGACATTTTAAATGGTAGAATATATTTACGGAACCATGATCTTTTAAATACCCATATAGTATATAAATCATTACTTATAATTCATAGTCAAAAATACATAGTTGGATAGATTCATGATAAGGTAAAATTAAGCCTGAAGAACAGTGTGAAGTACACAGTACTAGACGGTTATTCAATCCTGATTTTGAATACATCAACTTCAAACAAATAGAATTTAATGCCTTTCAACTGTCATCTTTGAACATTATGAATTGCATACTCTCACTATAAAAATAGGCTTATTACTTTGACTTCATTTCAGTTTATTGTTAAATAAAGTTTAATGTCCATTAGATCGTTTATCAAGTGATAAGGAGTTGAATTCAATGGACAGTATTCAACAATTAAAAGTTTTTAGATGTAGACAGTTTAAAAGATACTGATATTTCCTTTTAATATCATAAGAAAACAACATTAATCAATATACACTAAAGTGAACATATTATTTTATGTAACACTGTCAAGTTAAATCTTTAATCACTGGTTTACCATCGACTTGAAGAAGACTTCCATAAGAATTTTAATACATTGATCAAGCGATTCCTGAAAAGCAGTTTCACAATCTGAATACATAAAAGTCTTAAAATAGGAGAAATGGCTGCGTAAAGATTTCAAACTATTATCTACCTTTTTGATGATCAATGGATTTATCTCCCTAATAATTTAATGACTGAGAGAATTTCGAATATTCAAGATGAAACATCCTTTGTAAAAACAGTTGTTATTCATCACTGTCAAGAATGGATTTATAATATTTTGCAATATTTTTATTATTAAATGATAGGAGTTTCAGAAAGATTCGGAACCAAACAGCACTGAAATATCATATTTTTAAAGTCTAGTTTAAAATGTCTAAACTATGAGAATTCATAGAACTTCTAAGTAGCACAATGAAAACGATATGATTTAAACTAGTGAATATGAGTTTGATTTCATATAATTCTCGTCTTCAGTGTGATAAATCTTACAATCGAACGCTTAAATCGGTTTCTAAAGTCTTACTATAACACTAGGCTAAAAACACACAGCAATTTAAACATGAGAGAAAGGGCATGAAATATGGAAAGGACATTTTTTACTCCAAGGTTAGTTTATGTACAGAAAATCTAGGGTATTTATGGCATTTTAGATGGCCTTGGGCTTCGAGAAAGTAGTAGTAGTAAAGCTAATCATTCAATCAGAAATGTGACACGTAAATTTCCACTTTCTAGATGTTTCTGAGAAACTTCCATTGAATGATGTTTGGATAAGATGTTTCCATGCATTTTCAAAGCCCCTTTGAGCGTTTTTTTGAGGAATTTTAAAATCAACCGCAAAGTCTAATTATTAAAGTCTTGGTTTGGGTTTTCTTTTTTCTTGTTTGTCAGTTCGGTTTTATGCAACGTTGCACAAGAATGTTTAGATGATAATAGTTTAGTCAAAATAAACATTTAAATTGCATAGACAGTAGAAAGTAGAACATATTGAACTTTTCTTACACTTATTTTCATAATGAAGCTTTAATTAAAGGGTTAGTTGAAAAGAAAATATCTGAGCATAAAATTGATCAAATACTCAACAGAATAGTATTCTTATCAGAATGGGGTTTTGTGAAGATTTTAGTAATTTTGTGGTTGAAGTCATGAGTCGATTGAAGCGCGAATACCATGAGAAACCTAGAAGTATTGGATGGCCACTTCGTTCTAGTGCAGGACTCCTCAGCAGTGCGTATCCACTATGCCTCCTCGCGAGATTCTAACCCAAGACCTATCAGTCTCGTGCGTGAGCGCTTAAGCGCTAGACCACTGAGCTGGTTAGCATCCAATAGTGTTAATGTCTAACTTCAACCAATTGACGAAATTGGGCCACCGTCCACCATTTGCTTCAGTGAGTTACTATCTCACAACAGACGCGGTTGAACTCCACTGATCACTACTTCTCACTTGAACTCCAGGATATACCTCTTAAAGTCAGTCTGTAGTGAGCATATGTTGATTAATATGAGAAAATGTTTTTGTGGAGATTTTATTAATTTTATAGTTGAATTCATGAATTCATAGTAGGACGAAACGGCTATCCAATGGTTCCAGGTTTTGCATGTTGGCCTAGCTTCAATTGACTTATGAATTTCACCATAAAAAAAGAATAGTATTCATTTAGATTTAGCGTACTGTTAGTTGAGACTTGAGCACTTCAAACATATTTACAGTAACACATAGAGTCTAAAACTTGAAGTTTTCTATGTAAATTATACAGTTGAATACAGAAGTTCATGATCCACGATTACATAATCTGTATTACTTTTAAATAAAATATCATTCATAAGATAGATGTTTTTGTGAATAAATGTCTCTATGTTGGTGATTATATGTTTATTCATAAACATATTAAACTATTTTATAGGATAAATATGAATGAAAATAAATTTGAACTGTCAATACTCTTAATTTTACCTTCTATCTAATCGAATTTGATGTTGGGTTGATAATAAGGATCTATTTCCAATGTTTGAAGTTTTTTCAATTGTCAATAAACGTGTTTTATTCGATTCACTTTAAAAATGACAAAAACAAATGAACATAGTGAAATATTATTGTTTAAAATAAGAATAGCATTCAGTGTTAAGTAATGATTAATTGTGCCCCCAAATGCTCTGGTACGGTCGAGAGTGGGAAGAGTCAGCTACTCCTCTCGAAATACTCTCACATGGCCATACCCATACAACTATTGCCAGGAAAATCTTACTGACTGCCTTCCTGCGGCATTGCCGTTGTTTACGACATTGAGAGGACAAAAAGCAAATGTCTGGCGCTTTAACAGGGTTGATGGATATGGAGGATTCATCTAGGAGAGTTGAAAAACCATGATTCCAAACGAATGATGCACATGGGCTCCAGGATATTAAGAAAACAAATGGTGCATGAAACAATTATCGGTTACCGACTATCATGGGACTGCAACTTCTTACGCTGCTCCACTGCCTTGTAGATTAGACCTTCAGGTCAAAGGCTCCAGATGTGGTACCCTAAGGAAACAATCTGTTTTGGTTTGGATACCCTCATAGTAGCCCAGCCTTGACACAAATCGAATGATTTATGTGGCACATATCTATTTGGTGCCTTCTTGTGCCTATGTTTATGTGTTTAAAAAAACAAATAAAATAAATCATTACTTGTAAGAAACTACTATATCATTTTTGCAAAGTTATGCTTTCAAATTGTTCTTGAAGAAATGACAGGATTTGTAATATAACACAATAGTACAACTTAATGAGAAAACTTTTGGCTTCAATGAATTTAGAGAAACACTAAGAAATATGTGGATATAATACTCTAGATTAGTTCATTATATGCATTATAGTGAATGTTTTTGTACTGTTCGTAATTAAATCGTATCTTTTTCTATTTAATGCATGAATATGAATCGTAAATTTTCAATGAAAGCGCTACTCAAATCTACAATTAAACTGTAAATTATGGTTCTGACCAAAGAAATAGAAATTTACTTTAACCTTATTCTTCAGTATTAGGGGTAATAATACATCATAACTGTTCAAACATTTTTTAAAGCGATTAATTTTATAGAAAACAATCAAGACAAATGTAAGAATCTACTAATTATTTGTAGTAGGTTTTCCAAATTAAAGTACTCTGGAGCTATGAGGTCACATGTAAAAGTTAGTCGATTGTAAAATGGTGATTAGATATAGTTGACAGGAAACCATGGACCTATGTTTCATGCTATTTGGTACTTATCATCAATGTGTACTTGTACCATTGAAGAAATCGATGCTCCCTGGTGGCATACAGTCAGTGAAGTTATCGCTCAGCTATTTGGGCATCGATCTATCTCCTGTAGTACTGAGATTTATTTACTTACATTTGATTGACCAGTGAATATTGATTAATTTTATGAGTTTCAAATATGTCATAGTCTAGATTGAAATCTAATTATCACATTGATCAACTTCCAGTAAACCAACTGATTAAAATATAAAATTATGATAATCAATATGAAACGTTTACATTAACCTACTTTAAAAGATAAATAATTGCACGAAATTTCTCTTCACCATGTAATCCATGAACTTTGCGTTTAATAGCTCTTAATGTTTCAACATCTGTATGACTAGGAAGTGCTTCTTTTGTTAAAGTATTATAATTATTAAAATTAGGATTAACATTAGAAGGATTTACACTAAATGGATTTAATTTGAGTTGATTTTGTTCTGTTGTTTGTTGTGATTTAGCCATTGTTGTTAACATTTCTTCAATAGTTTCATCTTCAACTTCTTCAAGAGCTGATATAACAGCGAATTGACGCATAAAACTATCACGAATTTTAGGCATTAAGAAGTCAGATACTAATCGAGTAAGTTGTAACATTTGTGGACGATTTCTTGGTTATTTATTCCAAAACAGAAAGGGAAAAAAAGACAAAAAAAAGAAAAATTAGTATAATCGATTAATCGTAATTATCAGGGTATTTGGCAAAAATACAATAGTACAATGAGATGAAGTTAATAAGATGAATAGTGAAAAAGTCAAAACACTATAGTGGAAATGATAATGAGATAAACTAAGCATTAAGAGTATGGCTCAATAAAAATTAAAAGAAATACACATGAAAGAATACTGGAACTAAGTATCTGGAAGAAGATAAAGAGTGAATGCTTCTGAGTCGTTGTGATGAATTACAAGCCATGCCATTCAAAGTCTTTAACCCCTTGAGTTGGTTAGCAAGTAGGCCCTGAACGGGTAGTCTTTATTTGATTAACACGGCTTAGAATAACAATTAATGACTTCATGAACTTGTGTCACGTTTAGGTTTGACCACTCTTTACTTTCTTCCAGCTTACTTCTACACTAACAGATGTTGATCGAACATATTTAATGAAGATACACGTAGATTGATAAATAAGAGTTATATGGACAGAAAACTGAGATAAGTTGATAATTCATAGAGTGCCAATGAATTAATTAAACAAAAAAACTATATTACAAAAATTGTGGGAATCAATAGGACGGGAAATCTGTATCAGAAGATAAACATAGAGAATGTAAGTGAAAAGTAAAGTAACATAAATCCCATAGTAATTAAACTTGAAACTAATGAGAAATGTTTAGGAAAAAAAAGTGGAAATAGATGTACATTGATGGGATTTGTTTTTTGAATTTATTCATCTGAAATCTTAATTTAGTTACAAACAAAGAGGGACAAAATGGTACCAGTGATTATTTACTTAAGATATCATATCGAAAGTTTCAACAGTATGAGCGAAAATTTAATGATACCAAATGTGAGTGTCGATACGGTGTTATCAATTACAGTAAAGAATAAATAAAAGTTACTAAATATTTTTCGAAACAGAAGACATCACTCAAAGCTAAAGACATAAAAGGAGATAAAATGAGTGCAACTGAAAAAGTATGACTGATTTAAAATGTTTCCCCCGATCTCTCCAATCGTGGACTTCATAGACTCATGCCACATCTTTTCTGGACCTCCTAACATTCTTCTGATTTGCTAGAATAATGGCTAATATAGACTACTGGGATAGAATGCGGATGAGAATAAGTGACGTGCATTCCTGATACCTCAGTCATCGAAAGTCTACAGTAAACATAACATTTTTAATTATAACCTTGAGTTTAGTCTCAGCCCTTAATTAATTGCAACGGTGTATACATCCACTGAATATTTTGATTGTTAGTCAACTTTAGTGTCTAAAGTCCCAAAATTCCCCGGATTTTCTTTTATTTACTTCTATTAAGTTCTTTTCTAGTCATTTAATTTGTAGATAACGCTTAATTAATCTTCTTTTTGTTGTTTTCTATAGTTCTGAAGAGGCTATTCAGGTTTATGAGTTCCTTGACTTCAAACATTATTCGATACTTCACTTGTATTTTCTGTGATATTATTTGTATCATACGATTTGTTATTTAACAATTGAGTTCATGAGTCAATTGGAGCTAGACTACCATAGAAAACCTGGAAGCACTGGATGACCGTTTCGTCCTAGTATGAGATTCCTCAGCAGTGTGTATTCACGATACCGTCCCGAGGAATTTCAATCCAGGACCTATCGGTCTCATGAACGATGTTAATGTCTAACTTCAACTAATCTATGAAATAGGTCCACCTTCCACCATTTTCTTCAGTGAGTTACCATCTCACAACAGACCTAGTTGTTATTTGTTTTACTATTATTCATAATAATAAGCTTCAATGTCTTTATTCTTTATTGTAACATGAATAGGATTTACATTTGTTTTCTATAAGTAAGTCAATGAATCATAATTGACCTTTCAACATTATTAATGATGCATTTTATATTGTGTTTATTAAAGTACAATTAACATGAAATTTATTATTTTCTAACATTATTTTATTTTTAATACTGATTAATTTAATTATAACCATTACATAAATATATGTAACATCAATTGTAGGTGATTTCAAAGATTTACTTCTTTTTATTATTAAACTTATCAACAACATACATCTTCACTTAGTAACTGCTTATATAGATATAATGAACAACAACAACAACAAAAAATCAAGCTTATCATTATAACTGAAAGCATAAAAACCGAGTAATTTTACAATTTATGGCAATCATTATCCCCCCGCCCCCCCGAGAAAAAACTCTTAGATATACTTCCAGTCCAGTAGGTGCATTATATAAATTTGTGTGATTTCATAAATATACAAAAAACTGTACTTTACATACATTAAAAAAATACTCATATGTTAAGTTTTATTGTTTAGGTCACTATATCATGTGAATAAGGAGAACTAAACGTAACAATATCTTTTGTATGACGTACTACTATATATATATATATGGAATCATAGTAGTGAAAGTTTGTGAATAAAGTGAATTCAACGAAAAAAATAATCTTCTTTTCGACGATTTCTTCATTGAAATCATACATGATCTCGATCAAAAAATTAACAATCTTCAGAACCCCATAGTGTTGATGATTTCGTTGAAACAAGAATTGTCTTCTTTAAGTTCTCTTTATTTTTATTCATTGGTAATATAGGTTATTTGAAATAATCATTTTGTTCATTTAAGATTAAAAAAAAGAACCAAGAATATCTCAAAGTTTAACTCTTAGACTAATCTGTAATCAATAAACATAATGAAATAATCATGAGTCAGTAGGTCCTGGGTTCGAGCCCCGGGTGGTGTGGGGTCGTGGATGCGCACTGCTGAGGAGTCCCATACTAGGACGAAACGGCCGTCCAGTGCTTACAGGTTTTCAATGGTGGTCTAGCTTCAACTGACTCATGATTTCAATCTGTGAAATTTCTAAAATCTCCACAAAACCCATTCTGATAATAATGAAATAAATGTGATTTACTAACCAATTAAAAATTCTATAAACAACTATCAGGTTATAAATTAAATGGAATAAAGGTCATGAAGACAATGAAAATAAATATTATTGACAATGAGACAACAGAAATATTGGCAATAACTAATGAAGACCAAAATTAACAAAATAAACTATTAACATTTATAAAATGAAATTTAAAGTGAGGACATTCGAATATATTTAGATAAAAAATTACAGAACATCTGAGCATCATACGGTAAATACTTCAATCAATGTCAATCAGTCAATCGTCTCAGATTTCATTTTTCTTTGGTTTACACATCAATCATTTTTTTGTTTTCGTTCTCTTTTCTTTTGAACCTTTTGAACCTTCACTTTTGATTGACAATACATACTACTTATATCTATCGACATCAGTAGTACATACCAGAATATTACCTATTAAACCACTCAACGTAGCAATTTCCAAAGAAAAAATAAACAATTTTCAATCATACTGGTTTTTATTTACAGTTTAATTTAATCATGGATTAAGAACCTAATTGACGTAAACAATTAGAAACTTTAATGAAAGTTGGTATAATTTAAAATATGAATTTCTACATAAACTGGAAGTGAATAGGACACAAATTGACGGAAGCACCAAACTGAGTCACATGGCAGTCCCTCATTTGGAATCTTCAAGGTCAAAGTAGGAGAGGTAGACCAAAGAACACACTACACCGAGAAATAGAGACAGACATGAGAAAAATGAACAACAATTGGATAGAACTAGGAAGGAAGGCCTAAGACAGAGTGGGTTGGCGAATGCTGGTCAGCGAACTGTGCTCCATTGGGAGTAACAGGAGTAAGTAAGTAAGTAACATAAACTAAACTTAATTCCATATAATTAACTTACGGAAACTTTTCAAATACTCTTAGACGCATAGGTAATTTCTGTTGTGTTTCAGCACTGATTTCTCTAAGTTTTAACTTGAAAGGAAAATTAAAGAAATAAAAATAAAAAAATAAAAATCTATATTAATTCTAATTTGCGGAGAATCGTTACACTAGATGTAAAAATCATTGAATAAGTCAATCTTTTTTGGGGTGGGGGGAACAAAATAGTATAGTCTGTAGTATAATCTGTCTTCATAATTGACTACCAACGAACTTTATCCAGGAGAATATGCATCATTTTGTTAATATTATAATCTACTAGTAATGTGTTAAACAGAATATATTAAAAATGTAAACGGCATATACATCCGTTGAACCGTAAAAAAGGGAACATTTTAGATGATTCTAAGCACTGATATCAGTATTAGTTTATATTGTTAGATTCTAATCGTTTATCTTGTAGAAATAAGTAAAATGCATAGTGTTCAAATAATTTGGGTGAATGTTTTTAACTTTAAAACTCCTATCCAATTTGTAATTTTTTTTCAAAGATTGATTATAAAACACTATATTTGTAGTTCACGTGGATGATTTTGTTGAAGTTTTGTTCAATGAGCTGGATGATTTGATCGTGGAGCTTTCATTGTTATACTGAATAAAATCATTAGTATAAACTTCAGTTAGAACTGAAGTGTCCTGAAGTTTGTGCTCATGATGTCGTTCGGAATAACGATGAAGACTCCACGATCAAACAATGCAGCTCATTGAACAAAACCCCACCAAAAACTATAATGTGATTTCTCTGGTAAAGATATACATTTTTAATTGATCAGTGATAAAACATACTTTGCCTCTTAAATAACTCTTCGTTGTCGATAATATGTATTGAAAATCGTGAAATTATTGATTTTAAAATAATATTTAAGTGGAGATTCAGATTAATTTCATAGGTCATAGTTCTGAGCACTCACGTAATTAGATGTTGTAACAACATCAGTTTTGCTCTTACAGTGACTTTTAATTGATTTACATTTAAACTGTTTGTCAATCCATTTTTCTGTTTACTTTTATTCAATACGCCACATATTTTTATAGTGAAGCCGACGTGATCATCCTCTGCACTTCGCGTATAAATACACATATTATTATAGTAGCACATTTGTAATTATATTATTGCCAACACATTACATAGTCAGAAAGGTTCTTTTTATAACCGCCTCCCCCCGTGATACCCCTCTAAGCAGAATATCTACTGCTTGTCATATTGAACTGCTCTATTACTTTCATTAAGTCCCACCAACCTTGTCATAGAGCTTCCTCAAATTGAACCCTTGCTTTCATCATGAGGTATTCGATACCAGTCACCCAGTAGGTGCATGTGATTGATACACTATAAACTGAAAATAGTTCTGAAGTGGGAGACTTCGGAAATTGATTTTACTTAAAATACGGAATAGATTTCGAATCAAAAGTTAAAATGGCGAGTCTTTATCATCTCTTCTCATTAATAATAAAATACTATAAGATTGTGTTCATTGTAACCAATATCCTGGACCGACAGATTTTGTTAATGATCGATAATAAACTACAAACCCTGATTTATTATTGTACAACTTCAAGTGAAAGGACAGATTAATTTTTCACTAAATATAAGTCACTTTGTACAACGAATTATTATATATACAACATATCTAACAAAAAAACAACATGAATATATTTATTTAAATGGTCATTGTTTGTTGGATATGGGTCCAATAGGTCATTCATGAATTCATGAAATCAAAGTCTAGCTATTAGGATTAATTATTGCCAGTCGATTATGTACAAGAACAATTATAATATTAATGATATATGAATGATTAAAACAGATTATCTTGACCAGAAATTGATTTGCTTACTTGATACATGGGAAATTCATTTCTTTTTTAGTACATGCAATACATTATTCAGATAGAAATACAAATTAATATCTAAGACACAAAAATATCTACATCATATAAACGTACTTGTTTTAATTTTTTAATATCTTCATCCAATTCCAAATTATCTAAGATGACAGCAACAAACAAACTAAGAACGATCTGTTTAAACAAAAACAAAAAAAACAATGAAGTGATATCATGAACAGTATTTGATAAGAAGAAGAAATGATTTACAGCTTAGGTGAGGATAATTTTAGTTGTGTTTTGTGTAAGGAACTGGGGGTGGTTTAATTGAAAAGTTTTCATTGTCATACTAAACAATCTCATCAGAGTTAAATCTCAAGTAGAAGAAAGTTATCGAATTAATTCATGAGTTAAATCCATTTTTTCTGATGACCTTGTTTGCGGACGGTTTTTTCTGAATGGTTTTATCAGATTTATATTTCGTAGTATTTCTTTTGAGTGTTTTACCTTCTTGACTTGTTGCTATGTGATTTATTCAACCCTCTATAAATTCACAAAGACAACCATTCATATACAAAGTTATTAGAATAGGCTGATTTAACACATATAGTCTAACATCAATCAGTTTATGATCTCAATCAAAAACGTAATAATCTCCACAACCCTATACTGATAACAATTTTGTGGATATTATATAAACCGCTTTCATGGAAGTAGAAAACTAAATGATGAAAATACGAAAAAAATTACTTGTTAACAGTTTTGTTTCAATAATTGTCATTTCATTACATGTCCTTTAAGTCCTTTACATTCTGCGCTAACTTTAAAAAAAAACAGCTCTGGATTTATTCAAAGATGATAAGTAATACGAGGAAACAATTGGCAGTAGAGAGTGAGAGAGAGCAGAAAAAAGTAACCACGATGGATGATGATACCCGTCAAGGTCAAGTATGGGCACTTCTACAGAACCTAGTGCTACAATGAAACAGCTCTTCACTGATTCTTGATTTTCACTGGATATTTTAATCAGGTCAAATAGCAATGTAAACTGTAAAATATAGTTTCATTCAACAACAATATACATACTAATGAATATAGTACATTGAGATATAGAACACTAAAAATTCATTTCATAATAAATATGCAACAGTATGTTGGCAAGACAAATCGTACCAGTGTAACATAAATACGAAACCATAACATATTGCCTTTTAGTTAGGAGTAAAATATGATCTTAATATCACCTGTTTATTATTAACCGTTATTAATTACCTTGACTGATAATTTCTATTTAAACATTAAAAATTAAAAACACGAAGTTCATCGAAGGGATCTCTTTTCAACGAATTTATTATCAAGCTGTATAATCGTATATATATGAAAATTTTTGTTTGTTTGTTAAAGTACTAATTCTGTGAGGAAATGTGAACACGAATAACCAAGATGACATAATAGAAAGATTATAATACTAGATTACGTAATACGAATAGTAACAATAGATTTAGTGAATGTAATAAAATGATTAAAATGTTTTAGAAGGGTTTTGTGTAGATTGTAGTAATTTCAATAGTTGAGATCATGAGTCAATTGAAACTAGACCACCATAGAAAACCTGGAAGCACCGGATGTCCGTTTTGTTCTATTATAGGACTCTTCAGCAGTGCGCATCCACGACCCTGTCCCGTGGAATTCGAACCCAGTTCCTACTGGTCTCGTGCATGAGCACTTAACCACTACACCACTGAGCTGGTCGGCATCTAATAGTGTTAATGTCTAACTTCAACTAATCCACGAAATCAAGCGATACATCCGCCACCGTCATTAGTGAGTTACTATCTCAAAACTGACGGGAACATATCCCAGTTTGGTTCTACTAAGGTGATAGGAAAGCAGTTAGGAGTTCTATACTTGATCATTACCTTTAAAATTTTCATATATATATGACTGTACAGCTTGATAATCAATTCGTTGAAAAGCGATACCTTCGATGAACTTTATGTTTTTAATGTTTAATGTTATCAATTACTTTGTTTGTATGTTTTTGAAACATTAATGCATTGTATATGGTTTTACCAAATCATCTTAGCACAACATATACTAAGATGATATGAAACATTACAATAGCTGATCATTATTAATTATCAATTTACATTATGTAATATAAATAAACATATTTTTATAAATAAAGAAAAAGTTAATTAAATTATTTACCAATGTTACAACTAAATGATAAAATACAAAATAAATTGCTACTCCTGTTGTTACAGCTTCATTTTCTACAACATCCATTGTATCATGCATCACAGCAACCCAACCTTTTTGTGTAAGTATTTGAAACATTGACATAAATGCCTACAATTATGTAATATGGAAAGAGGAAAGAAGAAAAAAAGAAAAAACAAACAAAAGAAGGAATCATATTAATTAATGTTCTAATATTGAAATGTTATATTTGAAGTATGTTTTCTTTTTATTATTATTATTTATAGTCTTTTGAACATTTCATATTTAAAAATGCACTTGTTAATAAGTTAACTAGTAAATAGTAATTTTATAGTTTAATTCATGAGTCAATTGAAGCTAGACAACTATGAGAAACCTGGAAGAACTAGACGGTCACTTCGTCCTAGTATGGGACTCCTCAGCAGTGCGCATTTAAGATCCAGCCCCGTAAATTCACCTATAAAATTACTAAAACTTACACAAAATAGTAATTAATATTCTATTTTACTTGAATAATAAACGTTAAACATTGAGGTGATCTCACTGTTTCGAATAGCCTGCATGAATATATGGGCTACCTATTTCTGACATCTAAATACGTCAACAAATTATTTGTCTCCTGTTTTTTTCAACAGATCATTATGTCAATCAATTGCATAACCTATTCAGGTACGTTTTTGAAACTTTCACGACATTTCACTGTACAAGTTACAATAGAGCCCAATCAGAGATATTGTGGTTGCTCGCAATATACATAGAAAAGAATGTACATTATTCAGATGTCGATTCCTGAACTGCTAACATCTAATTGGTGACCACTCCGTATTTATCGTCAGGATCGATCAAGAAATTCAGAAATGGATACTTGTTGAAATACTTTACGCTGAGGATTCTATATTGTACCAAAAATATGATAATGAATGAAGCTAATAATAATAATAAAAATAAAAAAAGTGTATCCTGGACTTTACTAGTGGCGATTATCTGACTTGAATAATGAACAGTATAACCTGGTGGCTGAACGTATTAAATTTTGATCGATTATAAAGGGCGGCCTGCTTGAGTATATGGGCTACCTGTTCCTGCCATCTAGATACTTCAACAAACTATCTATTTTTGTTTGTTCTAATATATCATTATGTTTATTAATCACATGACCTATTCTGCTGCGTTTCTGTAAAGTGTACAACCTTTCGTTGTCAAAGTTACAAAAAACTCAATAAGAGACAATGTGGTTGCTGGCAATATACAGCGAAAAGAATGCACATTATTAAGATGTTAATTTAGTGAACTGCTAACATCTGACTGGCTATCGCCAGGACCGACCAAGAAGAAAGAAACGGAAACTTGTTGAAATATTTTGCGCTGAGAATTCTATATTGTACCAAAAATATAATGTTGAATAAAGCTGATAATAATAACAATTACATCTAGTTCTCACTCTTTACCACATATCCCTGTATCTCAACGTAAAACAAACTAGTCTTCTTATGATAGACTTATTACTATGACAATCGAAGGACTATCAGAGGACCGTAATATTGAAGGGTGAATACTATACTAATTAGTATTACGTCAATTGTTATCAGTATCACAGTTGAAATCACGAGTTGATCTAAGCCAGATTAGATCTAAGCTAGGAGTTCAATACTATGACGAAACGGCCGTGAAGTACTTCCCGGTTTTCATTGGTGTTCTATCTTAGATCTCCACAAATCCTGATGCTGATAACAATCATGTGCTCACTAGTGACTAGCTTCAAGATATAACTCTTGAAGCATTAGTGAGAAGCCGTGACCTGTGGATTTCAATCCATATAGGGTGTGAGACAACTATTCACCTCAGGCAATGGATGAAGAGTTGTGTAAGATCATGGATTGATCGAAGCTAAACATTAACACTGACAGATGCCAACTCAATGATCTTAAGGTTATGTTTATGGGTCAAAACACTTTTTATTCATATATATGCAAAATACTGAAGCATCAAGATCATATACATATTAAAACCAATTCGTTTACCTTTGGAAATGTTGAGAACCTATCAAATGTTGGTTCGAATACTTGAAAGCAACAAAATAACTGTAAACTAAACGTTGAAGTGATTATTAGGAAACATGTAGTGAATAAAATTAAACTGCCCAATTTTTTAGCTGGTCCAAATATCTGAATATAAGTAAAAAAAATGATTTAGTTTGATTGGAGTGATTGTGTATGTATAAGTCAGTCATATGTAATCTGATATGTGGCACAGATGAATCGTATTTTATGTTGTTTAATTCTGTATTGATACACAAAAGAAGTAAACTATCGTAAGAATTACTTAACTTGAAATAATTTAAATTATCCGGCTTATGATATTTTGACTGAAATGTTGTCAGTCTTGGTTGACCTTTGTACACCTGTGAGCATTGGCTTCATATAACTATTATGAAACATGGCTAGCAGTAGAACACTGGATGTGTGTTTCGTTCTATTTTGGAACTTCTCATATGTATTATGAAAGTGATGTCGAAGTATTCACACCAAGTTGTTACGTAGCATAGTATAACGGATAGAAACTTGATAACTATAGAACTTCCCCGATCTCAAAACTTACACTATGATTAACAATGTGCGCACCTGCATCAATATGGTAGATTTTGAAGCAACGTTACTTAGCATCTATAAATATAGATTACAATTGTCATACGAACCTTTAATCCAACAGTCTGGATATCCTGATATAGACCAAGCCATCAGTAAATAACATCATGAATTTATGATGTAACTTGTTCTCTTCCAGTCTACTGTCATGCTAACCAATAGAGGATCATAATAAAAACTAATTTTCTTATCAATTTTAGTACAATTATCATTATTATTGAAAGCATAAATAAAATGTTATTTTATATTGAACCATTGTTACTTTCAATAGTATTCCCTTCGTTATATCCCTCTATATTTTCATATCTTTATGTTATCTTATTTAATAATCATTAATATAATAAATTTCTCACATGGTTAAGAATTTATTCTGTTTTATTACATTCTCTTATCTCTTACTTAAATCATGTTATATCATTATACATTTTATCTGACTACTAATTACATTGGTATTATTAGCCTAGATAAAGTCAATCTGTTATGTAAATATAACAAATTATCTTATTGTTATGTTCACCATATGTTCAATTCAAACAAATTATAGTTGAAGTATATATCATATATTAGTCGATTCAATATTTATATGAATTGACTTTTATCAGCAATTTCTAAGGTTTTATACTATTCTATTGTTTGTGTTAACGATTGCAGTAGGCATATATGGATGCTCATATGATGGCTTCAGCAATGCAAATTAATCGCAATTTTTTTAAAAGTTGTATAGTGTCTAATCCAAGACGCGTATTTAATTTTATTTGAAATTGGACAGCTAGAAGTACCTAGACTTGTATTAACATTTACAGTGAAAATTAAGTTTAGAACCTAACACTCCAAATGCCGATTTGTCATTTATTAGGTTTTTGAGTTCTGATAGTCACTAGCTTGTACAGTGAGACTTGGTAGTTCAGTGGGTAGTGTGTTGGAGTTAGAAGTAAAAGGTAATGGGTTCGAGTCCTATTAAATATAAGCATGGATGTAGGTACATCCCGATATCTAGTATATATATATATAATGAATAAACACTAAAAACCCTATTTTTAATAGATTGTTTCTTACCTTGAAGCAAAAGTCTTCCAACATTGGGGAGGCTTTAATCAGACGCACAATTCTTAAAACCTGTAAAGAACACAATGAAGTTTGAAAATTATGTGTTTTTTTAACACAAATAAATTGATAAATCAAGCACGTAGAATGTATAAAAAGACAAATAGTCAGCTCACTAGTAAGTAGCTCTAATATATTTCTGAAATTATAATAAACGATGATCATTGAAGTTCGGACATGTTAGAAGTTAAACAGTGTTCACCAGCTACATTAAACGGTAGTCACGTTATATTTCAAAATGATTGATGTCGAAACTATACCACTCTGCACATCAACCTAACAGTTTTAGTGGTTATCCTGACTGTAATATCTGAATGTCCTGAGCTCGTTTTCTTATTCTGTTGTAGGCATGGACTACCGAGGAGTAACATCGTAACAAGGCCGATGTCGGATTCTTCCTGCTCTTCATGCCACCACCAATACTGTCGATTGGTGACGAATGTAACATAAAAGATAATCTCCATTAATTATACCTATCCAAAAAATAAATAGTTCTGTACTGTAGTGAACAGAACACGGGTGGGGACAATCGATTTATATTTAGCACAAAATTAAAGAGTTACTTGGTAAAATAGAAAAACCACACTATAGTACTTAATTTGCAAAATGTTCAGTAATTGCCTTGGACTTAATTGTTCTTGCATTTCCATACTAATTCCTTTCCATTCCCGCTCTTCCTTTCTTGATCTTCCCCATCTTCTACTGCCAGACATTACATTTCTGATTCATGTCATATACTACTTATATCAATATAAGTTGCACGCACCACAGTACGACAGTATAAATTTTAGTAGTGAAAATAGAATGTAGATATAGTTTACCATTTGTCGATTTTAAAACTCAATGTGATATTAGGTTAACTTAAACACCTTAGAAACCGATTATTATAGAATAATAATAAAACACTCATATCTAATATAAAACTACACTCTATGTATAACTTACAGATAAAAATGTAAATTCTGTACGATATAATATTGGTATACAATGAATTGTTGTACCGATACAAAGAAATAATTCAAATTTAAATAATGATCTATGCCAATAATTACCCCATCCTAAACACCAAATTTTAAAAACAGCTTCAAGATTGAAAAGTATAGTGAATAAAATCTGTCAAAGTATAAAGAAAAAAGAAATTAGTTAAGAATGAAAAAAAAAAGACAACTGATGAATGATGAGTAGAATACAAATTTCATTATGATCATGTCCTAGTTTAATTGGTTAATGGTTGACCTCTTATTTCTTAATTCTTATCTGGTCTTTATTATGCTAATCGATTGTTCTAAGCATCATATAAACTAAGATATGAATCTTTGATTTCTACGAATTTCAATTCCATGCTCGTCCCAAATTTCGATTTAAGAATACACAACAACAACAAAATCAACCATTTGAAAGACTTTCTTAATTCTCCCACAACAATTGTCCTTTATCCATTTGTATCTGTATGTTGTACTCAAATTAAAATGTTTCTGATATTAGTTATGCATACTGACTTTGTTTTTACTAATGAGAAATCACGAAACAAAGGGATTCATATTGTTCTGTGGTCGTTTTTCTCACACTATTCTAAATAATCTGAGTCAACATGTAGTTAGATAATGCTCAGCCTTAGTTACAAAACAAACCTATGTATATGCTTGCATATGTAAGCAGAGATACTTCATTTTTTGGTCGACAAATCATATCTAAATGCATTTATGAAAATATTACACTAATCAAGGCAGTTTGTGAATCTATGATAACAACGAAATAGACGATAGAAGTAAACATAGTAAGCAAACACAAAGCAAACGTATAGCTGAGCCTTTGAGTTAGTCAGCATCTGCCTTCGTAGCTAGGATAGGATGTGACTAAAATAATGCACAGCTCTTTGCGATCAAATTTGGTCGATAGTGATCATGTTGTAAATCGAAACACAACATCCAGAGAAAATTTTCACTTGACTACTACTTTTCCTGTTGGTATTCGATCTCGTCTTTTATCTGTGGTGGAAGTCATAGGGGTTCGAGCTAATAACCCAAGTCTTCGTGTTCATGAAAATGTGTAATGCCTTTTACTCTTCTTTAGGTAAATTTTGTCTAACGAACCTTATTATTATTATCACTCATACTCTTTGTTTGTTTGTCATTCTTCACTATGTTTTTTAAATACACACTTTACTGTTTAATTATATGAACTCTTCTTATCATATAAGATTATTAATCTTTAATGAATGTTATCTCAGTGTCTATTTTTCCAATTTTTTTTTATCTACCTCCTTTTATGAATTTTCAATCCCGACCGTTGTCGCTACCTTGACGTGGTGGTCGGGCTTGCTTATCGTGATGAAACAACTGAGCTATACTGGTTGGAACAACCGTTACTCAAGGTCCTACCATGTCAGACAGGTCAGTTGAAGAGCGGTAAGACTAAAAGCAACAAACCTAAGGTCCGAAGGTGAAGTCATATTGCTGACTGTACAGAGGTGTGACAGCAGTAAGGTGTTTCCTTCAGATAGCCAGCATGACAGCGATGCTGCCTTCCCACAGCGAGGGGTGGGGTTAGAAAAGGTCTTCCCTCAAAATGCACACCTCGCCTTATCCCACGGATATCCGTCTCTGGCGCTAAGGTCTCAACAAGTACAGAGCTAACACAAAAATTACCCATAAAGAGGTCGTGTGTGACCGACCCCAAGCAGTTGTCCCTTGGGCACTGCGGTCACGCTCTCAGGTCACTAAGATCACCTCTAATCCAGTTTCCTTTTCAAGCACCTCCAGAAGAACCCTTCCACAGTGTGGGCAACCGGGAAGTAATAACCGCCCTCATACCTCTAACAGCACTCAAGACCACTGATGAAATGTCAATCAAAGCTTTAATTGACTCATGAACTCAACTATTAAATTACTACAATCTCCACAAAAACCCCTCTTCTGATAATAAAGCTTTTATTAGTCTTATCACAACTAGTACACTTGTCATCACACTATTAATTTTTACTTTTCACTCATTATTTTTACTTATTTAATGTATTCCACTGTTATCATTGTTTCATATGCAAATAAATTCTATTGTATATTAGAGTAAAGCCTGATAAAGACCTGATTGGAAGAAATATTATTCACATATAAATGTTATTCTAATTTACAATAAGGATATTTTCAATATTTTAGAATCATAGGTAGTGGCGAAATTTTGTCCTTTGAGCTGGATGGTTTGGTCGTGAAGCTTTCATCGTTCTTCTGAACGATATCATCAGCACAGACTTAAAGTAAAAATGAAGTGTTTGAATTTTTCCACATGTAATTCACAGCTTGTCATGTACTACGATGTCGATTGGTTCTTGTTGACAATAAACCTGTCATTGTTTACTTATTTGTTTTGGTTGTACCTCCCACTTCACTTCTACCTGAAGTTTGTGCTGATGATGTCATTCAGTAAAACGACGAAAGCTCCACGATCAAAGCATACAGCTCAGAGAACAAAAATCCACCAAGATCATCCATCAGAACTACAAATCTCCATCATCTCGAAATCATATGTAGTAAATAACATGGAAACGCTCTCAGTTTTCTAACATTGAATAATTCCATAACATTAGTTGTGCATAGGATTTGATCAGACAACAGTTATTTGATTTAACGTTGTATATTCCGATCATTTCTACGAATGTGATAGAATTATTATTACCTTAACTTGTAGAGATAATATGAATCAGATCACTGATAACTTTCAGTAATATTCAAATATTTGACCCAATAGAAACCAATTATTAAGCCACTTAACGGTATGTTATATATGCTATACTCGAAAAGGAAAATAGGGCCATGAAAAATTAAGTTTTTATTAAATTTACTGTTATGCAATTATTCCAGTCGATTTGTTTATTTACATGGGAATAAAACATATGACAACTTTTTGATATCTTGGTAAAACATTTCAACATGTAATCAGAAAAGAGTTTTATGGATATTACAGTAATTTAATAGGTGAACTCATAAGTGAATTGAAGCTAGACGACCATAGAAAATCTGGAAGCATTAAACCGCCATTTTGCCCTAGTATGAGACTCCTCAGTAGTAAGCATCCATGATCCTGTCTCGCGAGATTCCAAACCAGAACCTATCAGTTTCGTGAGCGAACGCCTAACCTTCAGACCACTAAGCCGACATTCGATGGTGTTAATGTCTAACTCCAAGTAATTCACGAAATTGAACGACACATCCACCATTGTCTTCAGTAAGTCTCTATCTCACTGGTCACATGTGTTTACTATGTATTGGAAAGCATCTGTACTATATTTTTCTTTTATAGATATCATTCATTTATCAATTCTTTAGGCATTTTGACATAAATCACTTTATTTACATGATGAATACAATTTGACTTTGCTAAATGTAAGTATATACAGCATAACTATAATGGACTTATAAAGCATATGACTCTATTATCATCAAACTATCACTGTCTAGTCATAATAATAAACAACTACTTTCTAGAATTCCTCATTAGAGATTTTATCTATCTATTTAAAATGTCATGAATAGTTTGTATGTTTATGAATAGTTGTGGAATAATATTTAGACAAAATCAATAAAATATGATTTATGTATATTTTCTTCTTCTTCTTTAAATTCTCCTTTTTTTTGTTGTTGATTACATAATATGAATTATGTAGATCTTTCCAATTCAATTATAATTGCCATATGCTAGGAGTTCATTTTTCTTTTCTTTTTTTGTTGGAATAAATTAAGGTTAGAGAGATGAAAAAAATGTCAAAAAATATTCCTGTGATAAATTATGATAAGTATAGTACATAGTGAACAGCTACGATGCAGTTGGACGATTTAAACTTCGCAGATGATCTAGATCTTTTATCGCACAAGCAACAATTTCAGGAGAAAATGACCAGTGTGGCAGCAGCCCGAGCAGAAGTAGGTCTCAACATACACAAAGGGAAAAGCAAAATTATCCTATACAACATAGCATGCACTAATCGAATCACACTTGACGGAGAGTCTTTTGAGGATTTAAAAACCTTTAAATATCTGGGCAGCATCATCGATGAACATGGTGGATCTGATGCATATATGAAAGCAAGGATCGGCAAAGCAAGAGCAGCATATCTACAAATGAAGAAAATCTGCAACTAAAAACAACTGTCAACCAACACCAAGGTCAGAATTTTCAATACAAATGTCAACACACTTCTACTGTATGGGGAGGAAAGTAGGCAAACTACGAAATCCATCATCCAGAAGATACAGGTGTTTATTAACAGTTATCTATGTAAAATACTTTGGATCATTTGGCCAGACGCTATCAACAACCTACTGTGAGAGAGAACAAGTCAGATCCCAGCGGAGGAAGAAATCAGGAAGAAGCGCTGGAAGTGGATAGGACACATACTGAGGAAATCACCCAACTACGTCACAATGCAAGCCCTTAGTTGGAATCCTCAAGACCAAATAAAAAGAGGAAGACCAAAGAACACACTATTGTCGATAAATGGAGACAGAAATGAGAAGAATGAACAAGAATTGGATAGAACTAGGAAGGAGAGCCGATGACAAAGTGGGTTGTAGAATGCTAGTCGGCTGCCTATGCTCGATTGAAGGTAACAGGCGTAAGTAGGTAAGTAACTACTTTTTCCAGTTATAAGTAATGTATTAATCTTTTTCTTTTGCACATGTCTATCACTATCTTAATATATCTTTAGGGATTTATTTCAGTGAGTTGAACAATTCGCTTATCGTAACTGTTTAGATGTCTATTCATATTAATAATCAAATTAATCATATCAATAATCATATTAATAATGGCGTCGAAGGATTCAACATACACCTTGCTAACTGTTTTCAGCACTCTCCGCAATACTGTTTTTTCGCAAAAGCACAGGAAAAAACAATGGAGAACAGTAAAGAATAATAGGTAATATGGAGGAATCAATAAATTATAAGATTATATGTCGAGTAATCTCAAAATCATGCAGCCTCTTTATGTAGTAAGTCAGACGGTAAAACATGAGAAGACCAAGAGAAATCAGAGGAAAAGGTAACACAAAGATAATTGACTTTCGACACTGTGTTTATCAAAGTGTCTCTAATGGCATAAGTCTTACAGGATCCCAAAATGGTGTTTAGATGCTGTTCATGTCTCAGGTTAAATTGAACAGCTTGACTGTTACGAACGCAATAAGATGATTTAATTGTATTCATAATAGTACTTGAGGAATCGGTTAAGATTGAACGACTAACAAGTGAAATATAAATCAGATTATCATAGTGTTAGCCTAGATTTCCAGTAAAACAGAAAGTCTTAAGTTTGTCAACAAGATTTATACAATGGAAACAATTGTATATCGTAACTAGAATGTTAGTCAGCTTTTATCGATCTCAAATTTTAATTTAGGATAAAACCGCTAACTACAGTTGACTATAGTCCAACACAGAAATTACGCACAAAAATAAATAAAACTATTAATTTACAAAAAAAACATGACAGTTAGTTCACTCAATAAAAATGTGTGATACCTCAGCATAATAGAAACCGTCTAATTGAACTTTCATATGGTCACTGTCTCGTAAACTTTGATGATTAAAGTGTAATGCAGCTGCTGTGATTGCATTAGCCAATACTAAGACCATGATAACTACATTGAATCCAGTAGACCTGAGTATCGTCTATTAAACATGCAAAATATAATGAAAAGTATAGATAGTTCGTGTTAATCAAATCAAAGATAAGGAAACAAAAATGAAATACTTGCAATTTTATAGTACAATGTGGTCATTAAAACCCTGAACAGATCTTAGTTAAACAACTAATGAAAACCTGAAAGCGCTGGATGGCCGTTTCATTCATCAGTGCGCATGCACGAATCCACACACCAGAATTGAACCCAGAACCTTCAGTCTTGCGTGAGCACTTAAACTCAGGACCACTAGTCAGGCATCCAACGGTGTTAATTTCTTACTTTGACAAATCTACTATAATGTGCAACTATTTTCTATTTACTTCGATGGGTAATCGCCTCACATCAAACACGATTGAACTCCTCTGGTTACGGCTTCGCATTAAAAATCCATAAATTGCCTCTCAAAGCCAGTTTCTACTGAGCACACGATCAAAATTAGGGCGGTTAAGGATTTCACTAATGTTCAACAATCTCCCTAACCCAATACTTACAACAGAGTAATCAGAAAGCTTTTGTTCTACGATAATTTATAAAATGTTGTTAGATATTTAAATCGTAAGAGTTTAAATTTTTCTATTGATGGAGTTAAGGATTTCAGTTAGTCAGTCTGTTTAAGAATTCCACGTAGCCACTGAGTCCAGATTACCGCTGACTTATGAAACAGGGTAAATTACAACCCAGCTGCTATCGGTCATAAGGATTTCTGGGTGGAATTCGATAGTGGTTAGACATGTGTTTGATTGCCTGTGTGAACATCAACAGTTGGAAACAAGTACAGCCACCTGATGAGTTCAAAATGATACTCACAGATTCCCTTACAAGCGACTATCCAACTGTGCTTAAAGAAGTTGAATAACCTTTTCTTTACTTAAATCACAATAATGCTAGTCAATACACACGCATCGACATCTGACACCGTAAAACTTATTATCCTGAAGTAAATAATTTGGTCAGTAATGTTACTTCTCAAATTAAAAATCAACTGAATATCACAGTTTCATATAGAACTCACTCTCTTCAATAAACTTTCGTTATGCATGGAAAACTGTATTCGTAAAATAAGATCACCTTATTTTACTAGTTTCTCATTAACTGTGTACAGTATAAGAAAAAAAAGAATATACGGGCAGTTTTCTTCATGAAACGATGTCGGCTTGTTGACCATGGAAAATAAAAAGACAGTGTATGGTTGTTCTGTCTGAGTTTCAAGTCCACAGATAGTACACTTATACGATTTGACTGAGATCGCTAAGAAGTCATCCAAGTTGGGAAAGAAACACTATCTCACAGATGACATAGGTTGGCGGATAGACTAGTATAACAAATGAAGTGTAGTTGTAAATATGGACCATGATATCTTGATCAAATGTTTCCATGTATAGAAAAAGTCTACCGACTTCAGATACCATTGTGTGTTTATGAAGGTGAATACCATTTATTAATAACACTTAATAATGATAAAATAGATGTTCGGGACCTCTTTGCCTCAGGTGGTTTGCTGACTGACGCTAATTTGTCTAAAACAAACCTTCAAAGTACACTGAAATGTTCAGTGCCATTTAACCATATAAATCAATTTATTGATATTACTGTAACAAATTTCATGGTTTATTATCTTCGGTATTTAACCATCGATCACGATTATCTTCTAGATTTGAACATGACAGTTCTAATGTCCCGACACTGATAAGCCATATATATGATAACCTTATGATTCAATGCCGTCATTAGTTATCTTTCAACCTAATTATATTCTTCTTAAAATAATGTGTCGGTTTTAAGGGTTACTTAGGCCCAATTACTTCAACCAATGATAGTTGATATTATCATCGATCAACTGTCTTCATGGTGTATGCTACTTATTTTAACAGATATAAGTAGTATGTAATGCAATCCGGAAGTGGGATACATGCCAGCAAAAGTTTGAGGAAATTGGATTGCAGAGAACAGAAAGGAAAACAGAAAGCAATTATAGTAAGAAAAGAATTGAAAGAATCATGAATCATATATACGACAATTGAAGAAAGATGTACACGTAATGTATATAGTGTATGGTTATCATATTTTACGAAAACATGTAATTTTTGATCAAACGACAAATTAGTTGTCTCTATCTGAGTTCTCGTTCACCTCATCTTCATCTCAATTTCTTCATTTCATAATCTGTGGTTCTAAAATACCTGAGGAATACATTGGAATTCTCTATTGTCAAAAATATTTGCACTCTACTCATGTTTCCAACATTTGAAATGCTTATAAGCCACATAGTAGTGGACTGTAACATGCAATGCGAAATTCCTACCCTTAGTAACGTGTATAAAAATTGTGCCTGAACACAAGTCAGATGGTGGTTGGAGGTAGTCAACAGGAAACCCTGGATCCGGGTTTCATACTAGTTGGCACTCATCAGCAAGATGTACCTGCAATCGTGAGGGACCTAGTACTCCCTGACGTATTCAATCCCGTGTTACCCAACTTAGTTACCACTGAGCCATCCGGGTTGCGACCAACCTCCTGTATGACTGAGATGTAATCACAATTGATTGATCACTGGATGGTGGTGGGTGATCAGTGTCATGTGTGTCAAGTCCTTCTTAGTGCAGATCGAATCCTATCGATCAAGTTGCAATGCGGCAACTAGTCTAGGTGACTCGACACTGCCGGGTGACATGGGATCGAATCCGTCAGAAAGTACCAGTTCCCTCAAGATTACAGGCACACCTTGCTGATGAGCTCCAAGTAACACGAAACGTGGGTCCATGGTTTCCTGATGACTACCTCCAACCACCGTCTAATCTCAACATAGTGCACACAATGTCGATTCACCTAGACTGGTGGCCACATTGTAACGTGGCCGATAGGATTCAGTCTGCATTAAGAAGGATTTGACACACATGACATTTATTCCCCACCACCAAGTGTTCAAATAATTCTGAACACTAGTTGATACAATAAAGCTGATCGATTTAATTGTCCAATAGTATATATACTCAAGGTATTACATTTTTAAAACAGAAATAAACATAAAACTGTGGATTGTTAGCAGAATCATTCAGTATAACATAAATTTTTCAATATTCATATCAACATCTAAGTGGGATGGAATTAATCTCTACGAGATCAATTTTCAAGTGATTCTTTCTATAAATTTATTTGACATGTATAGTAGTTATGAGATGTGTTTTTTTTATAACAAGCAGAATTCTTAATATTCTAAATTACATTATAGACATTTTTTATTGATCACCGTCAACATTTGTCTAATCTAACCATTTGGGCTATACATATACATATATACACATTATATTTGTTTGTTTTTTTCCCCCACTATACACCAAATGTTCCAATACGACAAAATACTTAGGTAGGCAATTCATTTATTTATTTCTGTGTTATTTGAAGACAGGAAAATTGGTATTTGTTCTTAATCCTTTGGTCTATTTTTTTTTCTCACTGAGGAAATATGTATAGACAGTAGCTTCAAAATGTAAGACAGGTAATGTGTTTGTTGGGAGAGAGAGAGAGAGAGAGCAAGAGAGAGAGAGAGAGAGTGGGAGAGGAGAAATCAGTATTCTGTACGAAATTGATAGTTCACGCGATAATAAACATAACTTAAGCAGTAAAATTCCCTGCACTTTTGTAAAGAATACCATTGAAAAAGAAGAGATTTCAATGGAATGTATGTTACAAGGATTTATGAATTAATGTGGGAAACAAATGGTGATTGTTTTTTTTTAGATAATATTTATTTTATGTGAATTGATACAAAATGTAATGTGTAACTACTAAGTGATAATTATCACAGAAAATTTGTGTAGATAGCTTAGTATTTAGTTGACGTCACTGATTATTCATTATTAAACAAACAATGAAAATTAATATACACTGGATGTCCCTTTCGCCATAATACGGGCATCCTCAAAAGTATGCAATCACTTGAATCAACAATGCTCAAAATTATAAGGCCTCGTAACAACAAGAAGGTTACATTTAAGCCATACAGTTGGCATTCACTTATTCATATGTATAATTTCAGTCAGTTTGTATTGTTGCGTGACCTTTTTACATTGTCATCTATGATGTCGACTTCGCGCTCGATATGCTTAGATTCCATAGGACGGAGATTACCACTAAAACTACGGGAATTTTTATCTAAGTTAGTCAGTAAGGTGTACGTGGTTATTGTAAGAATGGAAATGTTTCCATTTTTCAGTTATCATAATGAATTGGTTCTAGGTAAACAACGTATTTTAAATTGATCTCCTATCATATAAATAGAGGAAATTTACATTATGCCAATTCGGAATGAACAGTCAATCGTATTTGGGGTCACTTTATAATACAAGAGTCAGACGGGTAAAAGTATGTTTTAGTCATATTTATATTGAATTGATGTTAGCTTGGCTCGTACAACAAACACTTGTTTTGAGTACAGTGTTACATTATTTCCATTGATGTTTTGTCAAATCTACTGCTTACAGTGGGACAAAAAACTATATGAATATGTATAATTTAAGAATGATAAATATTGAAGGTTAGGAAACTTAGTCTTTTGTACGATGTGTTTTTCAAAAGTAAGTGTCAGACTAAGTAAGTATTAAATGCTTTGGTGTTAATAACCTGACAGTAATCTAAGAACTGGTGAACAACACTCTTACATATATGATTTCAAAAGTTGACAATAATGATTATTGTTTTAATTGGCGTTGCAACATCTGGATGTGAATAAATTTCTTTGTTAATGATTTTTTAATTCTCTATTAGCCGACTGACTATAATTAGACAACCATTGGAAACCAGGAACTACTGAATAACCGTCTTGTCATGTTATAGGATTCTTCATGGGTAGGCATCCACGATCTCATTAGAGGTCTAACCCAGAAACTTTAGATATCATGGTGAGTGCCTAACCTTCAGACTACTAAGTTTCTACTCAGAGTTTCATATTTATAACTTTATATGCTTACTAGTAACTAGCACCAAATGGTAATTTCCGTGATCAGAGGATTTTTAACTATTTCAGGAATGTAAAAATTAGCCACCAATGGCACTAGACCACGGTTGGATAAGATCAGGGATTGACTGAAATTTGAAATAAAATCATTAAATACCAACTCAAGTCGCTGAGAAACATGGAAGTCTTGGGTTTGATCATTGGTAGTGTCGTGAATATATGTTGATGAGATAATGGCATGATGAGTAAAACACTTAGCTTACAGTCAGTTACGATGGTGTAGATGTATTCTGTCTTCTCTTTAGATTTCAAGTTTCATACTATCTTATGCTCTTTTATTCAAAAAATTCTTTTTTTCCTTTTCAGTCATATCGTCTGTGTCTGATTGTTTCTACTACCCCTGATACTGTTACTACTGCTCCTTCTCTAACATTTGTATTAGTAATTTCATCCAGCTGTACTGATTTAGTGTGGCAACCTAAACAGATATATATATGTCTTATTCGTATAAGTTGTGTTGAATCTCCTAATTCCTGCTTATCAAAAGGGTTGGTCAATCCTTTTTTTGGAATATCAGTCAGTCAGTCAGTAACAACGTAGAACTTCATACGTACGTACATCAGTTCGAGTTGCCACACCACCTTAACACAGAGATGCAGTTGTCGATTCCAATCCCGTAGTGGTAGAGGTAGCAAGAGTGTAAGCAGTGATCGGGAAGATTAGGGTTTGGAGATGTTATTTAAAGAGTATAATTCAGTGAAATAAATTTGGAAAGAGGAAAAAAGGGACATGAAGAATTCAGAAGATTAGAATTCGGGAGAACACAAAGAGTGGATGCACCTGCACCATTGCAAACGATTTTGAGCCATGTCATTCAGGGTCTCTAACCATCGGTTGCTATCATCTCGCGGTCCCCAACCAGGTAGTCTATACCTATCAACATGACTCAGACCACTTGTCAGTGACTTCATGGACTTGTGCCATGTTTTGGTCTGGCCGCCCCTAGCTTTCTTCCAACCTACTCCTATACCACTGAACATCGCACGTCGAGGCAGTCGGTGGTTGGGCATACGTAACACGTGTCCCAACCATCTCAACTGATGAAGTTTCACTACTTCATCAATTGATTTGCCATCCTTACCTAGTACCCGTTTCCTAACAACTGCGTTGCTTACTCGATGGTCCCGTAATATACGAGCAATATTTCGAAGACACCTATGATCGAATACTAGTAACCTACGAATATCCTCTACTCTTACCGGCCATGTTTCACTGCCATAAAGTAGGACGGGACGTACTGCTGCACAGTAAACCCGTCCTTTGGTTGATAGACGGATATCTCGCCTACGCCATAAATGACGCAAGTTCGCAAAAGCTAGTCGAGCCTTCTGTATCCGTGCTGAGATTTCGTCACATACCAGACCACAAGGGCTGATGAGACTTCCAAGATAAGTGAAGCGGTCGACACACTCAACTACTTCACTCCCTATCACTAGTTCGGGTGTCGATGTAACCCAATCCTGAAGCAACATTTTGCATTTCGAGGGAGAGAATCGCATCCCGAACATGCTTGCATTGTTGCTTAGAGTGGTCAGAAGACTCTGCATTTTGTCAGCGTCTTCGCCAAATAAAACTATGTCATCAGCATATTCTAAGTCAACAAGTGAACCTCCTGGTAGAAGTTCAACCCCTGGAAATTTAGATGAGGAGAGTGTCATCTCTAAAAGTACGTCGACCACAAAGTTGAACAAGAATGGAGAGAGTGGACAGCCCTGACGAACACCACTTGAGGTAATCAATTCTGATGACAGTTCGCCATAAGCTCTCACTCTACCAGTTGTGTTCGAGTAGAGAGCCTGAATAAGGTTAATGTACTTCTTTGGTACTCCTTTCAGTGACAAACACTGCCATAGAACCCTACGATCAACAGAGTCGAATGCCGCCTTAAGGTCGAGAAATACTACCATTGTCGGGCGTCTAAACGTGTGTCTGTGTTCTAGAACCTGACGTAGTGTGAATATTTGGTCTATACAACCACGTCCAGGTCGAAAACCAGCCTGATTTTCTCTAGTCTGTTCTTCACGAGCTCTGGTTAGGCGTCGAAGTATTATTGAAGCTAATATTTTAGACACTATATTAGTCAAACTGATTCCTCTGTGATTGTCACAAGAGGACTTTTGTCCTTTCTTATAGACTGGCACAATCAGTGATTGAGACCACTCAGATGGGATTACGTCCAGTTCCCAAATTCTACCTAAGACCTCGGTTAATCTCATTGCTAATACTGGACCACCATCCTTAAAAATCTCAGGAGTAAACCTGTCAGGGCCTGCTGCTCTCCCTCGTTTCAGATTTCCTATGACTTTTTCAACTTCGTTAAGAGACGGAGGACCTACATTAACTTGCCATTCAGGTTGACTGGGGATCGTGGGAAACCGAAGTGTGGCTGAAGGCCAGTTGAACTGATCCCTGAAGTGTTCTGCCCATCGATCCAATCTCCTGGACTGGGAATGGATAATATGTCCATCTTTCTCTGAGATTGTTTCGCTAACAGTCGGTTTCCTAATTCCGGTTTCCTTAACGAGTCTGAACAATTGTCTGCTATTACCTATTGCCGCTGCCTTTTCCATCTCTCTTGCTTTCGCTACCCACCACTGTTCACGATCATTGCGTAGACTTCTTGTCAGCTTGCGCTTAAGCTGACTCCGCTCTTCATTATGTTCAGAGCCAGATGGAATGAGTTTCCGAGCATCTATCAGTGCGATAGATGGTGCTGAGATCCAGTGTTGCTCTCTAACCTTCTGGTTTACCTTACTAGCAGATATCATTGCTGTTTCTACAGCTTTTCGGATATCATTCCATGCTGCATCGGGGTGGGCAGCACATACATGGCTGCCTAACTGTTTTCCTAGTTGTTCCTGAAATATACTCTTAACTTGACTATCATTAAGTAGGCCCCTAAGAGGTTTCCTTGCAGCGTCTTTCCTACGTCCAGTAAGACGCAAGCAAATACGCGCTCGCACTAGAGCATGATCTGAATCTAGGCATGTGCTCCAGAATGAGCGACAGTCTTCTATCGAGCCCCTCCATCGGTGGCTGATGGCGATGTGATCTAGTTGGGTCCAACGTTGGGGCGAATTAGGGGGTCGCCATGTTAAAAGATGTTTTTCCTTATGCTTAAAGTTAGTATTTGCAAGAAACAGGCGGTTATCTGAGCATAGCTGCAACAGACGGTCGCCATTATCTGTTCTTTGAGCCACGACACCATAAGATCCACCGAGGTGTCTTTCCCTATCGCTTACTTTACCTACTTGAGCATTAAAGTCACCGGTCACTATTACTATATCCGAGCGCCTAGCTTTTCGGAGAAGGTCGGAAAGCTTTCTGTAAAACTCATCTTTTATATCATCTGGGCTGCAGTCAGTGGGAGAATAGGCAGAAACGACGAAGAGGCAACGACGGGTGTCCCTATCTTTCCGGATTCTTACTGTTCCGTTCAGTCGGACAGCGCACAAACGGCTGTCTACTGGGATCCACTCTAAGAGAGCTAATTCTGCTCTGGGACTCAATGCTATACCTACGCCAGCGAGGCCACGGGAAGCAGAATCAGGGCTTCCAGATACACGAAGCGTAAATCGATTCGGTTCTTTATTTTGGCATGTTGAAGTCAAATGAATGACGCTACTCGGATCTTGTATGCGCGTTTCGGAGACGCAGCACACATCGATGGCGCGAGATTCTAAAGTCCTAGCTAAGGAAGTCTGCTGTCCTATTTGGCACAGTGTTCGGACGTTAAAAGCTCCTACGTGTAGTTTAGAGCGTGGTTTCAGGAGACCAGGAATAGAGTTCCACGTACTGGAATATGGACTATAGCAACTCACGTGCAATTGAGTTTGATCTCATTTAATTCGGTTAAGCCCTTTTGTTAACTTATTTAGCGGACAGATCCATTCGTACTATAACAACTTATTGTACCGTTATTATTGTTGTGCTTGTATGAAATATATATATATATATATATATATATATATATATATATATATATATATATATATATATATATATATATATATATATATATATATATATATATATATGAGTTTCTGATTCACTCAATTGCCTCTGTTTTGTGGTGAGTTATCTGGTAGTAAAACCGTGGTCGCTGCTTCTCTTTGCCTTCTGATTTCGAACGGCGTTGAGGATTACATGGTAACGGTTACGCGGGTGATTGGTCGACGAATCACAGCCATTACAGGGCATCCAGTGAGGATCGCCCAGATATTCCCATGACGTTACAAAGAATTTTAAGCAAAGATGGATAGTCGATAGCAGTAGAATCCAGGATCTGCTTTTCGTCTCATTTGGAACCCGTCAGCTTAATGCCCCAGTATCCCAGATTTGATGTTCACTCTAGGAATCAAATCACTTGGACTCGTATATGTGTGACAGGTTCTAATTTGATTGTGTCCAAGTGAACTAGTTGAATTTTAAATCAGCAGATCACAGGTTTAAAAGCCACTCCATCTAGTATAGTTTCGGCAGCCAAGTAGTATCATAATTTCAAACTTAAATTATGTAGCTTAAAGCTAATTACATAAATATGTACAAACGTAAATCAATCGTATTGAACGAATATAATATCAAACATGCTGCTTATATGTAAATTAGAAGCAATACTTATGCATAATTACAAGAATTTTAAAGACTGATAGCCTTTGATATTGAAAAAGCCTGAAGAGAAAGGGAGAGAAAGGGGGGGAAAGAAGCACTTTTAATTGAATTCCTCTACAATTTAATAATACTTACTTCTTGAAAAAATTTTGGTGCTAAACCACGTGGATTACTCTCATGTACAGGAACTAATTTCCATGTTAAACCATCAAACTGAAATATCTAAATAAACAAGAGGAAAATTTATTATGTAATACATAAATATCTTGTAAATAACTATTCAAATGTTTAATCTTAAAAGGTAATGTGAATTATGTTAAATATGAAATAGAGTTTGATAAAACAGATTATTTTATTATTCTAATCTCTTATGAAATTCATTGCAGGTGAGTGGTCTATGCTCCTTCATGAGGAGTAACAGACTTAAATAAAAGTAAAGTATGGAATTAATTAAATTCTTAAAGATTAATATTTTTACATAAATATCTTTCAATGAATAATTTTAGTTCCATGTACCTAAATCATTGTGGATTATTGTGGAACAATCAATTGAATGAAATTAATCACTCTACATCAACTTCATTGACTACGAAAAGGCATTTGATAGTGTGGACAGAACAACAATATGGAAGCTCCTTCGATACTACGGCGTGTTTCAGAAGATGGTCAATATTATAAGGAATTCCTATGATGGACTAAACTGCGAAATTGTGCATGGATGACAGTTGACAAATTCGTTCGAGATAAAGACCGGTGTCAGGCACGGTTGCTTACTCTCACTCTTTCTCTTTCTCCTGGTGATCGACTGGATCATGAAGACATCAACATCTGAAGGGAAGCACGGGATACAGTGGACATCCAGGATGCAGTTGGATAATCTGGACATCGCAGATGATCTGGCCCTTCTATCCCAAACGCAACAACAAATGCAGGAGACGACAAGTGTAGCAGCAGCCTCAGCAGCAGTAGGTCTCAATATACACAAAGGGAAAAGCAAAATTCTGCGATACAACATAGCATGCACCAATCCAGTCACACTTGACGGAGAAGATTTGGAAGATGTAAAAACCTTTACATATCTGGGCAGCATCATTGATGAACACGGTGGATCTGATTCAGATGTGAAGGCGCAGATCGGCAAAGCAAGAGCAGTATATTTACAACTGAGGAACATCTGCAACTCAAAACAACTGTCAACCAACACCAAGGTCAGGATTTTCAATACAAATGTCAACAGAGTTCTACTGTATGGACCGGAAACCTGGAGAACTACGAAAGCCATCATCCAGAAAATACAGGTGTTTGTTAACAGTTGTCTACGCAAAATACTTCAGATCCGTTGGCCGGATAATATTAGCAACAACGCACTGTGGGAGAGAACAAACCAGATTGTAGCGGAGGAAGAAATTAGGAAGAAGTGCTAGAAGTGGATAGGACACACATTGAGAAAAGAAATCAACTGCATCACAAGACAAGCCCTCACATAAAATCCTCAAGGCCAAAGGAAAAGAGGAAGACCAAAGAACACATTACGCCGGGAAATGGAAATAGACATGAGAAAAATGGACATGAATTGGATGTAACTAGAAAAGAAGGCCTAGGACAGAGTTGTTTAGAGAATGCTAGTCGGCGGCCTATTCTCCATTGGGAGTAACAGGTGTTAGTAAGTAAGTAAGAATAATTTTAGTTAATATTTTTGTACAGTTTCATTTCTTTTTATTCGTTTTTTCCTCAAAGTTAATTGTGAATAAAACTGAAATTAAATAGTAATTAAACATCTTAAGTATAACTTGAATGATGGGAAACACTTAAAATAAAAAACAATTTGAAACTATAAATTACTAGGTTGCTACTTTTCAAAAAACATAAAATTCATTAAAAAAAAAGGAGAAATTTTATTACAATTCAAAATGTAATCTTTAAAAATTTTCATGAATATTTCCCTTTTTTGACCAATTCATAAACAAAGAGGAAAAAAAGTATTTGGTTAAAACATCCTTTAAATTAGATGGTGGTTGGAGGTAGTCAACAGAAAACCCTGAACCCACGTTTCGTGCTACTTGGCATTCATCGGCAAGATGTACCTGTAATCTTGAGGGAACTGGTGCTCACTGACGGATTGGATCAAGTGTCACGCAGCTTGACATTCAGAGATGTTATAACCGGGCTATCTGGGTCACGACCGACCTCCTGTATGACTGAGATGTAATCACGATTGACTGATCACTGGGTGGTGAGTGATTAATGTCATGTGTGTCAAGTTCTTCTTAGTGCAGATCGAATATAATTAAATTAAATGTAAACGTAGTTTATATTTTCAGTGTATTAACAATATTAATAGATAAACAATATGAATTATTAACAAAGATAGATAGTGACTAGCGCTGGTACGGCCGAGAGTGGTAAGAGTCAGCTCTCTCTCCTCTCTCTCTCTCTCTCTCTCTCTCTCGAAATACTCGCAAGTGGACATGTGTATACAACCACTACCAGAGAAGATCAATTAACTTATTTATCGCGGCATTACCGTTGTCTACGAAATTAAGAGTACAAATAGTGGATGTTTGGCGCTGTAACCGGGTTAGTGTATAAAAAGAATTCACCTAGGGGAGTTGCCAAACTTTGATCGTAAATCAATGATGTACATGGATTCCAGGATCCTAAGGAAACAAATGGCGTATGAACCAATCGTTGGTCACTGGCTACCATGAGGCTGCATCTCGTTACGTTGCTCCACTGCCTTGTGGATTAGACTTCTAGGTTGAATGCTCAGGTATGGCCCCCAAAGAAAACCAACTGCTTCGGTTCGGTTACCCATGCAGTATCCCAGATCTCACACAAATTGAATGATTTGTATGGCGCATATCTGTTTGGTACCTTTTTGTACCAATGATTGTGCGCTTTAATAAATAAATAAATAAAGCAGCGGAACCCAGGATGAGCGTTTTATCCTATGCGAGACTCGTCAGCTGGAAGTATTTGCATCTCAGAGTTGATGTTCATTCTAGGACTTGAACCTAGTACTGGTCTCTTCGAACGCCATTGTGTTATTCACTTAATTACTGAGACCTGATAGCCAGTTGCTTGTGCAATAGAGTAAAGTTTAGATTAACTTTATATTGTTTACTTGAATCTTCCCATTGATTATGACAATATCGAGGCAATACGCACAGTATGCACATAAGTGACCGATCAATTGCAGTTTTAAACATCAGTAGGAAGATTCAAGTAAACAATACCATGTGAATTTAATGGACAATTTAATGATTAATTATAATTACTGAAATACACTAAATGAATGCTTAAAATAGATTGTAATAATTTGTATTGAGGATAAAGAAGAATTTTGTTTTCTTTACCTAACTGGTAACATCAGTATATTAAAAATGAATTTCAGAATTTCATTATGTTTATTTTTACATTTTATAATATTAGTTAGTAACAGTTTCTATGATGTGCCAGCCAGATTGGTTAGTAAAGTCTCTTCTGGAGACGCCTGTAATCTTCTTCTGGGAATGAACAATGTGTTTTTAGGGTTCACGAACCCACTGCGTAGATGTGATGGCTACCGCTTTAGTATTTCATGACATACACACAAGCTTAAGCTCTAGCAAGGTTGCCCCCACTATCCTGAAGCGCCGCGAGAAGGCCTTAGGTCGAATGTTGAAAATAATATATACACACAGTTAAAATAGTTTATGATCAAAATAGAAATAAGTTACATTTTTTTATTCCCTAAGAAAACATTTAATGTTCAGTTAACAAAACAAAATTACTCATTTATGATTTAAATATTATAGAAATAAATGTACATTTACCTTTGATGAATCTGCATCTGCAGTATGTCTTGGTGTCCACATTTGTTGAAACTGTACTCTAATCTCAGCAAATGTTTCAATTAACACAGCAATAAATACATTCTGACAAATATAAAATATCAAAAAAAAATAATAAAATGATATTATAATATACATTTGTACACTAGATCAATTTAAGGAAAGATAAAATCAGAATGGGTTTTGTGGATATTGTAGTAATTTCAATAGTTGAGATCATGAGTCAACTGAAACTAGACAGCCATACAAAACCTGAGAACACACGACGGCTATTTCGTCCCATTGTGGGACTCCTCAGCACTGTGTATCCAGGATCCCGCCTTGCAAGATTACAACCCAGGAACTATCAGTCTCGCGTTCAAGCGCTTAATCACTAGACTACTGGGCCGATATACAACGGTGTTAGTGGTTGTTTACTGCTGAAAAGTCCAACATAAGGACGAAACGGCCGTCCAGTGCTGAAAAGTTTTCCACGGTGGTCTAGCTTCAGTTGACTCATGATCTCAACGATTGAAAGATAAAATGTTCTTTTTCACTAATCTTTAATACACTATTACTGTACTGCACTTGTGAAATTAAAAAAGTAAAGCTACTATTGTAGACTTAATAAATGATGAAATAAATTCAAATCAATTATATTTTAGAATATATATTTTCACAGCTACTGTTATCTACTTTAGTTTACACAGTCTATACTGGTCTGACTATTAGTTATACAATCTGAGAATCATGTACATGTACAATTATATCGCTATCAACTTCAGTATTTGTAAAAGGTTTATTTATTCTACCTGCCCATTCAAATTTTCGCAGCTGAAGTGACTTTCAAATTTGTTAAACTTGGAGTCAAAATTTCATTGTCTGAACCACTAGACTGAAGTCTTTTGTTTAAAGTTCAACTACAAGAAGAAAATTATAACGGAATATAATAAGATATTACTTCTATTTAATTTAATATATATATATATAGACTAGATCATGATATCCCTAACTACATGATTCATGGTCGGTAATTTAAAAACCAGATAATGGACTAGAAGATAATTGGATTAAAATCAATAAAAGCAGTATTTAAGTAGAGAAAGGTTTACAGTGAAATCAAAGTAGAAATTAATAATAGATATGAATTTACAAAACAAAATAATGTAATAACATTCAGAAAGCTGGGTCTCTGTTTGTTTTTGCCCACTGGTCATTCACATCAGTAAATATTTGTAGTAAATAAAATCAAGAGTAATGTGCAATTTATTGAAATCATAAACCGATCAATGTTGAACCATCATTGAAAAGCGGAGAGCACTGGATGGCCAGTGTGAGACTCCTCAGTAGTATTAACGATCCCTCACGTAGGATTTGAACCTAAGACATTCAATCTTGAGCGAGTACTTAACTTCTAGATCACTGAGCTGAGATCTAATTTCAACTAATCCATGATACTGTGCGACTATCTTTCATTGTCTTTGGTCGATAACTTCAACAACCAACACGGTTGAACTCCACTGATCATGGCTGATGATGATTGATGCTTATTCAATTTTCCGAAACAGTATAAAGATATTCGATGTTGTAGTTACCTATTTGCTAATAAACTATAATATTACCTGAAATGCATTGCAGGAATATTTAAGCAACTAACCCTAAACGTAATACTGTTCATGAAATCACTTTCATTAACAGTTTACGATGGTGATTGGTGATTATATTCAATACAAATAAGAAAAAGTTAAAACCATGTGTTCTAATAATGTGACTTGTGCTCAGTTTTAAAGCAATAAATGCTATGGGAAAAAATCCACTGATGCCTTTCATTATTAAGATTCAAACACTTAAAAAGAGGATAATTCAAGCTAAACATTATTGATTAGTATTTATCAAAAGACAAGAAACCTATTTTCAATATTCTTGTCCTTAACTGTAACTAAATTTACCGGTGATTATTCATCATTATTTCGTGCATATTGACAATTATTTAATTTTCGAAAGGTTTTAATTGTTTTAATTCCTTATTAATCAAACAACCTCATTTCATAGACTGTGCTTTTTTAAAGAGAAATGATGAGTAGACGTGCAAGCTTTTACTGGACTATGGTAACTTTGAAATCTACTAGGAGTCTTCTAGGAGTTTTAAATTATAGATAAGAAACATTATCACACCCATATTGTCGATTCACATATTGATTTGTGTAATTAAGATAGGAAATAAGTTGAAGTTGTATATTACGAAATTTTATGTAAATGCATACAGAGTCTTTGAAGATAGCTTGAAATTACCAATTGATATTAGCCAGATAGTCGTTAAAAATTCAGAGGCATTAAAAAATTGTTCCATTGTCATTGTGCTCTTTGATGTTTAATGGTTCTGAAATTAAGTTTAGTAAGTAAATGAACTTTTACAATAACTAAGTAATGTCCAAAAACCTCCTACCCTAGTTGTACATTGTAAGTGTTCGGTAGCTGACAAGAAACTGTAAACCTATGTTTCATGTTAGTTTAAGCTCGTCAATGAAGTATACATTCACTATTCACGAGATGGATTACCGATATTGGATTCAAATCTGCATCATTCAGCTTTATACTCCTAGAGATCCAATTATAAGAATAAATTGTTTACAAATAATCGACCATCAGATAGAGACCATTGACATTTATGTCCAGTTATTTTAAATACTGATCGAATTCTGCCGATCAAACTTCAATATGTTTACTAGTTTAACTGACTCAATTATCATATAAAACATATACATCTCATAGTGTTTAACTATTCAATTTAACGAAGATTGGTTTTCTTCAGTAATATGTGTGTATTAGTGAACAAATTGTTTTATTACAATGTTTAGGTTTTTTTGAATTTCATGAAACAAAAATACAGAATTCTTATTACTAACCTTAACTAACCATGCAACTAAAAAGATCATAGACATAAAATAAATAACTCCTTTCCATGATGCAAGACAATCCATAGCACGATACATTATGAAGACCCAACCTTCTTGAGAAGCAGCTTGATATACCGTAAATATACTAATATCTGAAAATTAAGCAAATAAACTTTAAGTTCCATATATTAGTTGATGAAATGCATTGTGGATTGGTTAGAGTTAGACAATAACACCATTGGATGCCTGTGGTCTAGAAGTTAAGAGTTTATATGCCAAACCGGAAGTTCTGAATTCGGATCCCTCATGCAAGATCGTGGATGTGCACTACTGGGGAGTCCCATACTAGGAAGAAACAGCTGTTAAATGCATCCAGGTTTTCAATGGCGGTCTAGCATTGATTGGTTCATGATCACATTTAAATCTAGGTGCCCCATAAATGGAAAGCTACTGTTATGGAATAGCTGTTATCCATTGTGTAAATTTCACCGATCATAACCACAAAATTGCCAGAAGACTTTATGAATCATACTGTTTTCAAAGGAAAGTACACGTACGTACGTTTCTTCAACTGAAATGTTTATAATTGATGCTGATCCTACAGTATAAGCGTAGTATTGCATGTATACTGAATAAGATATCATAACGATTTGTACGTCCTCTCCAATTTTTGGATTTGAATGTTAGTGATCGTTGTAGATGATCGGTGGAAAAACATTAAGTTATCATTGAAGTGAATTATTTTTATTGCATAGAAAAGACACTTCATAGTTGCTTATAGTCTGTTCAATGCCTGTACAAAACCATTCTTCTATTGAAATCAAATGATGTTTGATAATTCCCAAACACTCAAACTGCGTTTATATTTGTCATTGATGAAACAATAATGTTATTAGGCTTTTGACAGAAAAATGTCTTTCGACAAATAGTATAACATAAGAATACTTAAACTATGAATGTCTCTTTGAAACTTTTAAAGATTTAAAATTATCAATATTTTCCAAAACAACAGAATAACGCTCATAATTAACTTAGCAACTCCTGTGAAAAAAAGAGAAAACATTATTGTTAAACAAAAAAATGTATTTACTTACAAAAGCTTTCAAATCCAGCATAACCCCCATCATCTTGTATAGAGCTAGCGATTCGTATACATTTCATATTACTGGGACATTGAGTATCAGGATTTTTGGCTGGATTACAATAAGAATCTGGTATGGCTAGATCTCGTTTAGTAATATATCTGAAATATATTCAGTTGAATAAACATGAGTAAAAAATCAGGAAGCTATGCATAAATTGCTGACTAGTGGTCATATTAGAAATCAACATTATCCGCTGTTAGCCAAAGTGATAGAAATCTAAAACAATTTCCAGATATGGCTTTATATTGTTGTATGCTCTGTATTACATTACTGTACAGTATGTTTAAACACTGAAATATTCAGTCATTTTCTCACTGTCATTTTAAGCTGGTTATGAAAGTAAACAAGGAGTTGTAATTTACATACAATAGTAATTCGTTACCTCTACAAGCTAATTGTGGTCTTTGATATTTCTATACCTTAATAACATATAATCTACAAGGGAGTGTAATTATATTTCTTACCAATTAGCTTGTATTAGGCTAGATCAGTTAATGTAAATAATTTTAATCCATCCGATCATTCCAATAAAAATCTCTAAAAATTTCTTTTTCAACTATTCTAACTAAAATGAATATTTTGGTAAAATAAATAAAAATAATAAAATCAGAGTAGGATTTTGTGGATATTATAGTAATTTAATAGTTGAATTCATGAGTCAATTAAAGCTAAACCACCATGGAAAACTCAGAAGCACTGGAAGGCCGTTACACATTAACACTGTTAAAGGTCAGCTCAGTGGTCTAGAGGTTGAGCGTTCGCTCTCGCGCAAGACTGATACGTCCTGGGTTCAAATCTCGGGAGACGGGATCGTGGATAATTACTAGTGAGGAGTCCCATACTAGAACAAAACGGCCATCCAGTGCTTCCAATTTTTTCTATGGTAGTCTAACTTCAATCGAATTATGAATTCATCTACTAACTAAAAATATGTTTCTTTTCTTAAGACATTCATTGGAAATCTGTAGTTATTAATTTTACTTAGAATTAGGAAGATAAAAACAACCATTTTAAAAAAAGTTAAAACTGAAATTTACTCATCATTTACATTTTTTTCACAATGTTCAAGTTATTATTAGTCGTTATTGTTATATCCTAGCAAAGATTAAATTATGGGTAACTTATGAGAACTATTAATGAACTAATATTATATATATATATTCTCACCAACTGGATTATGTATATTTAGATTCCTTGTTCCTTTATTTTGACCTATAGACTATTACTATATGATTAACTATTCCTAAATTATAACCAGTTTATTAATTACACTCACTCACAATCGCAGCCAAATTTTGGCCGTTGGTTTGTTTATAACAGTAATATAACACAGTAATATAATATACCCTTTTGGGCCAGGGTAATTTTATATTGGTTTTCAGGAGACCCAGACACCATCCGGACTTTCACGTAAAAATCCAAACAGTACACCTCAACCCCGTTTAGCAGGGGAACCAGACACCGTACAGGCTTTAACGCTACAATCTGAATAGTACAGCTCAATCCTGTGGCGCAACCACACAGGTACCAAGAACCCTGGTGAACCAGTTTGTTTATAAATCAAGTATGTATAACATATGATTCATATAGTGCAAACTGTTATTAGAGTTCTGGACTCAACACCCAAAGCTAGGCAGGAAAAGGGATCAATAAGGACGCTAGACTATTCCTATTGATCGATACGTCGTTGGTTTGGCACAGCACTAACATTGCATAAGTCGTGTTCAGATTAACTAGTAAATCACGTATTAGATTAATCGGGCAAAAGTCACAACATTTTCCCTTTATACTGATCCGATATACATGATCGTGAATATTATTGTCATTTATGCATATAAAGATAGTATAATATAAGAAAACGAAGATTAACAAAAGTATGTGATGATATATTAGCACAATACATTTCGAACAATCTGATCACAAATAAATACTTGTTAAAAACATTCGTTATTCATGGTTTATACAATTATAATGGTTGAGATCACGAGTCAATTAAAGCTAAACCATTATAGAAAACCTAGCAGCACTAGAGAGCCGTTTCGTTCTATTGTGGAACTCCTCAGTAGTGCACATCCACAATCTCTCCTCTCGAGATTCAAACCCAGGACTCATCGGTCTCGCGTGCGAACGCCTATGTTCTAGCTTCAATTGACTTATGATATTGACTATTAAAATTACTATGACAACCACAAAAACCCTACTGTTACTTATAAAATTATGTTGTTAATGCATACTAAACAGTGAATGTGACGTAATATAGTCACTTTTATTTTCACCAATTTTCAATCATCAATTATGATGTATCTAAAAGTTTATGTTTTTTGTTTCAGATAGTAAAATGTCATATTCATTCTAATCAATAGTCAATATTTTCTGAATGATTTTGATTTTCTAGAACTGTATAGTTAAATACGAATCTTTTCTTGTCATTATAAACAACAACATTCGTATTTATTTCAAATTCTATACTATTTTTAGTAAACTTTGATATGACTGTTCAGAACAACGATAAATGTCTTTAAAAATTAATTTTCCAGCTCAGTGAACACTAAAAGGATTAAAATACACTTATTAGAGACATAAAGCTTTGACTAAGATTAGTAACTAATTTGATCATTACACTATTAAAGTATTTTAGATAAGTAATATGTGGTAAGCATTTACCAGTTATATGTACTGTTTATTTATATATTTGATCAAGTGTGTTATGTATATGAATAGTTTCAGCTTAAAATGATTAAATGTGTTGAGAACTTTGGTAAAGATTATAGAGAAAGGAATTGAGAATTCATTAAATAGGTTATTTCATAAAATTTTATAATAATTATTTATGAGACTATAATTTATGGATGAACCAATCAGCTGTACGATAACAGATCTCTGGGATTCAGGCGCGACATTCATTCATCCATTTGACTAAATAGAGTTTTATCATTATAGCTAATGTTAGTTCGTGATGAAAATCGTAAATCTAATTAACAACCTTAACCATCAACTATAAATCATAATCTTAATTACTTACACTTGTTTATAACCATCATTTGGTCCTAGTTATTAGACGGACTGTCTCAAGGTCAGTGCATCGTCGCTCGAATATCGTCCATAAATTATAGTCTCACGGGCAAATAGTTGAAGTATGTATTTATCTTTCACATATCATAAGATTTATTTATTAGATTTGACCGTGAACTGAATTTACTTTCAATAATGTGAAAGTATTTGGTCTGTAAATACTTTATAGAAGTTAAAATTGTCTGATGCTTTCGGATTTACATTGGTCGATGTTATCTAATGATAATAATCTAGTTATCAGGATGAGGGTTTGTGGAGATTGTACTAATTTAATAGTTGAATTTATGAATTGAGTCCCGAGCGTAGGCTCGCGGATGCGTACTACAGAACAGTCTCATACTAGAACGAGGCGGTCATCCAATGTTTCCAGATTTTGTATGATGGTCTAAATTAAGTCGACTCATGAATTCAATTATACTATTATTGAGTTACATGTTTAGAAGTTATAAAATATGGAGGAATAACACACTGAACTACTAATAAATGAATAAATTATATGATATCATAAAGATAACCAATGGAAAAACGTACACAAGCTATAATTTTCTGGGTAAACTTACGTTTCATTAGCTGTTTTTAAAACACAATGATAATTTAATTCATCGCCAAAAAATTGCACACCCAAGAAACCATAAAGTGACATGAAGAAAAGTAGAAATACTGTCACATTGTATACTTGATGTGTGGATCGTCTAAAATTTAAAATAAAGAATTTAAGGATAAATAATTTGCAAAAAAAACTGTATTTTGATTAAGTATAAATAGTTTGTAAAATAAAATGTTGATTACTATACAACATGAATCTCTAAAGCAATTTTGCTTTTAAATTTTAGTAGCCGGGTTCGATAGAAAGTGCTGGTGGGTTGCCTTCGCTCATCCACGAGAAGTATATATATATATATATTAAAAATTCTTTTTAGTTTTGGGGTGATCCAGAAAATTGCTTGCAAAAGACAAACAAGTATCAGGAAACACTAATAAGCGTTTCCTCCGATCAGCGTTCACTTGAAGTCTTAGACAAAAATATCAAGGAGGCAAAACGTCACGTGCAGAGGCTCTGATTGGCTGGCTGCTACACTGATACTATGTTTAGTAGCATTCTAGAATCTTCTAGCAACCCAACGACATTTAAAATGTTATAAAAACACTGTATTTTCTGTATTAAAATGAACCTTGGAGTAAACTACTTCTCGCATACTTTGAGTCTTCTCTTTCATGTTCAGGTCGCTTCATAGTTTTAGCTTAGGGGTTACAGAATAGCTTAGGAGACGAATATAGCTATCAATCCTCAAGACTTATCATAAAGTACCAATTCTGTGAGATGTGAAAATGAATAACCAAGATGACTTAATAGAAAGATTCTAATACTAGATTACATAATACGAATAATAATAAAAAATTTACTTTTTTTTGTATTATTATTGTTTTACTACTTTACACTATTTATCTCATTCATTTATCACTTTCTGGTGTAGAATGTTTTATTTGTATAGTCAACATAAGTGAATGTATCACAGATTGAAATCATGAGTCAGTTGAAGCTAGACCACCATTGAAAACCTGGAAGCACTGAACTGCCGTTTCATCCTAGTATGGGACTCCTCAGCAGTGCGCATCCACGATCCTGCACCACGCGGGGCTCGAACCCAGAACCTACTGGCTTCGCGCGCGAGCACTTAACCACTAGACCACTGAGCTTCCAGGTTTTCAATGGTGGTCTAGCTTCAATTGACTCATGATTTCAATCTGTGAAATTTCTAAAATCTCCATAAAACCCATTCTGATAAGTGAATGTAATTGAATAAACTTAATAATTAGAAAATTAAGAATTTATTAATTTTCAAGTAATGGACTAAATAATTTCGTAAATAAAATTCTCATTTTAAAGATATTGTATGTTAATATTGTACCATTAGAATTATAGTTATTTAACATTTATTAGACTATTGAATATTAGAATTGGATTGATAGAAATCCGGTAATAAATTGGATGAACTTAATAAAAGGTGATTGTCCTTGTCAGATTCATTTATATAAGCACATATTCTGGAAGATCTTCAAGGTCTTTCCCGTAAATAATTCATAACAGTAAGTGTTCTTATGGAAAAATCTAGATTTATTTATTTACATCCTTCACTGGTATTATTCCACACATTAAGTTTTTGATTAAGATTATTAACCGTGGGTTGGAATTTCACAAGCGGGATCGTGCATGCACATTGATGAGGTGTCCTACAATAGAACGAAACGGCCATCCAGTGTTTTCAGGTTTTCAATGGTGATCTAACATCAATCGGTTCATGATCTCAATCAGAAACTCAACAATCTGCACATCCCTCATACTGATCATAAATTATTGTTTTTATTTTTATAATTCATTATTAAAACTAATAATAATCAAATTGAGAATTGATTTTTGATTGAAATCATGAAGCTTTGGTGGCCCGTCATTTCCTGTTCCCACGTCGGGGTTATCATTTTAGTGGCCCGTGATCTGACTCCTATTTAGATCGTATAAATGTTTGCTATCGCCTTTTCTCGCATATCATCGTCGACTTAAATCACGTTAGTCAATAACGGAATATAGATAAGTCAATTAACGAGAACGGCCTTTGAATACATATATTTTGTATGTAAAGCGAATGTTATAGGACAGAGCAAAATGACGCGCAGGGAAGATGGCTGGGAAACCAACTCCATTTTAGACATCAGTTACTCCATATTTATAGTCAGACAAAATAAAGCTACAGACATGTGATTACTGCGATAAGAAGGGCACACACACATATACGCTCATATAAAAACAGTCAAGACTGATAAGCGAATAATTGACAAAGTCAAAATATGACTCAAGTAGAATGAATAAAATTTGATATCCACAAGCTAGAATAAGGTATATGGGCTTGGCATAATAACTGACACTACAAGTCAATTGAATCTAGACCACCATGGAAAACTTGTAAGCACTAGACGGCCGTTTCGTCCTAGTATGCGACTCCTCAGCAGTGTATATTTCTAGTCACAATGAAGTTACTGTTATTTTAAAACTTAATATGATCATTATAATTCAATAAAAATAAAATACTTTATATACATATATATAGATCTACTTACTGAAATATAGCTTTTACACGTGCTTGAGGTAATTGAAGTCTTAATACTGCACGAAATACACGTATAAGTATCAATGGTCTTGGACAACGTATAACACTTAAAAAACCATAATTTCGTCGAAACTTTTCATTATTTGAACATATAAAATAATCTTTATTGATATTATTATTATTATTGTTATTGTAAAGAATATTTTCTTCATCATTATTATTAACTGAACAATGAAATGTGATATAAAATTCTACACATTGTAATGCTAATGAAGCCCATATACATAATAACATAAATGCATCAAAATAATTCCATGATTTTTGAAAATAAGCACGATTACGTTTTTGATCAATACCACTAGATGACTTAAAAAAAAAGAAAGTGAAAAGTATTCAAGTTAATATATATTAAAGAAATAATGAATAAATTACTATAGTTAGATATTATATTAAATAATTGATGAGACTATAATTTATGAACGATATTTGAATGATATTGAAGTAACTTTGAGAGTGTTCATTTAATAACTAGGATCAAATGAGAGTTAGAAACCAGCGTAAGGAATTAGAATTATGATTTACAGTTAAGGGTTAAGATTGTGAATTAAATTTATCATTTTCATCATGAACTGACGTCAGCCAAATAGATGAATGAAATTCTCGCCAAAATCCTAGAGATCTGTTATCTTATATGTGAATGGTTCATTCATAAATTATAGTCTTGCCGAATAATGCGATTAGTATATGTTCTATTTTGAAATATGTACTTCTTTCCTCAATTAAAATACAAACAAAAACATAAATATACAATGGTTTACAGTTATGTGTAGATATAAGACAATCCTGAAATGTTTTATTATAAATTATACATAGAATTCAATACGTAATCAGGTTAATTCACATAGTTAATTATTTGAAGGTAATTGACTTCCAAGGCATATCAACCAACAGTATATTTAATTCAAAAGCGAGATAAATAGAGGGAAAAATGATATGAATATGAATATCAATAAAAGTAAGTAATAAATACATTTTTGTTATTCATAATATCTGATTAATGACAGGTCATCCGATCAGCCTAACGATTTGTTACTAACTAAAGTAGGAAATCTTTAATTGAAGGTTTAGTTTCGTTTGTTGTAGGTCGATCGATGAAAAAAGCAGTAATAAACGTTATGTATTGTGAAGAGATATACATTACAATAAAATATATCGTAGATGTGAAGTGCTTCGATTCAATAATGACGATAATCGTCGAGATTATTGACGATGAAATAAGTTAAATGCACAGAAAATTTAAATTTTTGTAAATCAATTCACAACTTCTGTTTGAATATTAAAGTCGGATAATGAAAAGATACGCTGAAAAGGACATTCGTTTGATAAACTTTATTAGACGAAATTTTGTAGGATTAATCTCATGTGACAGTCTGAAAAACGAATAGTCATTACCAACTTCTATTCCAAATTAAATCGTCTAGTCGTATTGTATATATGATAACCATATAAAGTTGTGTAGCATTTCAAGATCATGTTCAGTGAAAGAAATTTGTGCAGAGTGAGTAAACTTGCATTCCAGTTTAATGTGAATGAAGTTATCTAGCTAAGATAACTGTTTTAAAAAACATATCTTCATTAATATCTGCGTGCTAAATATTTTTAAACTGTCCAACAAAATACATCGAAAATTGCATGAAATTTTCTATCGTATGAATTACAACGACAGCTAGTAATTGATAGCCTTGGTCTCGCTCGGAGCTATAAATGAATGCTACTTAGAGAGCCCCATGTTGGAATGCAACATCTGTCCAGTAAATCCCTGTTTTTGTTGGTTCTCAAATCCCAATCGGTTCATATTGTAATCTTCACATCATTCATCTTTTAAAGGTTCATACAATTTTCTTTAGAAGAGAATAATTCTGATCTGTAGAGGACAATCATATAAAGTATGATATCAGTATGGTTACTCTGAAGAAAATACAATCCGCTAATCGAATTCTATCGATCAAACCACAATTTGGTCACTAGACTAAATGACTCGACATTACGTACACAATATTGAAATGTGAGGTGGTGTTTGAAGGTGATCGACAGAAATTTCGGACATAGATTTCATGCTATTCGGCACTCATTGGCGAGATGTTTTTGCAACCTTGAGGGAACTAACTCCCTTCAGTGGTCTGACAAACTCACAGACGTTATCACAGCTATTCGTTCATCTTTTTATTTATACGTTAATATATAATGTATACCATTTCATCGTTTTGTTAGGACAAAAACAAACTTGTTTACTAGACATTTGTGTTGAAATTTTCAAACCAGTTCCTTGAACAGGTATATATCAGTGGTTCAGTTATGTTGGTAATCTTTAAGCGAGCCATTTAACTCATGAATCGATCTGAGTTAAATAATCATCTTAGTATTGAACTCCGCAGCAGTGAGCATAAACGGCCTAACAAGTAAGAATCGAACATAGGACCTTTATTTATCAGTGTTTAGTGCTTAGATCATATTGTATCGTAATATGCATCATTTATTGAATGAGGCTATATTTTATTTTTTTTAACTGACCTCTATAAAAAATTCACATTAGACTTAAACTATCATAGAAATCAAAATATTAATATATGTTGTAATGGGACACATAAACCACTGGAAACCGGAAATAAAGTTGACCGAATGTTTGATATCTATATCTCTTTGTTGTTATGGTTGCTATGTAGGTAAAACGTTGCATATGTCAACGTCGAACTGTTTTTAATATATATATATCACTGAACATGCCTACTAAATTTCTCTTACGGTAGATGTTTTGCACTTACACTACTCCTAATTAATTTGCTTAATTTAAACAGTTTTTCCTCAGATTAGCGCGTCAGAAAACAACATAACACATGTATAGTAGCGGATCTATCACAGTAAATTTTCTTTTCTCTAATTGTAGATGATTATAATAACTCAAAAATAGCACTATTCATATATCAACAAGATGTGAAAGTTCACCGAATAAGAATTATTGGCACCTAATCACTGCTTTTTATTAACAACAACAACAACTCATGAATTACATCTTTTCCAAAAAATTAATATTATTTCCCACTCTCACTCCCTTTTAAATGTAAATTTATTTTCTATATCAACCTATACATATCTATAAATTAGCATGCATTCCATAATTATTTACAGAATATAATTGATTTATTTATATTATATAAGAAAATCATACTACTAATAGTAGTACATCAAAGTGATAGCATGCAACAACAAAAAAAACAAACCAAAAAAAAACAAATAGTATATGGTGCTGTGTTAAAATAAAACCGAACTGAAAAAGAAAATCATCAACGAAAAAAATATTTTAAACTAATGTCGAATTATACACAGTAACAGAGGTGGTGGGAGGGGGTAGGGAAATAAAGAAGTTGGTGATGAAACTCAAATTATATATCTATATGTGTTTTTCTCTAAAATTAAATAAATAAATGAAATAATAACAAAAAGGTATTATGAAATAAATACCGAAAAATAAAAAAAAAAAATAAAAATAAAAAAAAATAAATAAATGAACGCAACTTAATAAAACTTTTTTTAATGAAAAGTAATTAATTTAAAAATTATATGTGATGTATAAATAAATAAATAAAAAATTTCATGCATTAAATGGTTTGTAATGATAATTATACTTTTGATAGTTTTAGTGATTATCACTTTTGAAAAGAAAATAATGAATTCATTATTGTAGGTGTCATTAACAATGTTTGATTGGATAATTTCTTATCAATTGAGCATTGGGTAGATTGTTATAAATGAGATAGTGGTTGGAGGTAGTTAGCAAGAAACTATGGATCCGGATTTCGTGCTGTTTGGCACTTGTCAGAAAGGTGTACTTGTAATCTCGGGGGAAATGGTGCTCCTTGAAGGACTCAATGCTGTGTCACCCAGCTGCACGGTCAGAGACGTTACCACTACGCTATCCGGGTCGTGACCGACCTCCTGTATGACTGAGATGTAATCACGATTGATTGATCACTGGGTGGTGGGTGATCAGTGTCATGTGTGTCAAGTTCTTCTTAGTACAGATTGAATGCTATCGACCAAGGTCGGTCGCGACCCGGATAGACTAGTGGTAACGTCTCTGAATATGAGGCTGGATGACACGGCATTGAATTCGTCTAAAGGCACCAGTTCTCTCAAGATTACTGGCACACCTTACTGACGAGTGCCAAGTAACACGGAACGTGACTCCAGGGTTTCCTATCGACTACCTCCAACCACCATCTAATCTCAACATAGTGCACGTGGTGTCGAGTCACCTAGACCGGTGGCCACATTGCAGCTTGGCCGATAGCATTCCATCTGCACTAAGAAGGACTTGACGCACATGACATTAACCAATTGATACTGTTATAAATAAGTTAATATATTTGTAATATCCTGATGAGTAGGAAAATTAGATTTTCTGACGTTTTGTGACTTACTGTAAGCCACTTCTACAGAGAATAAATAAAAAGTAATTTACACTAAATCACAAAACGTCAGAAAATCTAATTTTTTTACTCATTGGGATATTACAAATATATTAACTTATTTATAAAATTCATTATTATTAGAAATTAGCTAAACGATCATTGTGTTGGTATTATATAAGCTTTGATTTCTTAAGATGAGTTTAGATTTTTTCTATAAGGTTAACCTACTTAACTGAGATTTATCCAATTAGAAATTATACTAATAAAATTCTGGATTGTCCGTATCTTTTTCCTGGATAATGTATTATTTATATACAGATCGCATACGAGGTACTAGGTAAAATCAGGAAAAATTGAACAGCTATCTTATCCTAGTTTGAAACTTCTCCTTAATATTAACTAACAATCTGGCAGGAATTGAACTCAATGCATTCAGTTCTCACAGTGAACGCTTAACCTTTAGATCCACTGATTTGACGTTTAGTAGAAGAGTTACAACACTAGTCACTCGCATTATAGTGGAACGACTGGTCATAACCGTTTCACTACCGTCATATATGAATCCTCTTGATTAAGATTTCCAACCATAAATTCCAATGAATCTTGAAATATGACACTAGTGATATTGAGGGCCAGTTGTATGAATAAAGGTTTGTATTATTGGTAAATGAGATCAACAGTCACTAAGTTTCATATTAGGATTGCTATTATAACTACACCTAGTATTCATTATCAAATGATACTGAAGGTATTTACCTCAAAAACCAAAACTTTTTGATGGGTTTAGGTGACATACAATAACTTCCATGAACTGTCATTATAGAATTTAATTTCATTTAAAATTTTAATATTTAAAAATAATGAGCAACAATATTCTTTAAATTTTAATAATGAAGTCGAATCCATGACACAATTTAAAATGGATCAAAGTCCCATGAGATTTATATTATGATCTTAGATTTATACAACTTGATCAAAAAGTCAAGACAAATCATTATTTTGATTTTTATATGCAGGTTTTTAGTTTTTTTCCCATTGAATTTCTGTATGTTAGCTTATTCATCTATCACTATGAAACCTTTTAATATGTCAAATAATTCACAATTATTTATACTTTTATTCACTAGAACTGGTCTTTTGAGGTTTGTACTTTATGTGGGTTCGTTATAAAAGGACGAAATTTTCGTATGAGTGATGCTGATTTGCGAGATCGATTTCTGACTTGATATTATTAGTGTGATCAAGTGATGGGTATTCACAAGTCAGAATTTTTAATCCATGTAGTGAGAGATAGAACGATAAAATATGAGTTATCTTATGTGACACAATTGCACATTTCTATGTAAAATATATAACATAAAATCTAACCACTATAAGAAATACTGATTAACAAAAAGAGTGAATAAAAAGTATCCATACTACATTTTGACTTGATATATGATGTTACGGCTACTTCATCGATATTTTTGTACACGTTAGTGGTATTCCCACAAATCACAAAGGAAAATCATCTTTGATTCTACACTTATTAAAAAAATTCGTGAATGAGAACGTCTAACTGGTGCTTAAGTAATGAATAACGAGACCTTTTATTATTATCACATGAAAAACTGTCGATCAAAATGAGATCTAACCAATGTTTCATTGCACATTATCTGCTTATCAGCTACCTAACATTTAGATTTGTCCATTTTCATTGAACTATTCAATAAATATCCGTACGCTTTCTATCGTTGTTAGTAATAAATGTATATTCTTAAGTATTTACTCTCTCAACTGTTTGGAGTTAGGAAGACAAAGATCATCGTCTTATTATTACATTATCGAAATTTATCAAAGGGACTAATTGCCTTAAATTTCTAAGTAGAAGACTCCCTGTACATACTAATAAAAAGTTAGATGAACTTGTCGAACCTTAAATGTGATATTGTATCGGAACGCATGAAACTGAACTTTTGTATTCTGAAGTCATATAATTAATGCTCCACTATCTTTGTTATAAAATAGATGATTTAGGATTTAAGAACTTAATAAATTACCTATTTTAATTAAATTCTATTAAAAACTGACAAATATACATGCATAGCTTGTTCCCGTGTGTATTATACTGTTCCATCAAATTATTATCTAGTCGTAATACAAATAAAATAGTTGAAATCATGAGTCAATTGAAGCTAGACCACCATGGAAAACCTGAAAGCACTGGACGGTACTTTCGTCCTATTGTGGGACTCCTATGCAATACGCATCCACGATTCCACTCGCGGAATTCGAACCCACGGCCTTTAGTCTCGAGCGCAAACGCTTAATATTTTAGACCACTGAGCCGGCCGACATTCAGTGTTAGTGTCTAACATTAAACAATCCACGAGATCGCGCGAGTATCTGATCACTAGTGACTGACTTCAAGAGGCGTTTCCTCGAGTTCTAGTGAGAAGCCTTTACCACTGAAAATCAACCAGATCTGTTGTGAGATATTAGCTCAATGAAGACCATCGTATACGGTGTCGCAATTTTGTGGATTGGTTGAAGTTGAACATTAATACTGTTGGATGTCGACCAGCTCAGTGGTCTAATGGTTAAGCGCTTGCGCGCGAGACTGATAGGTCTTCGCGAGGCGGGATCGTGGATGCGCACCGTCTCATACTAGAACGAAATGACTGTCTAGTGCTTTCAGGTTTTCCATGGTGATCTATCTTCAATCGACTCATGATTTTAACTATTGAAATTTCTAAAATCTCCACAAAACCCTTTCGGACAAATAAAATAAACAAAAATTATGCTTCTCATTATTATATCAACATACAAACATACACACACAAACAATGTGTCAACTCAAATAATAATAAAATAAACCAAAAAAAATAGAACTGAAAATAAAAATAAACTGGAAAACTTGTACAAACAAATATATAAAAAGAACTTTTAATTGATTTGAACTCAAATTAATTCCATTCTGTAACTAAAACGGTAACATTTTGTGTATGTTTCCGCTCAGGTGGATGATTTCGGTTTCCGTGTATATATATATGTGTGTGTATGAGTGTGCATGTGTGTATGTGATACTTGAATAATAGATTGAATGGGATATAATCATAAGAATCATATAAATTATAAATATGTATATACTTCATAATCAATATATATTTATAAATAATAGATCAATATTACCTTTGAAGCAATTTGTGTTCGAATTAGTTGATTCAAATTCTATATTATTTGATAAATATGTTAATTTATTAATTAAAACAAAAAAAAATTATTATTTTTTTTTTAAAAAAAAGAAAAGAATTTAATCACTTATTGAATGAAATGAACTAGATAATTTCTAAATACATTGAAGAAGCAACAAAATTGTTGCTAATTAAACGGGATCAATATTTTTATTATCCTGGTGATTAATTTATCATTAATTAGATTTTAATAGATAAGAACTTTTCAATAGTTGAAATCATGAGTCAATTTAAACAGGACGACCATGAAAAACCTGAGAGCACTGGACGGCCGTTTCGTCCTAGTATGAGACACCTCAGCAGTGCGCATCCACGATCCCTCCCCCGCGGGATTTGAATCCAGGGAATATCAGTCTCGCACCGGGAGCTTAAGCACTAGACCACTGCGCTTTTCGACGGTGTTAATGTCTAACTTCAAACAATTCACGAGATCGCGCCACTGTCACCATTGTCTTCAGTGAGTCGATATCTCACAACAGATCTGGATGAACTAGATTGACCACGGCTTCTCACTAGAACTCCAAGAGTGTCACTTGTAGTCAGTCACTAGTGAACAGATGATTATTATCAGGAAGGGTTCAGTGGAGATTTTAGTAATTTCAGCAGTTGAAATCATGAGTCAATTGAAGTTAGACATTAACATCGTTGGATGCCAGCTCAGTGGTCTGATGGCTAAGCGCTGGCATTTGAGACGGATAGATCCTGGGCTAGAATCTCGCGGGGGCGGGTTCGTGGATGCGCATTTCTGAAGAATACCATAATAGGACGAAACGGCCGTCCATCGCTTTCAGGTTTTTCATGGTGGTCCTGTTACAATTGACTCATGATTTCAATTACTGAAATTACTAGCATCCGCACAAAACTCTTCCTGAAGATAAGAACCTTTGTTTATATTTGATTGAATAGTTTAACAGTATTTGAATGCTGAGTTAGTATGAGATATTAAAAGAAAAAAAAGAAAGATTTTACAAATACATTCATCCTTTTTATTATTTTGATACAGTGAAATGATCCAATTTGAATGATTTCAATAAGGAAACTTTTATCTCCATTTTCTGGTCAATATCAGTAAAATAAACTTTAGTTAAAAAAAAGGAAATTTATTTAAAATTTATATCAATGATATGCTGATTCAATTGATCGTTTTTGAGAAAAACAAAACCATTTACAGAAATTATCCATTTAAGCCAAATAGTTTCCCCTTCATGTAAAAATGAGTAATTTCAATGGTTGACATCATGAGTCAATTGAAGATAGACCATCATGGAAAACAAGGAAGCACTAGATGGTCATTTCGTCCTATTGTGGAACTCTTCAGCAGTGTACGTCCACGATCCCATCTAGCAAGTTTCGAAACTAAGACCAGTCGGTTTTGTGCGCGCATTTTTAATCTCTAGACAACTGAGCCGGGCATGTCTAATTTCAATTAATCCACGAAATTGGGCCGCCGTCCACCATTGTCCTCAGTGAGTTACTATCTCACACGAACGCATTAACATTCCGACCAGCTCAGTGGCCTAGTAGTTAACCGTTCGCTCACGAAATTGACAGGTCTTGGGTTGGAATCTCGCGGTGGGCGGGATCATGGATGTGCACTGCTGAGGAGTCCCACATTATGACGAAACGACCATCCAGTGCTTTAAGGTTTTCCATGGTGGTCTATCTCCAATTGACTCACAAACTCAACCATTGAAATTACTATAATACCCACAAAAATCCTTCTAATATTAATAATTAGTAATAGAATTTTTTTGGATTATTAATATGAATCTGAAATCTGAGATATTTTCTTGATTATCAAATAACATTTAAGTCAAATTGTCCAATTTAATGATTTAGGTCGAAATAATAGTTTGTACTAATAACAGGATTATTTTACTATTTAATTACTAAATATAATCACATAACTTGATAAGTTAATGGCATTTAAAATGAATAATTTTCTTTGTTTGATTAGGATGTTAGTGAAGTGTAAGAATGTTAGAAAGTGAATTACTTTGATATTATCTATTAGTGAATAGTAAAATACACAGATAGTAGTAGATAAGGACTATTTTCTCAATTGTTTCTTATATAGATACTATGAAGAAATATATATATATTTTTCTCAACAACTTGGATTTATCAAGAATTCAATATATGGAAATTACAAAAATGTAATGAGAAGAGAAAAAGTTATTATTGATCCAAATGGTGCTTGTTTGCACTCAAGTAAATTGTTTGAAATGAAAATTGATGGTATGAAGACAATATGAACATAATGATAATATAGAGTATTATGTTTATAATGTATTTTTCATTGAAAATTACATAGAAAGTAAGACATTTCAATAATTACGATTGCATCACATAGAATAGGACCTGGGATTTTTATTCTCATTCGCGAATACTTAACCTGTAGACCACTGAGCCAGCATATATGTGTTTATGCTATTGAATTTAATCCGTTGACGGTCTTGTATGATCAGCATCCATTGCTTGTGGTTAAATAACTCGCACTCAACATGATCGAATCTCACGATCTTTGGCAGAAAAACTCCACTAGTGTTGCATGCTTGCTATCTTGAGGGAACTGATAAACCCAAATGGGGTTTGAACTCACATCACTCATAAGTCACGGTTTGAATAGCTACCACCAAGTTATTTAAGAGTTTGACGGACCTTCTGTATGTCTGAGATATTTACACTTGATTACCATCAAAATGCAACATCGCTTTTCCTGATATTATGTTCTGATAATATATACTTCAACATTACTATAAACGTCTACCAAAATATATATATCTAAAACATCGATGAATTTTTCTCAATCAAACCATTCAACTCTGAGAATGTAATACCACGAAAAGAGTCCACTGTATATGTAAAACTGTTCCATCGTGTCAAAGCAAATCAAATGTCAACTGGTAATGAAAAGTCCTTGTGACCAAACAGTTATTGAAAATTTGTAGTGATGTACTGTAATAGAATATGAATTAATTCGGTTAGTTAGGCATTCATCCTATTGGACGTATGTAGCTGCGATATCCTCCAAGCGTTTATATCATTCAATGCCATCTAATCGTGTTTATTTGTGTATTTGCTATATTTTTTATATAAGCGTGTTATTTTATAAGAAAAAAGAAAGCTATTCTTTTGGGTGTTGGTTTTGTTATTGATTCGGAGTCATTTAGTCATGTGTGTCCATAATAGTACCTTGTGAAAAACCACCACTTGGTTACATATCGCATCACTGTATATCAATGGTTGATCAGTAATTTTTTTCTTTCATTTCAACAATCAAAAAAACTGTTCATCAAATCTCACTCCATAAAATTTAGACAGCAATTATTCATAAATAAAATTGAACATACTTTAATAACAACTATTATCTTTTAGAAAATAGGATCATACTCACTTAATATCAAAATCATTCACCTAAGCTACAAATCTTCTCCACCATCTCAACATTGAAATATTGTTTACCTTTGATATATTTCTTGTATATTGATTGATATCATGAACCGATTGATGCTAAACCACCATTGAAAACCTGGAAGCAGTGGACTGCCGTTTCGTCCAATTGTGGGGCTCCTCAGCAGTGCGTATTCACGATCTCGCCCCCCGCAAGATTCGAACCCAGGGTCTTCAGCCTTGTGCGCAAACTCTTAACCTAATGGATCACTGAGCCGGCATCAAATGGTGTATATTTACTGACTGTTTCATGTTATTTAAAAATGTTGATTTAATGATAGTTACCTTTATGTTATTAGTGGAGTTTTGTTCTCTGAGTTGGATGGTTTAATTGTGGAGCTTTCATCGTTCATCTGAACTACAACATCAGAACAAACTTCAGATAGAAGTGAAGCGTTCAAATTTCTCCATATGTGATGAAAGCTCTACAATCAAATCATCCAACTCAGAGAACAAAACTCTGTCAAAATCATCCACCTAAGTTATAAATCTTCCCTACTACCTTTATGTTAAATAACCTTTTTTAATTATAACTACAAGAAATCATAATTAAAGTATATTAAATAAACTAATCATTATTTAATAAGAATAAAAATTGTTTACAGAAAAATCCTACTTAAAGAGGTCATCTGAAATTGTGAATATAAGACTTAATAATAATAATAATAATAATAATAATAATAATAATAATAATAATAATAATAGTTTGTATGAATATCAAAAGTTTAAAGAAATACAAGTTATCAATAAAAGAAAAATGTTACATATTCATAATGTTCTATGGATGGATTGGTTTATCTCAGTTCTATGAATATGAAATCAGTATTATACAGGAATAACATTAATAATAATAATAATAACATAAGATAAGGGAAATAATAATTATTGATAATTAAAATAATCCATAGTGTCAATGAATAAGAAAAAGAGAATTGATTAAAGAAAAGTTTCTCTTCTCGACAAAATTATTTACTTGTACATTGTACATTCGTATTTATATAGTTATATATAGAAAATATATGTCTATAGAAGGATAGAAATGATTGCATCATAAATGAGGTTACATACTAATCAAAGCGTAAAGAAGTAAATAATTTATCGGTTAGTTAATTGTTGAACAATTTATTCCCAGTTTGACCTTTCAATCATATATTTAATCAAATATGTTATATATTTACTGAATGAGATATTTTTTAAAAAAATTATTATTTACATTAATTCAGGTGACCAATCCAAATATTTATTCATTGTGACTAATTCATTTTTTCCATCTGATAAGTTTTCTAATCAATATTAAAAAAATATCAATAGTTGAAATCATGTATCACCATCATGGAAATCTGAAAGCACTGGACGGCTATTTCGTCCTGTTGTGAGACTCTTCGGCAGTGCCCATCCACGATCCCGCCTTGCGAGATTAAAACCCAGGACCTATCAGTCTCGCGCGCGGGCGCCTAAACATTGAACCACTGATCCGGCATCCATTGGCGTTACGGTGTACGGATTGGTTGGTTGAAGTTAGACATTAATACCGTTGGATGCCGACCATTGGTCTAACGGTTAAGCGCTCGCGCGCGAGACTGATAGGTCTTGAGTTCAAATCTTGCGAGCCGGGATCGTGAACGAGCACTACTGAGGAGTGTCACAATAGGATGAACTGACCGTCTAGTGCTTCCAGGTTTTCCATGGTGATCTAGCTTTAAATAACTCATGATCTCAACTATTGAAATTACTACAATCTCCACAAAACCTCTCTTCATTTGTGAAGATTGTTGAATTTTATAGTTAAATATATATAGTGTGGATATATGGTGTGTGTGTTACTTATGTTTGTAGTAGTTTGTAACACCAGTCGAAAGTGAAATGTCTGAGAGCAAGTGATTGAGAAATTTGAAATGAAAAGAAGAGAAAAGTAAAACTGAAAGCAATCAAGATAATAACAGTAATGAAGGAATAATGAAGCTTGTGAGAGACAATGTAATGATGTGAAAATGATATATTTGATGTATGATTTTCACATTTTACTAAACCACTGTGTGATTGTTCATTAAGCAATAAATTGGTTTTCTTCACCTGAGTTCTTGTTCACTATGGATATGCAATGCAGCCTACCAGAACAAAATGGATTCTCAACATTTATTGCTGCTTACTGGTTGTTTAACTAACATCAGTCCGTAATATAAGCCATAATTGATAATAAAGTGAGCGAATCAAACTAAAAATTATAATAGTTGGTAAAACCATATGCTATTCTTGTAATGATGTGTACGTCTCTGATCTAAGCCCATTACGTAGCCATAATCACTATCTTAAAGCTTAAGATATCATGACTTTACATCTATTGTAGTGATTCATTGACCAAATATTGAGTTTTGGTATGATTTTATGATTTTTAATAACTGGTTTTATCATAGATTGAAATCATGAGCCAGTTGAAGCTAGACCACCATTGAAAACCTGGAAGCACTGGAAGGCCGGTTCACCCTAGTATGGGACTCCTCAGCAGTGTGCATCCACGATCCCGCACCACGCGTGGCTCGAACCCAGAACCTAATGGCTTCGCGCGCGAGCACTTAACCACTAGACCACTGAGCTGGTCGGCATCCAACGGTGTTAATGTCTAACTTCAACCAATCCACGAAGTTGCACCACCGTACACCATTGTCTTCAGTGAGTTCCTATCTCACAACAGACCTGGTTGAACTCCACTGGTAACGGTTTCTCACTAGAACTTCGGGAGTTTTTCCTGAAGTTGATTATTATCATGATTTCAATCTGTGAAATTTCTAAAATCTCCACAAAACCCATTCTGATAACTGGTTTTATGTTTATTTTCCATCATTTGTAACGAAAGACACTAAAGTAGGATTTCGTTGTGAATATAAAATCTAAAATGTAGGTACATCCAAATAATGCGTCCCAAGTAAAACGAAATGAGTACCTTGGGTTCTACCGCCGGTCACAATTCTAATACAAAAAATTCATTCTAAACTTAGCCGATACTAATGGATAAAATTCTGTTGGATTATAATGTTGTACATTCTCTCCCCTTTAATGTCTACTGTAAATTTCGCAACGACTACATAGGGACGAATCAATTGTTTAACGAAAAATTTGAGTTTGGATAAATTTTGAATTCTCAACTAGTTCTCATGTATATGTCGAAGTTTTATGAAATGACTGATTTAGTATTTTCCATTATGTTTACAAATTAGTTTCAAGGTTCCTTTTTATCTCTAGTCAATAAAATAGGCTAAATTCTGAACACCAAACATTCTTGTTTAATTATATAAGCATTAGTTATTAAATTACAGTATTACAGAATTGTTCTGATGACTAATAGTGCGAATTTTGTGAAAAGCATTTCAGATATCTGACCAACTAACTTTATTATCAAACTGAAATCGAAGGAAAATTCTTGATAGATCACTTGTATTACACAAAAAACTTGAAAAGATTTATCATCATGAACATATCATGATGAATCGATAAACAATCATGGGATTTCTTTCGGGAAAATAATCACATTTAGATAATGAGATTACTTACCTGACTTGATGCAGGAACAAATAAGCCTTCGATATACATTTTACTGATCATTTCCACTGTGAATAATAATGCAACCGTCAAATCCAAGATAAAAGTAATATACATTAATACTGGAACTTGTTTAAATGTATCCGGTGTATTCATACTAACTGATGCTAGACTGATCATAGCAGCTGTTCGAAACATTATTCTACAAAGAAAATTTAGAAAATAAGGTCAAAGATTTGAAAAAGTAAGAAAATGTTTTTTTCAAATTTCGAATATATTCAAACATATAACTAAGAAGGAAGGAATGGGATGTACAACATAAACAGTAATGATTTAACTCGACGCACGATGTTGACAAGTGTATGAGTAAGTTTGAAGAAAGTATAGGGGCGGTCAAACTAAGTGATTGCATCAATGAATCGCACCCATGAATTTGTTGACTGTCAAACTGAACACGTAGATAAATGAAGACTACCTAATTGGTTTCTGTGTGATTATCGTATCCAACAGTTTTCGATGTTAGATGACAATGGAGCAGGTGCTTCTACTACGTGTCTCTACTTGTGTCATGAGTTCTAAAATTATTTTATATACCTTAATATGTGTATGGATTCATTTTTCACGAAGCATAACGTATGCACTCAATATTTTCGACTACCACTGAGACTGTTACTACCTCTACAATTTTGACATATATTTTGGTATTTTCATCTCGATATGTTAATCTATGACATGAAGTGATACACATAAGTTCTAAGTTCTCAGTTGTATATGACTGACTAACTGAACAAATGAATGTGATAAAAATAATTTGTGGTACATGAAATGAAGTTAAAATAAATGTACATATATATGGTTGTAATTTGATTTACTCGACTACATAAGTAAATGCTTAGCATTTTTTAATAATTAATTAATTACATCCGAAGCGGTTTTGTAGAGATTGTAGTAATTTCAATAATTGAAATCATGAGTCAGTTGAAGCTAGAATACGATGGAAAACCTGGAAGCACTGGACAGTTGTTTCGTCCTATTGTGGGACTCCTCAGCAGTGTGCATTCATGATCCTGCCCGCGTGAGATTCGAACCCAGGAACTATCAGTCAAGAGGCACTTCCTAGAGTTCTAGTCGGAAACCGTGACCAGTGGAGATCAACAAGGTTTGTTGTGAGATATCAGCTCACTGGAGACAATGGTGTACGGTGGCGCAATTTCGTGGATTGATTAATGTTAGACATTAATACCGTTGGATGTCGACCAGCCCAGCGGTTTAACGGTTAAGCTTTCGCGTGCGAGAGTGATAGATCCTGAGTTCAAATCTCGCGAGGCGGGATCGTGTATGCACATTACTGAGGTTTTGAAGTCATTAACTATTCATATCCAGGTAGACATTTGCATAAAAATTTGCATTTGTGTGAAACTGTATACCATATTTCATATACAAATAAGATTACTGTGTCCAATTAATCATATCTTGAAGATATTCAGAACACTTACTTGGGTGAACTTAGATGCACAATGTCGAGGACATTTCCCTTAAGTTTATTAATAAACCACTTCACTTCACTTCATATTCTACCTACATGTTTGTTAACATTCATGTAAATAAAAATGTAATGGCATAGTTTTCATGATCATTGAGGGGAATAAAATTTATTTGACAAGATACTGAATTTCATCTCATATTTCATGCTAATTAACACGAATAAGTAATATTAATTTATATCCACGTAAAAGCCGATTAAGCCTTTAAAGAATTCAGTCCTTTTTAAGTAATTCAATGAAAAATAAATGATATCTTTGAGCTATTTAAGCCATTAAATATTTTATATTTTAAAGAGGTATCTATTAAATTCGATAACAATTTCCTAAATCAAAATATTTTCTATCGATGCCTTATTATGAATTAAAAATTCCTAACCAATTAAAATACTTTTTTATTGACTTTCCTATGGTTATAATTCAGTATCAACTCTGAACTGAGATAACTAATAGCAGTTATTGTATATTTATTAATTTTTATTGGTTATTGTAATTGTGTATGCTAGGTGTACTGTAGATCATTACACTGAACTGTATGAATTGTATGTTTTTCTCTATTGTTATCAGAAATGAGGATTTAACAAGATTATATAATATTTAAAACAAAATACGATATTCGACATTAATCTTCTATTCTTTCTGACTATTATTATTATTACTCAACCGTATTCCATTTTAGCAGCTTTGATTAAAAGTTCATAAACTTCTAACGTTAAGTTGGTTCACGTCTTGCATTCAGGATCATGTATGCTTACTCCTGAGTATTCCCATACTAGTACGAGACGACCTTCCAGTTCGTCCAGCTTTTCAATGATATTCTAGCTTAGATCAACTCATGAATTCAACTATTATAAACTTATTACAATCTCCACAAATCTTCATTCCAAAAACATTTCATTTACTAATATTTTCTTCTTTTCTTTTACGTTTTACATAAACGAGCTAGTCTACTTATCCTAAAAGGAGAGAGAAGGAGATAAAATAAATAGATAGAAAGAAAAATAGAAATCGTTTTTCTCATTCATTTATCTATTTCCCTTTATTCTGATTGGATTATTGAATTTATGAGAATAAAATAATCAATGAAAATTTCAGACTAGCTATCCAAACATTTAGAATATTCTTAGTATTTATTTTTAATATTTAATTCTTTTTATAACTGTGATATTCTATGTTCAATTTTTAAGAAAAATGTATGCAATCTGATCATAGATTATTCACATTAAAATATAAATATAATTTATAAATTTTTATCAGTATAGGGGATTGTGGAGATTATTAAGTTTTTGATTAAGATCATGAACCGATTGATGTTAGACCACCGTTGGAAACCTGGAAGCACTGGACGGCCGTTTCGTCCTGTTTTGAGACTCCTCAGAGGTGTGTATCTACGATCTCGCCCGCGTGACTCAAACCCAGGGCCTTCAGTCTTGCGTGCGATCGCTTAACGTACTGGATACCGGCTCAGTGGTCCAGTAGGTTAAGCGTTCACGTGCGAGACTGAAGGCCCTGGATTCGAGTAATTAAATTGTCATTTGTAGATCTGCATTTATTTTTAACCCTGAATAAGAGATCAACCAACTAGAAATGGCGTTGACTACAATCTTAACATGATTCAGTATTTAGGTTGATTTTGATTGTTCTCACCATTATATTCATTTATAAAAATCAAGTTAACATAAAACTCTAGCCTCTTCAGACGGCTTGATTCACATATAGTATATATATCCGTTCTCAATAAACTTCCTTTAAGATTTACTACTGTAATTTACATTTATACCTCGGTATTTGAGTCTAAAACTAACATTGATTTCAGGGATTACTTCTGATTTTCAGTGGATTGATTAATTTAAAAAAAACTTATTTTCTTTTACAATTATAAACTTATATTGATAGCATAATCATTAAAAGCAGGTAGATCATTTCAGGTTAAAATTCATTATCTTTATACATGTTTAAGTTAATGACGAATAAATTTTTTATTGTTCATATCACAAGAGTATGGCCTTTATGAAATAAGTGGAATATTTTACTTTTTGATTTAGACTGCTCAGTTGCTATGACTTCACAATGCTAACTAGAAAGAAAAGTTTGTATTGTTCGATACATATTATCTGTTCTATTCCTCTCTTTTAGATAATTATGAATTAATTTTAAAATAAATAAGCTCAATGGAAAGTGAGTTAGCGCTGAAGTTACATGACTATAATTTCGATTAATTTAACATAAGTTAAAAGAATACAAAGTTTAAACTGTTGAAAGTGTGCACTATGAAAGAGTCATAGAATTTTCAGATTTATTTTCTAAGTACTCCAATTTCACGATAACTTGCTTGAGTGTTTTCAACTGATAGCATAAGAATGATTTTTCAAACCAATGACCAGGAGCTACATAAACTAACCTTATAAGAAACATTGGAACAAATCAACCGACACAATTTAATATTTAAAATAAGTTAGTTCTGATTATTCCAACAATATGATGATTGTTTATATTGTGAATACACGCTCTTTCAACTATTTGAAAGCCATTAATTCAGTCAGAATGATTCCTGGCAATTTATTAAATACAATAAACAGACAGATTTTCTTTTCACCTGAGTTATTGAAGACTCCGCCTAGAGCCCCTTTTGAGTTACAGCCAATCCCAAGCCCGTATAAAGAAGGAGTGTTAAGCATGGGGTTAGTGACACCATTCCGTAGAAAACTAACTTGCTAAGAAAGAATGCTACTGAGATTCCTCAGTGCAATATAAGTCTGTGATGTGTACTTCCTTTTGTGCTATGGTGTGTCATGCTAGGATCTTGATGAATAATCTGATATTTTCATCCCAACTTTGTTATTAATAATGAATCCTAAAAAACACAATAAATCATTCGATTTGATTTTATTACACTAAGAGTTTTCTTTTATAGTTTTCTTTTTTATTCAGATTAAATATTAATAAATTATCTTTTGAACTTGAGGGCATAATATATTAAGCCTACTGAATAATGTTATTAGGCCACTTTAAACAATCTTATAATCACTTGTAAATTTCGCCTGATCTGATAGTAATGAGATGTTGTATATCTAAACTTGAATAATTAAGAACATTATAAGCTATTTATTGTAATATATATTTCATCATAAACAGTACATAAACATAACTAAATGTTTATCATACTGACCAAATTAATTTTTATTCCACCAAAATAATTATATGGAGACATTGCATAATGTACATGGAGTTATCTTTTTTATTCTGAAATTATTATAGTTTAAAAATATAACTGAAATTTTTTTTCGTTCAGCTCATTTCGTCTATATATCATAATTCAAATCATTCAATAATAATAATAATAATGATAATAATAGTAGTTTTATTTAGCATCATAGAGCATTATAGAATTATCAATACATAATCTGCAATATTTCGACAAATTTCTTCTTGCTGATATTTTTTTGACCAAAAAGCAGTAATATTTAAGAATGGGGATGTGTGGAGATAATAATAGTATTTTAACAATTAAATTCATGAGTCGATCTAAACTAGATCATCATTGAAAACTGTCTAGTGCTTCTAGGTTTTTCGAATAAAGCCATAACAAACATAGATGAAGAATAATATGAATTCTTATTAGACTATCATGACGGTCTAGCTTCAAATGACTCATGAATTC